ACGACGTGTGCCACCTTCTATCCCTCAATTTCAGCCTCCTCCTCAACCCCAGGGTCAAACACTTGCTGAGGTCTTGCGACACACAAACACAGCTGGTACCGTACCAGTTCCTACGTCTGCACCAGCTACGAATTCTATAACTACTTCTCCATCTATATCGATCCCTTCACCTACTCCTATATCTTCCCCTACTCCATCTCATTTGTCTTCACCTGTCTCTGTTACTGTGTCTGTTACTACGGCTTAATCCCCTCTATAGCCTGCTTGGCAACCTCCGTCGTTAGAAGAGTTCTTTGCTGACATCGAGCGTCGACGACTTCAGCCTGTTCTATATAACTGCAGTGACTTTGGCACAGTGATGGATTTTTTGGCAGAGACAGGGCAGGAAAACGACCCTACAGAACTAGTTGAAGCACGGGATATGGCTCTCGCGACAAGAGGGGTGTTTGCTTCCTGCACTCCAACAATGGCGTGGAATTATCACTTTGGAGATATAGAAGCTTTCTACGATGAAAGATTTGCACAAGTCAATGCTCAAAATGCTCTGCTTCAGTCTCAAGATGTACGTCGAGAGCGTCCTAAGCGTGCTGCTGCAGAGACGGCTTCAAATGCTTGGAAAGGACTCAGCCCGCGCAAGAGACAGCGACGTTAGTAGAATCTAAGTACTTTAATGCATGAATACGACGAGACATCGAAATACGCTTTAGATTCTTCTTAGTCAAGGCCTCAGAGCCCTCAAAAGCGCTTATAAAGATAACACGTAAAATATTTCCACGCTAGTAATAATATGACTAGCGTGGTGGACAAATCTCAAATGGTGGACAAATCTCAAAAAGTGGTGGACAAATCTCACCAGCCTCTATCTTTCATACATCTTACATTACACACCCCTAGTGGTTACAGGTCACCTGCGTTGCGCAAAAACCGAGGATCTGCCGGTCGACCAGCCGTCGTAACTGGCGGTAGATCTGCCATCTCCAACGCCAATCAGAAACTCCCCTTACTCACTTGACATGGATCTGAGCCATGATGCCTCACTAACCTTGGTCAATGCCATTGTCTAGTTTTCGCTTCGACTTTGGAGCATGCCTATCCAGTTTTCAGTATTTCGTTTCTACCATAGAATGTAAGAAAAGATTGTGTAGTCCTAATAAGGCTTAGTCTGGGAGTAATGGGCAGCGATAGGATTGTTCATTGGCGTTGAAATCAACAGGGGCATCTTGGGACAAGTTGCCTGGGCCTCTTTCGTGAGGCTAGTATTCCGTACGCTCTACGATATTGGAACGCGATAAATGGCTATTTGGGTTAAGGAGCCTGATTGGGCTCGGTCAGCATGGGGAGCGGAGCCCATTTAGACCAGAGGCCTGTTTGGGACGACGGCCAGATTGACCCGACCACAAGTTATAACTAGCCTTATATATACGGAATGCCCCGAGAAATGGCTATGCTTTTATTATTCTTCTACTCTTGTCTGGTGGCAAATCATAGTATTGCGCAAAGGGAATGGAGCTCGGTTGGTAAGAGGGTTTAACCCATCAGGTGAACTTGCTGGGTATGTTCACCTAGGTTGATCCCTCCTGCATCGACAAGTCCAGTAGCGCCGAGCTCACGGAGACTATCAACTCCATGTTTCGCTGGTACTGGGATGCAGCAAAATGCTACGTGTATCTCTCAGACGTTTCAACAGGAGAGCACACCCCGTCTCCTGAGCTCCTATGGGAACCAATGTTTAGGCAGAGTCGACGGTTCACCAGAGGCTGGACACTACAGGAGCTTCTTGCTCCGCGACAGTAGAGTTTTTCTCCCGAGACGGCAAGCGACTTGGTGACAAAGACTCGTTAGAACAGCAAATTCATACGATCACTGGGATTGCAATTGACGCACTTCGAGGGCATCTGTCTCAATTCAGCGACAATGAGCCAATGTCATGGGCAGAAAAGCGAGAGACCACGAGGGAAGAGGATCAAGCATATTGCCTTATGGGAAACTTTGACGTTTCCCTACCAGTCATCTATGGCGAGAGGAAAAGAAAAGCATTCGAGTGGCTTCGAGAAGCGATCGATAAGCGTTCAGGCGATACACGAGGTAGTCCAACCGCCAAATTTTTAGTTAGCCGGCTAATCTGCGAAGTGGAATGGTACGACCAGGAACGGGACTGTATGCAAGCCCTGCGTACTTTGACTTCCGACTACGAGCAGTTCAAAGATAGGAACTCTAGCCGACTTAGAGATACCTGCCAGTGGGTTCTCCATCATGACAATTTCCGACACTGAAAGGACAGCAGCTCCTCGGGTCTTCTTTGGATATCTGCGGATCCTGGATGCGGAAAATCCGTTCTCTCTAAATCTCTTGTCGACGAAGACTTGAAAAACACGGACGCTCGCACAACTTGCTACTTCTTCTTCAAAGATGACGATGACGTACAGAAAAGTGCAGTTACAGCGCTTGCGGCACTACTTTACCAGCTCTTTCGGCGGAAACCAACGCTTATCAAACACGCTATGTCGGATTTCGCTGCTAACGGACATCAACTTTCTCAATCATTTCCTACACTCTGGAGTATTCTAATAAAGACGGTGGCTGATCGGAATGCCGGTGAAGTCTTTTGCGTCTTAGATGCCCTCGATGAATGCGCAAAAGCAGGGCAGCATCAGATTATTAATGCTCTCAGTTCATTCTACCAGCAAGCAAGCTCCGGAAATAATACATCTCGACTCAAAATATGTATCACTAGTCGTCCTTACTTAGACATCGAACGGCGCTTCACCGATCTTATTTCTAACTTTCCCACGATTCGGCTACACGGCGAGCAAGAATCAGATGAAATCAGTCGTGAGATCGACCGAGTTATCAAATGGAGAGTATCTCAACTCGGATCTGAGCTCAAACTCAATAATTCAGAACAGTCAAATCTCGAAACAGGACTGTCAAAGATAAGCCACCGAACATACCTCTGGTTGACACTTATTTTCGATATCATTCGCAAAATGATTCCACCGACAAGTCGGAAACTGAAGGTAGCCATAAGTGACCTTCCGTCTACAGTTGATGAAGCATACGAAGCGACTCTTACAAAAATCGAGGAGGAGGATCGACCACAAGCACGGAAATTACTCTCTATCGTTGTTAGAGCAACGAGGCCTCCCACACTGAGGGAAATAAACATCGCTCTAGCTATAGAAGACCATCATCGCTCCTACGACGACCTTAAACCGGACCTTGACGATGAATCGAGATTTGAAGCGTCGGTAAGACACCTCTGCGGGTTCTCTGTGACTGTAGTGGATCGAAAGGTCTCTCTGATCCACCAGACCGCAAAGAATTCCTTCTCGCGAAGAGTGAGGGAACTGGATGGAAACATTCTCTTGTTCTAACGGATTCTGATACCCTTATGGCCAGAGTATGCCTTACATATCTTTCATTCACTGAATTTGATAGAGAGGCAGATCAGATCCCTGCAGCAGTCAAAGACGGCTACTTAGATTATGCTGCAGGTTCTTGGGCTGCTCACTACCGAAAAGCACAGCATAGTGCAACCGAGCAAATGTTACACTTTGTTTTCAGAGTCTGCGATAACCGATCCCAGAGGTTCAAGACATGGTTCGATGTGTACTGGCAAATGGCTTACCAGTGGCACTCCAATCCACAGTTCACTAGAATTCTGATGGTAGAGTCATATTTTGGGCACGAGGGTATCGTCAAGCTGCTGTTCGAGGCTAAGGCCGACGCCGACTCGAAGGACGACGACGGTCGGACACCGCTACCGTGGGCGGCCGAGAATGGGCGATACGAGGGTGTCGTCAAGCTGCTGCTCGAGGCCAAGGCCGACGCCGAGTCGAAGGATAACGACAGTCGGACGCCGCTGTCGTGGGCGGCCGCGAACGGGCACAAGGGTGTCGTCAAGCTACTGCTCGAGGCTAAGGCCGACGTCGACTCGAAAGATAACTACAGCGGGACGCCGCTACCATGGGCGGCCGCGAATTGGTACGAGGGTGTTGTCAAGCTGCTAGAGTCCTTCAGCGCTATATCATTTTCAGCCTCCTCCCCACTCACTACCTAAAGTCATCCACGCTCTTATATATTCTGTATAATTTTGACAAGAACTTCTATTGCTTTGAAGTCAACCTGCTGTAAATTCCATGCGGTTCTCAGGTTAGTAATAATCGTCGGTTTGATGTGCTATGTGATATACTCACTTGACAGTCAAATGCCTTCTGTTGCTACCATACTCTCCGCATTTAATAGCGTTCTTTTGATGTTAGCTTTAGCTCAATCCCTGTTTATCTGTATGATCATTTAGGTAAGGCGTATGGAAGGCATCTGTTCGCTGAGAAGAATCCAAATGCAAAACCGGAAACCGAATCTCCTCGCGACTGCAAGAGCAGTTCTGTTGTCACACAAGAGGTTCTTTCTTCTTGTCAACAAACCATCATGGGTTCCCTCTGTCCTAGTCCAATATCAATACCTTCTAGACCTTCAATCACATCTAGTCATCCACAATCTTGGGAATTGAATGTTCCTCTCATCCTTGTCATTGGATACCATGATGTCCGAGGGATACTACGCAGCAAGTAGCTCGACGTGATGTCGAATGCATACCTTTAGGTGCTGTCGAAGCACGAAACTTGAGTCGAGACGAGAGCCATTCCGGGCCATTCCCGACCATGGCACGTGATATATGCTGTTGGATGACAGTCATGTGATTCCATCCAGCTTTATCAATTCCCATAGCTTGGCAGCGGCTTTCACCAAATTTTCGGCCAATCCCGGCCAGTGCCCGCCACATTTGTCAGACACCAAGAGGAGACATGGATATCATCAGACTTCGAATTTCCGCGGGACCGAGAATGACACCACTTCCACCATCCTACAAGAAAACCCCTTCCGACTCCGTCTCAACATCTCCTGTTCACATTGGTGTCCTGTGGTACCTCCATTCTCTCTCTATCCGACTTTCCCTTTGACATCCCCTCCTGAATAAGATACTAGAACTACTCGAACTACTAGAAGTCACGATCCTCCCTCCGCCACTATGGCCCCCCACTTCGTCCTCGAGGACTCCTCCATCGACTTCTCCACCCCCTCCCACCCCCATACCACATCCCGCACCCTCCTCCTCGCTCCCCCTTCCCTCTCCTCCCACCCCGATGCCCTCGCCCACCTCTTCGCCCAACACCCCCGCTCCACCTCCGACCTCCAGATGCTCGACCGCCTCGTCGCCGGCCTCGTCGCCCTCCCCACCGAAACCTACGACCTCGTCCTTCTCGTCGCTAGCCCCGAGTCGTCTGTTCCTGATACGCCGCTCACACGCGACGTCATGGCGCGGGTGCTTGCGGCGTTGAAGCCGGGGGGACGGTTTAAGTCGCAGAGCGGGCGGCTGGGGGAGGTAGAGAGGCGAGAGGGGATCTTGGGGGGGTTGGCGGTGGAGGGGGAGGAGCTGGTGAAGCCGACGGCGGTGGATAGTGGTGCGGTGCCGTTGCGGTTCGGGAGGCGGAAGCCGGTCGAGACGGTTGCGATTAATGGAAAGCGGAAGACGGAGGACGCGGGACCTGTGCAGACTACGGCCAATGGCGTTGGTTTCGTGGATTTTGATAACAACGACGAGTTGATTATTACTGGGGAGGATGATGATATTATCGACGAGGATGAGTTCATTACGGAGGAAGATATGACGCGGCCCGTGATCGAACGTAAGTTTGCCTGACACTCCTCCCCTCCCGTCCCGTCCCTCCCTACTCCAAACAAACCCCACTCCCATCCCCCGCTAACCCCCCTTCCAGCCCCCGAATGCCGCCCCAAGCCCGGCAAGAAGCGCCGCGCCTGCAAAGACTGCAGCTGCGGCCTCGCACAGCAGATCGCCGCCGAAGACGCAGCGACGCGTAGCGAGGCGGACGCGAAGCTACAGACGTTCCAGCTAGGAGCGGACGACCTCGCGGAGGTGGACTTCACGGTGCAGGGGAAGGTGGGGAGCTGCGGTAACTGCGCGCTGGGGGACGCGTTTCGGTGCGATGGGTGTCCGTATGTGGGGTTGCCGCCGTTTAAGCCGGGAGAGGAGGTGCGGTTGGTGAATGATGAGGTGCAATTGTAGGGGGGTGGGTTGGATGGGGGGCGTTTTGGGGGTGGGTTATGATGGATGAGGGAACTGGGGGGAATAGAAATGCATACATCGCATGCCCAAGCGGAGCGTAGATAGCGACGATGCTGTTGTTCTAGCGGATAAGTACTCCCTCCCATAGCCAATGATGACTTATAGTATATAATTTCCGCTTGACCGTTCTCTCCTGTCCTCATTTCCTTCGCTACTCTCATCCCTCCATATCCAGCAACCGCACATCCATCCCCGCCTCCCCCACCACCTCCCTCACCCGTCCCCTCCACCGCTCCAACACTGGATGCCCTTTCACCAACCTTCCCCCGTACACCTCCACACTCAGCCCCCTTACCTCCACCTCCCTTCGAAACTCCCCCATTACCTCCTCCCGAAATAACTCCTCCACTGTCAACTCCCCCCTCGCCTCCTCCAACAACCTCGCCACCTTCCCCGACAACCCTCCACGAACACCACCCTGACCTTCCCCCTCAGCTCTCCCCACCGCCACTAATATAGCCCCTAACGCCCCTACCACCCATCCCGCTTCTCGTCCTACCGCACCGCCCACTTCATACCCCCGGTCAAACCCCATCTGCATGCTCCCCTCCTTCGCGGTGCTGATCCCCTCGCGGTAGCCGGCGGCGACGTGCGTTTGGCGGAGGCGGGGCTGGTCGTCTGGTTCATGGCGGGGTGGGGGGATGGCAGGGTCATGTGCGGCGTGGGGGTCGTGGGAGGTGGGGTGAGAGGATTCGAAGACGTCGTCGAGGAGGTTTTCGGGGGGGGAGGTGAAGGGAGGGGGAACGGGGAGGGAGAGGGGGGATGCCGGGGGGGATGGGTGGTTGGCGCACATTGTTGGATCGTCGCGGTGATGGTGGTGGTGGTGGTGGTGAGAGATTTTGGGGATCGGGTGGACGATGGGGATGGGGATGGGGAGTTAAGAGGGAACGCCAGTAAGTTTTGGTATTATTAGAGAATTTAAGTAGGGTATGGATTTATTGAAATGGTTTCTGGATTTGTGGTTGGGGGTATAGATGGCAATAAATTTTTATTACGGTTCGCTCCGGCAGCTGAATTTACAGGAAATATTTACGGGACATCACAACGACTCGCGAACATTCATCATGAGGATTTGAAGTCTACAGAACGGAAATTGGTATCTCAGATGAGCATATTGGATTTTTTTGGCTATTCAGCATTGGCTACCCATAACGTCCTGAAGCACTCATGAGAAGGTCATAACCACGCTTTCTCGCAGAAATCTCCGTCGAGGATGCATGAGTGAGATAATTTCTGTCCGACCCGGTTATCTAATGGACATTTCCCTTTTTTGACCCCCCGCTTCTCTCCATTCCATTCCACTGCCCTAAAGCTCCACCTCGTCCACGCAACGATGAACGTCGGCAGAAGATCCGGCGATGCTGATCCAGGGCGTGTCGTAAACGCTGGGATGGCGAGTCGCTTACTCCTCCTCATCCTCGTCCTCGCCCTCATCACCCTTCGCGGCGGCGGCCTTGGCCTTCTTCCTTCGGACGCGGCCGGGACGACCGGCGCCGAACGGCGAGGTGAGGGCGAAGTCGATGTGTTTCTGGGAGTCGAGACGGACGATGAAAGAGGGGACGTTGACGATCTGCTTGCCGACACTGTGGGATCTGTTAGCATCTGCTTGCGCTTCCTGCGAGGAGGCAGGGATATTGAGGGGTGGAGGGGAGGCCATACCGGATGTGTCGCTGCTTGATCAACACACGAGCGTGGTGGATCGACTTGGCGAGACCGAGCTTGTAGACGCAGGTCTGGAGACGACGCTCCAGGAAGTCCTCGACCTTGAGGGCGAGCACGTAATCGAGCTTCATGCGGGACTCGTCGAGGACACCGACACGCACGAGACGGCGAATGAGGGCGTTACCTTCGAAGAGGCGCTTGGGGTCTTTGTCGTCGAGGGTGAGAAGCTCACTGCAGGGCGACGAGTTAGCGAAACGCCATCACCAAGAATCGCAACCTGGAATTACGGTGCGATATCAAGCAACCAGTGATAGATGGACCACGACTTACCGAGCAGCACGTCGAATCTTCGACAGCGTCAATTGCACGCGCCACACCTCACGCTTGTTGCGCAGGCCATATTCGCCGACGATCTTCAACTCGGCATCCCTAAAAGTAAGACCCAAATGTCAATCCAACAAATTCATCAACGACATGACGGGAGACCAGCTCCGCGCTCAGTGGCCGCAGTGACGCTCCGGGAGAACGTACAGTCGTGCCGACTCGAACGGTCGTCGAGGGACCTTATAGGTCTTGGAGTAGCTCCTGGTAACCATGGTGGAAGTGTGTGCGGGTTGGGATGGGCTACACGGAAGGTGATGGGGAGGAAGGAGTGAGAAGGAGAGGGAGAGAGAGAGTCCGAAGGAGGAGAGAAGAAAGTGGGTGTGAGGCTTTTGGGATGATTGTGTGGTGTGGTGTGTGTGGTGTGTGCGTTAAGGTACCTGGTTTGTGTGGATGGTGCAGCTTTGGTGTGCGAGGCGCTCGCTTCTCGGCAAAAGAGATTTTCCGGGTTGACACACAGCGTTCCTTCCGTCTCCTCCACACAATTCGCTGCGACCTCACCATTTCGACTCTCTCCGTTGTTTGACCCTCCACACATCTTCAATTTGTACGTGACCCAACCGAATCGATTTCACTCCATCACTAATATTCCAGCCAGCTTTCCACCGTCAAAATGGGTCACTCACACGGTCTGCGATCGGGTACCCGATATGCCTTCGCCAAAGGGTTCAAGAAGAACGGCACCATCCCGCTGAACACCTACCTCCGAACCTACAGGTACGATGGACCCGTCAACGAGCGACCGATCGCACAACTAACACCATCACAGGGTCGGTGATATCGTCGATGTTGTCGTCAACGGTGCAGTCCAGAAGGGGTAGGCCACTCACGAACGCTCCGTCGCGAGACCCCCAATTTTTCTAACCGTCCACAGCATGCCCTTCAAGGTCTACCACGGAAAGACCGGCGTCGTCTACAACGTCACCAAGTCCGCCGTGGGCGTCATCCTCTACAAGCAGGTCGGCAACCGCTACATGGAGAAGCGCATCAACGTCCGCATCGAGCACGTCAAGCACTCCCGCTCGCGCGACGAGTTCCTCAACCGCGTCAAGTCCAACGCCGAGGCCAAGCGCCAGGCCAAGGCCGAGGGGAAGTCCATCCTGCTGAAGAGGCAGCCGGCCATGCCGCGGGACGCCCGGAAGGTCAGCACCGAGAACAACCGGCCCGAGACGATCACGCCGGTCGCGTACGAGACGACGATTTAAGGGGAAGGGCGGGGACCGGGGGGCGGTGGTAGGATGCGGATGCGGATGGATGGCGATGGTTAACCTCATCGGAAGATGGAGTTTTATATGCATTTGCAGCGGGTCTGGGTTCTCGATTCCAGATTTCAATCATGGGTACCTTAGGCTTTTCGGAACGAATAAAAGCACTTACGCCTACTTCTTGCTGCCAGCTTGTACTGTGACGGTAACGTTGCAATCAGAGGGTGATTGTGGTCAAGCCTTTGCATTAGAGGTATCATCCCTTGAAACCATCTTCACATTGAAAATTATTACCATGATCTCTCGCCATGGGACTCCCATCAGTCAAGGCGGACAGTAGTGGTCAAGATTGAGAATTGGCGAATGAGGCGATAAATGAATGAGTATCAATGGAAGCGGGCCCATATGCAGGGTGCGCGCCTTATCTCGGCGACAGTGTTGTCCCCTCCCCCATGAATGTAAATGAAAAAACATCAAGCAAATCCCACCACGCTCAAAGCCAATCAGGTATCCAGGAGAACGAGAATCCTCCAATTTTAACCCTAAAAACTCCCAGCCGTGACCCGTCAAAGCATAAGATCGTTGCCACCAAGTACCGCGTGATTTCAAAGAAGCGACCAGCGTTATCTAGCCTAGAGGAAGGTGCAACCCTTTCTCTTCGTTTTTGTCAGCTTGACGGACATGGCAACTCTCGCTGCCTCCGTGAAGGCTTCGTTCACACCACGGTTCTTCATGGCCGAGCATTCTACCGCAAAGTTAGCGAGATCCCTCATAGTACACCTGGCGACGAATCGAATGGACGATGCCACTTACCAAGATACCGCAGCGCACGAATCCTCTCCGCAACCTCCAGACCCTGCTGGTACTCAATCAACGGTTTCTTCGGCTCATTCTCCTCTTCCTCCTCGCCCTCCCCCTCACGCAAGTCGCACTTCAGCGCGACCAACACCAACTTCACCCCCGGACAATTCTCCGCGATCTCCGCCACCCACTTCGATTCCACATTCTCCAACGAATCCGGCGAATCCACCGAGAAGCACAGCATGATGCAGTGCGTGTCGTCGTAGCTCAGGCTACGCAGCCGGTCGAACTCCTCCTGGCCTGCCGTGTCCCACAGCGACAGTTCGACGTGCGTGTTGTCGATGAAGATGTCGTGCACGTAGTTCTCGAACACTGTCGGCTCATACACGGTTGGGAAGTAGCCGCGCGTAAAGACATTGAGGAGGGAGGTTTTGCCGCATGCGCCGTCGCCGAGGAGGACGAGCTTGCGTTGGACGGTCTTGGAGCCGCCGAGGCCGCAGAGCGCCATAGTGATGCGTGAGAATAGCTAGAATTGGGGGGGAAATATGGTCGGGGATGGATGATGCGATTATGGGTTGCCGGATAGCGATATGAAGATAGCGTTGAGTCGTAGAGCTGACAGCTGGTGTCGTTGGTCGTCGATTCGCAAAGGATGAGTCTAGCACAAGCGTTGCCCGTGAATGCGGGCCCCACGCAAACGCTACAGAAGAACCCGTGGTTCTGCGAATCGCGATTCACCAACCGTATGCGCCGGTAAGATTATCGCGTCGAATTCAACCTCGTCAGATCTCGGGCGTCCGGGATTCGGCCAACAGTCTTCGAAAGCCCGCGCAGGCGATAGTCAGGTCGCGATTTTCGGCGATGGAGGAAGGACTCCGGATTGATGAACAGGTGATTATCCAAGCACCACGAAGGGAATTCTTCGGAAGCGACAGAGGTAGAATTACGGTGGAAAGGATGTTCGCAGATGATGGATGGGTGGTTGCTATGGGAAAGTCGATGATGTTGAGGTTCCTTCAGCCCCTTGGCGATGATGGGCCGGGGGGATATCGGTATTTGGTACTCTAGCGATTCACGTACCTTATCGGAACTGATTAGCTCAGCATTTGGCGGTTCAGGCGTTCAGCATCCTCGAGACCTCGACTGCTCCGTGTCTTCCGCTTCCTTTTCCATTCCAGTCACCAACGGATCTGAATCAATCATTGTAGTGGTTCCGACAGAGCCACATATATCTAACTATGGGACATCTCAAGCTTTCCCTGCCAAGTCAGAGGGAGGTTCCGAGCCGCAGAGATCGCCCAACCATGTGGTAGCTTGACGAGACAGAAGGATCATCCATAATGACGTCTCCATCGCGAACACTCCCATTCTCACCTAAGAGGGGTCAGAGATCCACTGCAATCCAGAACTCGTGGAGTTTATACATTAACTAGCGCAGATTTAATACGTTAAGCATTGCAGACCTTGTAGAAGACCAACCCCAGAAACACCTGCTTTCCTTCCTCCAACCGTCGCGGTCTCAAGTCAGCTCAAGCTCACTTCTGACTGCATATGCCATGTCGAGAAATCCCAACAAACCGGCAAGGGTCACTGCTGCTGCATGTTGGTCCGTCCATGACTGCGGGGACATTCTATATGGTGAGCCATCAGCATTCACACCTAATTACATGAACCAAATGTCACCCCGATTCCAACTTTATTTTCAGTAACCATTGCGTTGGCATGGACCTGTCCACAAACTCGCAACGGCATCCCGCCGTCAGATTTTTACCTTCCATCTCCTCACTCCTTCCAGGCACCGTCACCCTTGTCTCTCGACGCTCATGGCAAGATGGGCAGCTACGCGATCAGGGCAAAGAGGAATGGCTTTCAGAAAGGCAAATATCATGAAGAAGACTCTGTTCGAGAGCCGAACAAATGGACCGAGTTATCAGTAAAGCTCATGACGCAATCATTTGACTGCTATCTGGTGTGAGTACACCCGACGCCATAACTGCATGGTTTCTAACACTGTAGTCAGCTAGCTTCACTACGATTGAGACGAGTCGTCTCATCCAGCTGATACACAGCCAAGTATTATCGAGGTTAAAGAGATAGTTCGATACTAAATATCTTCTGCGAAGGGATGATCACGAACAATGGGAGGCCGATAAAACAGTCGGTCGTAGACTGCCGGGGAAACTATTCAGTGGATTTATAGGATTCATCCCTCGGTTCCCGAGTATACGATGATGTCATGAGAAGGTGGAATTGAATGCCCATTCTAAAGCCAGAAAGGCCTGTATGCTACTAGTACATGATGGACCCTTGGGGCCGACGTGACAAGGCTCACCCTCTGTCAACGAGATTCTCCCCGATGTTATTCATTCACATGAACTGTGTGAAGATGAAGAAGATGGTCCTATCTAGGTGTGGCAGGAAGCAATCAATCAATCATGGTAGGTGGGTGGAGACTTGCAAACATTACTTTATAGCAAACTACGTAACTATAGAAGATTGCAGCAGCTTTACCACCGCCTTGTGCCCATTCCAGGTGACCCTTAACAGCGGCATCCAGCCGGAGCGGTCCTTCGAGTCGACGTTGACTTGGCCCGTCTCGAGTAGCAGCTTGACGACGGCCTCGTGCCCGCTCTCAGCGGCCGCCAACAGCGGCGTCCGACCGTAGCTGTCATTTGAGTTGACGTCGACTTGGCCCGTTTCGAGTAGCAGCTTGACGACGGCCTTGTGCCCTCTCTGAGCGGCCCACGATAGCGGCGTCTGGTCCTTCGGGTCGTAGGGGTTCTTCGAGTTGACGTCGATTCGGCCCGTCTCGAGCAGCAGCTTGACGATGGCCTCGTACCCGTTCTTAGTGGCCCACGACAGCGGCGTCCAACCGGAGCCGTCCCTCGAGTCGACGTCAACTTGGCCCGTCTCGAGTAGTAGCTTGATGATGCCCTCGTGCCCATTATTAGCGGCCCACGATAACGGTGTTCGGCTATAATTGCTATCCTTCGAGTTAACATTGACCTTGCCAGTATCGAGCAGCAGCTTGACGGTAGCCACATGCCCGTTTCCAGCGGCCCACGACAGCGGCGTTCGGTCGTCGTTACCCTTCGAGTTACTGCAAACACTTGTGGTTGAAAGCAAATGCCTAGTAATCACTACGTGTCCTTCTTTCGCTTCTTTTAACAGAATCTTAACTCCACCATCATTGCTCCAGCTCGGGTAATTTGATTCGAAGAGATGGCTGAAGATATCTTCATATACTGTCCTAGTGCATTTTTGGATACTGCGATTCTCCTTAGAGTTCTTCGAGAGCGTGTTGTACAGAGAAACTTTAAAGCTTTGGGCGAAAGGGTCGATCGATTGACTCCATCCGAAACAATGAATGGAAGGAAGGGTAAATTCTTGAAAAAATCGTCCAATGTCCATCGCGGAGCACTGAACACAGGGCGATTGATCCTGACTCCAAAGGCAAGGAAAGATATAATATCTTGAACAAGATCCTGCTCACTAGTCTCGTAGCTCGCTTCAAGATTCCCATTGGTAATATCACTCGCAATACCAAGGAAAGCATAGATCTTGTCCCTCTGTTCGGTCGTTTTACTGTCGCGAAATTTAAGGAGAAGTGCAAAGAGATCCCGTTCTAACGTCCACCAGGAGTCTTTTCTCTCTCTTAAGAATCCGGACATAACATTTAGTAGAGGCTCGATTGGAGATATCTCAACGGATTTTTCAAGCATCCAGGAGAGACGAAAAAATCCCTGCTGAGACTGACTTCTTCCCACACATGATGGTAGCGCTGCGGGCAAGAGCAATTTCCTGGACGATCCAGGCTCTCTGGTACCATTGCCTTTGGAGAAGGTCTCGAAAGCCATCAACTACTTCTTGATGATGGACATTGATTCTTAAGAGAGATTTCAATCTTAGATCCTCCTGCTGTCCTATACTAAATTTGTCAAGCACATCTACAAGACAATTTAGGGAGTCCATGGCAATATTGGTTTGCTCGGTGTCTTCTCCAAGCCAAACGACCACCCCTTTCGCTCCTTGAAAAATGCTCTTCATCAAATTCACTTGATGGCCTCTTTCTTTATTGTTATTCTGATTAATACAGATTGCATCTACCCAGAACGTTCGGGTAGAATCCTGGTTTCGAAGGGATTGCAATGCAAGTGCAGATTCGGTCGAATCGTCATCCTCTCGTTGTTGATAGTGATTTCTGTCGAGCCTTCACCCCCCCCCCCCAAACGTACGAGAGTGCTTCATATGGCTTCTGATCAGTATCTTTAAGCTCAAAATCCATGAGCTCACATTGAATCTTGCCATTAGGGTGGCCTGGAAGAAGATCTAGAAGACGAATCACTGCCTTCTTCTCCGGCAGTACATAATGAGTACTGGAAACCAGAGCTGTGGACCAGTGGGCTAATATCAGGGGACATCTTCATGGACATGATGTTTTACATGTTGCTTCAGGATTGTCCTAGGCAGCTCGGTCGTTCAAGAACACTAGATTTGGAGTAGCAGTTTCTATAAAAGATTGTCCTGGTGAAGATGTGAGATATCAAGTTAATCACTATGATTTTTTCAGATCCACTTTGCATTAGTTAGACCTCCTCTCTACTTCGTTACATCTATCAACACATTACTACCTCCTAATAATCCTCTCGCCACACCTGGCTTCGGCTAGCCACACATACATTAGTCATAGGCCACAGGCCTGGGACTAGTTAGTTAGTTATAAGTTAACTTAGTTAACTTAAGTTAAGTTAGTTAACAGTTAACTACTAACTAACTAGTTATCGTTGACCTGGCTGCTTGGCGACAATTGCTTTCGTTGTTCTGCTCGAATAAGAGCCAGTTCTTGTCTAGAAAAGGGCGCGTTCAGTAAAGGCCTTTTGAGCGGCACTAATGAGTTTTTGCAAGCGGTGTTTGCTCGGACCGTATAGGAATTGAATATTGTCGTCGATTTAGATTTGCAGCGACGTGAGAGCCTCCGATGTCACTGGCGTTTGCAGCACTATTCCTTGTAGACAAGATTCCACCTTCACTTCATCATTCTTTGGAACGTACAATTCGGCTAGCGGCTTCTAGTTATCTGATTTCTTCGGAAAGCCATGTTCGGATGCATTTAAAAAAGCGTAAACTACAGTGTCAGAGATTACATAGAAGAGTAACCATCCGAGTTGACCGAGTCACAATCCGATGATGATGCCCAGCAGTCGAACAGATCTAACCCGCGAGTCCGCTTTCCCACCCCCTCCTGGACGACTACATATTCGCAGCCGACGTCGTCGAGGATGTGCCCCTCAGCGGCTTTCTTGGACTCTTTGAGTTGCTTCTCCAACTCACGAATCTTCTTCCCGGCCTTCTCCTCTACCACTTCTTTTTCGTGGATGAAGTGGTCGAGCTGGTCGCCAATATCCTTCATATCTTTCCTAGATTCCTTGATCTGCTTCTCCAACTCACGAATCTTCTTCCGGGCCTTATCCTCGACCACTTCTTTTTGGTAGACGAAGCGGTCGAGGTGGTCACCAATTTCCCCCGCGTCGGTTTGAAATCCGGGGTTGCGGACCTCCAGCGAATGGAGTCTCCCATTCAAGATCCTCATCTCATTATTCTTCTCATTCACCTCCTCTTCAATTTCCTCCACCCGGGACTCTCTCTCTGCGAGATGACGGTCGGTAGTCCCCAGCAGAGCTTTCCACTTTTGCTCCACACACGCCCCCTCCGAGTTCTTCACCTTCTTCTTTAGGTCGACGATGAGCTTGTCACGAATCCTAAGCTCGTGTTTGGCTTTTTGCTTGAATTCCGAGGTCGGACGCTGACCTTGTAAGTCTTTGATCTTCGCAAGCTCTTTTTGTGCGCGCTTCGTCTCTTCATTCACACGCTTGACCTCATCCTCAAGTCTAAGGCTTCTCTTGAGCGCGCTCGTCGTGTAGCTCACGTACCCTTCCATGAGGTCGTGGTATCGGACCTCTAAGCCTTGGTATTCGGCTTTAAGGTCATGGTACCTTTGCTTGTCTCGTTTCACCTCTGCGACTCTCTCGTTCGCTTCAAGAACCTCCCTCTGAAGCTTGCAATTCTTAAGCTCCAGTTCTGAGCACTCTTGCATAGTCCTTTCGATTTCTTTGGGAGTGGCAGTTTCCGCCCACTTAGCGCAAGGGTTGAAGGGAACCATCTTCGAGGGTGTTGAGATGATTTGAAGAGGGAGGAGAGTGTCTCCAAATAGGTGGAAACTGGTATGGTGAAGGTGTGGGTGTGGCTGCGGAGAGCTGGGTTGAGGAATAGAAATATTTTGTGTGAAGCAGGATGATGGTGATCAAGTTATCCTAATATTGTCTCAAGCAAGGGTGGTGAAGTAAGACAGTATCTCACAAGAAGCTGGAGAGAAAGAAAAGAACGTTTGGAAGGCGTAGCTCCTGCTTTTTATGTCCAGGAGCCACGTCGAGCTGAGGAGGGTCCAACTCATCTATCCGGTATAGATTACCCACCGGGATGGTGAATGCGAACCGTTGATGCTTCATACCCGTGCGAACAATTTACAGAATCAAAATCATCGATCTTATTGGAGAACTGAGAGCGGTCGTTAACGTTGGGATGCTGAACCATGGATGTTGACAAGGCATTACCAAATAACAATATGTCAATTTTCAGCCCTACAATACCCTGTTTCCACGTCGGACTCTATGCAGACAGATTTATAATGGATGATAGTTAGGCTCAGTAATGACTCACTCTGCTAAAGTGTTTAGACAATGTACCAGTTTCCTACTAAATGTTCAAATGATGGGACAGCTGGACCGTTGGGCGTTGGACCAAATTATACAGTACTCGACTTGAGTGTGAACGTAAGAGAGCATCCTGGAGCGAAAGAGCGAAGTTTAACAGTTGCATATATACAGAAGAAAGTGGACAGTGAAGTCCCAATAGTTTAAAAGAAACGACAGGACTTGTTCTAGAAACCTCAGTGCCAGAAACCGGAATATACGGGTTTCATACCAGTACTGGGTAGGCATTGAAACCAGCTCGTGGATGGATATTGACATGTAAAACGAAGTTCATTGATTCTTGTATGATGCTTTGCTCAGGAAGGACTTGGAAAATCTTGCAACGTAATAAGATATAGAAACTCCGGTATGTAGTCTATCTGGATCATCTCCATTTGCTCCGTGTACTCTGATGGCATATGCTCAAGTAGGTCTATTAATGTATAACTGAATCGGATACGATTTTGGGAGACGGATCTAAATGAGTCGATTTATCTCATTTCCCTCTAAATTAAGGAGATGATATTTGCGGACATTATTGCCGTTGACTAGAATTAGAGATGGAATTATGAATGTCGTCAAATGAAGCGGCGGATCGAAGTGGGAGGTATCGGCTGACAAAGCCATTTATCCACCTAAACTTCAATTAGATCTGATGCAAGATTTCGAAGGATTCGGACCATCATAACTTATCGCCCTTCCTAATCAACCTAAACATAAATTTTTACTCGGACTACTGCAGAGACGCAGGTCGCGATGGAGGACGAAGATCCCTTTGACCATGTGCTTCAACTCGAGTCACACTATCAAGCCGAGGGCTACGCCTTAGGTGTCGCTGATGGCACCAAAGCCGGCCATGCTGAAGGGTACGCATTTGGGATCGAGAAAGGCTTCGAAAAATTCATGCAGATGGGTGTCGTGCAAGGCAGAGCAGCTGTATGGGAGGCAAGGGTGGCAATGAGCGATTACAACGGCGAGAATACGATCACCAACGAGGGGACATCATCTTCATTAGCGGATCCCTCGCAATCTGGAAATTCGAAAGCGAAGGAAGAGGGAGATGATGTGAAGTCGGTGGAAATCAGCCAGCGTGATCCAAAGTCCAGGATACCGGCTTTGCAACCAAATGAAAGGCTGCTTAAGCACCTTGGTACTCTCCATTCTCACACCGACAACATGACGATGTCTCTCGAGAACACCGAAGAGGCGGTAGACGCGTTCGATGAACGGCTTCGAAAAGCGACCGCGAAAGTTAAGGTCATTGAGAAGACTATGGGAGAGAAAGGATTCGAAAAAGCAGTTTTCGGTACTTCCGATGCGGCGGCGGAGGAGGGAAGAAAACCGTCGACAACTGGACTCCGGATCAGACCTCCACCGGCAGAGAGGCAGATGGAGGACTTTGGAATATGAGGTCAACGAAAATAGACGGCCCTAGAGTTGGAAAGTGGTGAACAATGACGAAGCTGCCGTCTCGACAGGTCTTTTAAGCCTATTCTATCGATCCATTCATCACGGAAGACGCCGCAATAATCATACAATCCTAATGCTCTAATATCATCTCAATGTCCCTTCCCATATTTTGTTGCATCCATCAAACGAGACAAAACCAGAGACAGAATGTCTGGAGAATGACCAAGGAAAATATGCCGTTGGAGGCCAGCCGTGACACCCGTTCTTATTCTGATGCATCCGAAATGCACCGTCTGGAAGCCGCAGAAAGACATAGGAAATCATTGGCGTCAAGCGGGCACATTCAATGCCAGGCTTCGGTTTGCCGCCTCGATAAGCGACTACTCGCCAGCGCTCTGCTTCGGAGGACTAATGGATTACTGTGCGTTGGTGTGGTGTTTTCATCTTTTTCCCTTCGGACTCTCCCGGCCGAATCACTGTTGGGGGTGTTATTTCCGCCACTTGTTTTTGGGCCTGTTTTTGACCCTTTTTCTCTTGCCTCTCGAATCGCCGGTGTAGGGGCAAGGCTCAGCCGTCCTCGGCGACTGCTACCGCTTGTACCGCCCAAGCTTGTGCGAGGAAGCCTGCTCTTCGCGACTTGCAATTGGAGAAGCCCCGAGCCGGATGTTGGGCCGTTGCCTGCGGCTCCCCCAGAACTAGTGTTGCTCTCACCAGAACCGGAGCGGGATTGGGTTCCGGGAAGGATGCTCCCGTCTCGACTGGTTGGTCGGAACACTGCAGGCGAGCCATTGCTAAGACCAGCGCCATTGAGGGGTGTGTTGTTGTAAAGTGATGAGGACGTGGAGCTGCCACTGCCAGCATGTGCCCGCGGTCGAACGCCCAAAGAGTTACTGTCAAAGTAAGTCGAGGAGATTGCTCCAACAGGACTACGTAATGAGTGTGGAGTGACGGATTTCGATGTAGGTGGGGTCATGACGGTAGCACTTGCGCCTGAGCTAGAGCGTCTCATGCCTGCGGGTCGTATTAAACGGGCCCCAGCGACCGATATGGACTCGGCGCGAGCCGCAGACAGGGGGACCTGCTCATCGCTTCGCTGGATGAGATCGCTCGCCATCTCTCGGACAAGCACAGCCGGGTCTGAATCAGCGAGCTGAGCAATCGCTTCGTATATCCCATACGCCCTAAGGAGGCTAATGCTCCTTGAAGTCGGCGACCCAGTACTGATGTCGCGGGAAGACGGAATTTCCTCATCAACATAGGGTACAGCATCGCAAATGCACCGAAGAATGCGGATGAGATTAAGCCGTACAACCGCTTTCTTGGTGTGGAGTTTCTGAGCGGTTCGGCCAAATATGTTGGGGTGTGCAAGGTGCGCTGCTATTGCTGGGGAAAGACGGAACAGCTTGAGGAGCGGTTCAAGTAACTGCTCAAATGCATCCGTGGAGACTTCCGGATTCGTAAAGCAGTCGATGATTGCCTGCCCGAAAGAACTCTCGAGGAGGTGCTGTTCAACACGTGCGGTCTCTTCTTGCAACCTATCAAGTTTGTGAGTCATGGTGTCACGACGGGGTTTGGGAGTTGGCTTACCAGACATGAATGGCCTCCAACGCAGTCACCTGCCAGTACTTATCTGCTAGCAGTGAAATGTAGAATTGGAGACCTTTGTTCTGCCACAACAGCTTCCTTCCCACTTTCCCAGAATGAGCCATATCACATAGGATCGGGAGAGCGAACTCTTTGAGGGGACGCTCAGTCTGAACAATCTTCTGAAGGAGGGGTATGATCCCGCTGAGCGCCGCATCTTCCTGTCTCGTCTTGCTCAACCGACAAAGATTGTACATGATGTTCAAGACCTGGTTCGAGACTTCCCTGGAATGAGGGAGTTTCATGCTAGCGCTAAGAAGATCAGTGAGAGCTTCTATAGCGTTTGAATTTTGCAAGGCGTCGTGAGTTGTCGCAAGCATGGACAGATTCTTGATAAATTTAAGCATGGTGATCTGATGCTGGGGAGACATTCGCCTCAGATCTTTGAGAATTCCTGTACAGTATTAGCAAGAAAATGGATCAAGAATCGATTTCAATTTACGCTTCAAAACCATGCGGTCGGCAACCGTTTCCTTCACGTAGCTCTCAGCCTGAGAGAACAGCAGAAAGATGTTGACGATGCGACCTTCGACAAGCTCTGCAACTTCGTCATCTTCGTCAAGGACTCGGTTGAGGACAAGGGAGAGTGGGTAAAGGATGGAACTTCTCGAGAATATCCGGCAGAAGTCATTCTTCGGGGTTGGACCCTGCGAACTGTTAGCATTTCAAAAATGACGGACGGAAAGTTCCAACCTGAAGCTCAAAGACGCTCCAGACGCCGTTGACGCCAATTAGCACAAGATCTCTTTCAGTGTCAAGGTCTTCTTCAAGAAACTCCACAAGGACGTTGAGACCGCCACAGCTGATGAACATTTGTAGGGTAAGCGTCGACGTCTGATACATCTGGCGAACGAAAGCAGCTGCCTCAAGCCGGATCTCACTTGAATACTTCTTGTGGGCAAACTTTGTGATGATTGGTATGCCACCGACGAAGCACAGGTTCTCTTGCAACTCGGTATTCTCGTGAATGATCATGTTCACGATCTTGAGAAGGCGGACAATGACATCCATCCGCTGGGAGTTTTCGAGGATCTCTAGTGTTGGCAACATCCCGTGAGAGCTTATGATCACATTTTTGAGATCAGGGGATTCGTATAGGAGCTGCATCAATTGCTCAGAAATATCGGCGAGAACATCGTCTGGCTGCGAAGTCTTCAGGGAGCTGACAAGGCTCTCCACGGAGGTACAAAGGCGAGCATGCCGATCCCGAGCAACGTTGGTCTGAAGGTCCATTTCATCGAACCCTTCTTCTAGTTGGGCGAACGGATCATCCTCGTCTTCTTCATCAACAAGCCATGAGTTGGTGGAGAATTTGGAGTTGAGCATCATCAGCGTGCTCTGGTCCGAGCCGCTATCGGAATCCGGTACGGGTAGTACCGATCCCGTTTTCCCAAAGATATCAGAGAAGTCCTCTTCGTCAGCTTCCGCATATTTTTGAATTTCCACGGAGGACCTAGACCGGAGGATCTGCGGGGAGAATTGCTCCTCGGGAGGAATTGGGTTCCGTCTTAAGCTACCCACACGTCTGCCGACATGTTGCGTGGATCGAGGCATGTTCTTGAGATCAGAAGGATGGAAAAGCTTTGGCGAGAACGAGTCCCCTTCTTGGTTCCTCATGCTCTGAATCCTTCTCTCGAATGCGGCATCGTCATTGGCGATCAAGTCGGAATAATCTTCCACCGAGTCCTCCCTGAACGTGGCAGCAGGTCGGGCGGAAGAGCCATTCGTTTCCCTTTTTGGGGCATGTCCAGCAGCCGGTGGTGGTGGCTTAGAAGAGTTCACGCGGATTCGAGGTTTGGGATGCGAAGGACGCCGTGGAGACTTCGCCTGTGTCGGCCGTCCTGTGGATTTGTCTGAATGCTTTCGCCCAGGAGTAGCCGGCTTGACAGTTTCAAGTGGATCAGTACTTGTGAGATTGTACGAACTTCGATCGTTGAGATCTGCTTGTGAGTAGTTCGACTGTTCCGAACCTCTCGGATCTGTGCGAGCGTATGATTTCAGCCTTTCTGAACTTAGTAAGCCAGCGAAATTATCATGTGGTCGCAAGTGTGGCAATTGAAGCGCATTAGGGTTGATTGAGGAGGCAAAGTCCGCATCCCAGTTATCGTCAGCCTCATGGTCAGGGGATCTAAATTGATCAGGATTAGGTCTCATCTTCGTAACCTTTAACGCTTCCTTCGAAGATGTATGGCTCATCATCTGAGAGGACCTCCCATTGGCAGCTGGTCCCGGACTAGTTGCTACAGGTCGTGATGTTCGTTTGAAGGTACCATTGGGTGACTTCAGAGCTTCATTCCATTCCTGAACGGTTTTGACCACCTGGTCGTATTTGGTGGGCATTGGTGTGACGATGGAGTCTGCCCTCTTGGCGCTCACAATCCATGGATGCTTCAAAAGCTTCTTGGCAGACACTCGTAGGTTAGGGTCTTTCTGGAAGCATTGCATAAGGAAATCGCGGACACCCTAGATGTTATTAGCTGCGTTACAAGTGACAAAGGGCATGGATAGCAGTACCGGAGACGCTCCTTCGGGAAGAGGAGGGTGGTCATCGTTCACGATACGGAATAGAGCAGGCATTGGCTGTAGTTGGTAGTATGGAGGCCTTCCGTCGAGGAGTTCAATGACAGTACAGCCGAGACTCCAGATATCAGAGGCAGTGGTAGCCCCAGAAAGCTCAATGACTTCTGGGGCCATCCAATACGGGGTTCCGACAACGCTGGATTCACTCAGACCGGACGCTTTCGTTGCGACGCCGAAGTCTGCCAATTTGGCCAGCCCCTCTTTTGTTGTGAGAATGTTGGCGCCCTTGATGTCCCTATGAATGACACCTTGGTCGTGAAGATAGATCATGCCATAAAGGACCTGTGACATGTAGAGTGCGACGAGATTCTCCGGGAACTTGCCGAAGTTCTTGCAAATCGAATGCAGCGATCCATTCTCACAGTACCTATTCCGCGTCAATATCCAGTGTGCAACACCCATGTTCTTTGGACCTACTCTAGGATGATATATAGTGATTCGGCAGACTTGACGAAGCCGTGGTACTTGACAATGTTTGGGTGGTGTAGGTTCTTCAAGAGGTCGATTTCGAGCTATACGATCCACCGTCAGATGTGTATGAGGATCGCGGAACGGGAGATGTACCATGATTGTGCCGATCTCATTTCTCGGTAGATCGGTGAGCTTGATCTGCTTGATAGCAACCGTTTCACCGGACCCCCAGTGCAGTGCTCGGTATACCGACCCGAAGGCCCCCTTCCCGAGGCAGTCTCCCAGTTGCTGTGGTCTCATGTCAGCGCCTCCATAAGCTCACTTCAAACTCTATGCCACGTACGTATCCTTTCAAACCTTCTACATCCTGTGCCGCTCTCTGAGCTAACCCATCGCGACTTGGCTTGGGGAGCAGTGGTGCCTTCGGTTGTTTCGCTTGCCCTTGAGGTGTATCAACCTGCTTCCGAGCTCCCGAGCTCTTCTCCGCTTTATGTCTCCCACTCGAACCCATTATGAATATTGACGTGGTTGAGGAGCTGTGAAGCTCCTCAACTAGTCTCGATGCGCAGTGGAGGCAGGGTGGATGGTGCTCGCCTGGAAGGTAAGACGGATTCGCGTGATGGTCGGGGCGTAGGAGTAGGAGGTGACAACCGTAGAGTCCTGCCCTTCATAGCAGTGCAGCCCCTCTTCCGGTGCAGATGGAGAAAGTCGACGGTTGGAGCAGGCTACAAGGTCCCGATATGGAAACCCGGTACCAAGCCCTAGAAGAGTCGAAGTCCTGGAAGGGTCGAGCTGGAGTCGTGGTGCTCAATTACGACACTGAGGGCCAGGTCGGTCAAGAGACTCTTCACGGGCAGTCAAAAATCGCAGACGCACCCTTGGTCTACCCTCGATTCGTCTATTCAGGTGCTCCACTTGGGTGAACAACCGCAGGCACTTCCTTACGGGAGTTGATGATATATCAAGGCTCACAAGGGTTAGGGGCCAATGCGAAGACCACGTCGCCCGGCTTATAGGTGTGTTATAGGGCTGTTATGTGGTGACGAGTCAAGGATATGGGGAAGTTGTTCGTTTGGAATTGAGTGTACGTGACTTCCAGTCTTTCACGTTTCCATGAAGCGTGGTCGGTCGTTTCCGCAAGAGTCCGCAAGTCAACGATTGTATAACACGCAAAAGCAGGAGTATGAGCTTTTGTGAACATTCAAATTGGTCCACACTGTGTTTCCTGCATGGATGGGCAGGAGGCTGTCATCGTTTACACCCTCCTGCGCTTGATTTGCCGAGTTTATGCCGGTGGTGATAATTGGACCCTTCCTGGTCTCTAGGGATATCGATATCTGCCCTCTCCTCGTCCCCCGCAATTTCCTACGTCGAGACGAGGTGAGATGTAGAAAATAATGTCCGGTTACGGAGAGCATTATGACACTTGATAACAATCAGAAGTAGAATCACAATATTTCACAAACTGTTCCCAAGTATTGTACTCCCAGCTCTCCACATACAGACCCTTCAACTCCGCGCATCATCATCCAATAAGATCAACCGGAGTAGCTTCCTACTCATGTCACGAAATATCTACCTATATCTATAGATCCCTTCTCTTCAACAACAAGATACAAATATCCGTGCGCGTTGGTATCCCAGGGTGCTTATCCATTATACTCCCGTGTCTACCACTGCAGATGCTGCGGGAAACGGACTCATTGTAGTTTCGGCCTCTATCTGCTACCTCCAGCTGGTTCTTTGTCTGTGATCCAACCGAAAGAGTATTTCTCCATCTTAACATTCCCCTTTGCCGCTCTTCCCATATTTGGTACATGGGTTTCGATGGTAACTCGTCTAATGGGGTGGGCACTTGAACGCCTCACGAATGCATCAACGGTCTTCGCTGCCATTGCGAAGACTAATTCCCAATAAAATGATGTTTTCAAGTCCTCGATTTGGTTCGCAGGATACCTTCGCGGATTGAGGGAGTCGAGCTTAGGATGAGGAATCTCGGCGGTGTTGAGCAGCCTTTCGCCTAAACGGAGCGCGCTGTCTTCGCAGATGTTGATGTATTCCGAGCAGAGGTTCACGCAATCGGTTCCGACCTGCATATTCCAGGAGAAGAGATCATCAAGCGATATGCCGTACTTCGCTGCAATGTCTTAGCAACCTTCGCCTGTTGAGACCAGGTGGAAGTTTGTGCAGGAGCAACCATTCTGGGTTGAGCTGGTGAAGGAGTGTTGACCCCATTGCTGAGAGTGGTGGGTGTCTCTGGGTCAGTTGAGTCCCCTCCAACGACTCCGATACAAACATTCACATTGAGCCAGGAGGATTGTCATGCTTGGAAGCGCAATATCAAGACCCGGATGTGCACAAGACCCCTCGTGTTCAGACAAGGATTCATCGTGAACATCTTAAATTACACCGCCAACTTGGAACCCAACTCTTGACCCCACAACCGTGGGTGTGTGCACTTGGCTGGTGCGAAGATTGATTCGATGCCAAATGTAGGAAGTGGAGGAATCCCTCCAAAATATTCTGTCGAGGTTAACATCGGAAGAGTCGTATGAAGGACATCGCATGTTGTTAGCGGTATTGGCGTTTCCCATCCTCCCACCCAACCGCCAGCGGCCCTGCTGATAGAAAATTTATGGATTTGAGCTCAATATCGGTTGAGAATCCTTCGGGAGGATTCAAAGATCTGTCCCTTCCACGGCCTGAACATCCTCGAAGCATAGGGTAGGCTCGCCGATGTCCACATCGCGGCGCCAGCCAAGTGTGATAGCTCGAAATGTACGGAAATAGGACGCATTTACCTCCCTGATATGTGACTTTGAAGAGAGCTGAAACAGCGACGGAATTTTCAACGCAGTGCTTTGCAGTAAAACGAGAATCGACCCAGGCAATCAGCCTTCAACCAAGTCCATGTGATAGCGTGGTTAGTCAATACGAACGAGCAGGTTTCCAAAACACAAGCTCGTGCTAAACATTGATCTCCCGAAGTACCATGGGACTGCAAAGAAATCGTCGGGTACGGGGCCATCGGAGAGGAACAAGTCGCATACTTAAATTCTTCGATAGGAACAAACATTTGAGAATTAAAAGGGGGTATGTATGGCTGAGCATCCCACCCTCCTTCATGATAGCAATTCATCGCCTGCCTAGACCACTAAGGAATTGGATATGATGTCCTAGCGAACCGTTTCTGAGAGGTAGGGACTGTGTCTAGTTCCAACAGGTTCATTCAGAGAGATCGGTCGACCCCGATGTCCGATAGTATGCAGCTATCCATTACTGAGGTGTCAATAACAACTTCAGTGTTCGGATAGACGTCGCGGATCCCCCTGGATCATTGAGCGAGGATATGTCGCAAGATGCCCCTGTTAGTTTCTACTGCCACTTAACATTCCTTTCACTGCCCTCTACCCCTGGGCTAGGACTAATCAGGACTCTTCAGTCTTCTACTATGTATTTAAGTAATCTTCATCTAGCTTACTAGCTAGATCTCCTTTCCTAGACAATGGGAATCGTTAATACCAATTTGCATTAAGTTATGGCTCTACAGTAACTGAGCTTAAGCAGCGATCGTGCTTAATCATCCTCCCCGCGAAATGCGACAGGATATGGCCCATAGGCAGGGGTTATACGGCGTCTAATACACAGACGATGTGACATGCTCTTCTCTCCAAGTCTTCGTCAGTGAAAGGTGTTGTTGCGAAAGGGAAGACCTCAGTGCCCTCTCTGAAAATTGCAATGGTTGAGAGAATCACAGGTTTATGCTGTTATGAAGTTCAAGATCGATCTGATCTAGCATGGACGAATGAAATATTTTCCGCCTGACGTAGTTTGTCTTGTGTTAACGCCTGAGGCAACAGCTTTGGATATCAAGCAGAGTATCCGTAGAGATGATCTTGATTTCCACGTTGACCTTCATACCCCAATCTACCAGACTTGACTGCCTGTAAATCTGGAAATGTCGAACCAATTCCTTTCCCGGCTCCAATTCCTACATACCAACACCGCTTTGCATCGAATAGGTTGGCAGCTTGAGTTTCTTGACGTATGGCAGCGGCGTCGCTCTAGGGGGTCGGTTCACAAGACGTGCAGAATGTCCCGATCTCCGTCTTTCCTCCGATTTCGTTATGAGATTATAGAGTACAGGTGGAGATACCGGTTTGGTATTGCAGGTAGCATACGGGTCACATTAATAGGGGAAGCACAAGCGCGACATTCTCCCGAGCCCTTTTTCCACCTGGTCCACATCAATCAATCCCACACCCTCAATCGATATGACGTAACTTGGAAATAAGGATCAGTCCAAACAACACTGCTCATTCCAACAATGATAAAATAAAACTGTTTCTTGAATGGCCGGGTAAAAGATCAGCCAGTACGGAGACATCTCCTTGAATTCTTGAATTTGTGTCCTGTTACTGTAGTGAGCATGTTGCGTGGAGACCAGATGGGATGAGATCAGTAAACAATGACATCATCCGATCGTGAGACTCACTAAAATCGCCATGATGAGGCCATGTAATCCACCACACAAACCACCGAAACCAAGTCACCAGTTGATTTTCGCTACGTACGATCCTAGCCGTAATGTAATTGCCGATCTCGTCTCGTCCGGCCCAATGAAGTCCGGGATTTTCTGGTGGAGCGGTGGAGGAAGGTGTCAAACGGAAAGATCACTAGAATTCTTAGCATCTAATACGTCACTGGCGAGCTTGGCCGGTTTCGTGTGACCGAAATCATTCATAACCGCGACATTCCTCGTCTGCTCCTTCTAATTCTTCACCGCACATCCAAAGGAATTCCATCCATCTACTACCGTTTCCATCTCAATCGACCTCTTTACCACATCCCAAACACCATCCAAGCAACCACAATGGCCACTCTTCACTGTACGTCCACCCCTCCCGATGAAGTCAACCCCACCCCACACCTCCATCGTATACTAACTCCCCAGACCTCCCCCCCGTCAAGCCCTCCGCCATCGCCATTGGCACCCTCTTCAACCACGCCACCTCCCTCGCCGTTCTCACCCCCCTCTTCGGCGACACCTACCGCCGCGCCGAGGCCGCCAACTCCAAGGAAGACTTCTTCAAATCAAAGGAGGCCGCGTCCGCCGCCTCCGCCTGGGGCACCTCGCTTGCCGGCTCCGCCCTCCAGTCGTATGGCGTGGGCGCGCTCATCAACGCGACCGGCACGCTGACGTATAAGGGCGCGGCGTATCTTGGGGGGTTGATTTTCTGCGCGAGCACGGCGCCGGGAGTAAGTTGTGGAATGTGGAGTTTGTGGAGTGGTGGCTAACTTGTGGATGTAGCTCATCTCGCAATTCTTCCTGGAGAAGCGCCCCGTCGACACGCTTGCTGTCGGTGCGCTGGCTCGCGTGTTCGAGACCGTCGGACTCAGCTTGGTTATGACCTACTGGGGCACCCGGACCAACCCTTTTGACTAAATGTCTGATCTTGGCTGAGAGTCAGAAGGGCGGGACGGTGTGATGAACGAGACGTGGATTGGCGACAGGGAAGGCGCTATGTATTATAGTAATCTTCATGGACCCTGAAACAGCGATCAAATTTGACCAATCTATGGTTCATGACAACGTTTAAGCGTGATATCGTTGATTATCGAACTTTGGATCATCCGTGCCGATGTATTCATGACTCTAGCTCTCCCCATTTTTAAGCTCTTGCTGTCATACTCTCCTATCAAAGTGTCCCCACGCAAACCCAAACCGACCCACTCCATCGCAGATGCTCGCAGGAACGACCAGGCCTTCCATCTCGCGGCTATCGGACTATCAGCATCGCGCTCGGCACAAACCCCGCCTCCTTCACCGTCAACCCAAAATCCACATCCGAAAACACCTTCTTCGGATAATTCTGCACAAACTCGCTCACCTCCCCCATCCCCTCCTCGGCCACCGCCGCCGCCACCTCCGCCAACGTCGTCTCCGCCGCAAACGTCTTCACCACGCTCCCATTTGTTGTCTGCAGCTTCAGTCGCGCCTCCGTGTACACCCGCTTGACGCCCGGCACCGACGCCGGCGCCGCTTCCGGTTGCGAGGCGGACGCGGCCTCGGTGCCGCCGCCGGGCAGCCGGGCGATGCGTTCCTGCTCGGCCTTTCGCTTCCGCGCCTCCTTGTCCGCTTCGATCATCGCCAGGGCGCGTTTCTTGGCTTCGACGTCCTCGAGCTTCTCGCGGCGGCGAGCGGCGGCTTGCTTGAGTTGTTCTTTGCGTTGGAGGTCTTCTTTAATGTCGTGGGATTCTTTGGTGGCTTTGCGGCGGATTTCCTGGGGATGGGGTTAGAGGGGGGTTGGGAGGGTGGGGGGAGAAGGTACCTCGTTCTTCTTCCGCGCGAGCTTGTCTTCGTCTACTTGGATGGCGCGTTTGGCGGCGAGCTTTTGGCGGAGGGCTTCGAGTTTGGCGGCTTTCTCTTCTGCGGTCAAGGGGGCGATTTCGTCCACGGATTCGGAGAAGTTGGTGTGTTCGCTGCGGGAGATCCAAGGTTAGCATCACCATTTAAGGATAGAGCATTTTCAAAAGGCACAGTACCTCTTCTGTGCGTGGAACTCCGCCTCCCCCGCATTCCGGAACTTCTTCCCACAGTCGTTGCACACGAGGCTCTTTGCTTGTGCCTCACCAGCCTTCACTTCGATTGATGGCCCCGCTTCTTCCTCGTCTCTCCCTGTGTCGACTTTGATTTCGTCGAGGGACTTCTCCTGGTTCTTCTCCAGCCAATCGATCGCATCCTGCACTGTAACATCACTAGTCAGCGCTGACCTCACTCAGTAAAGCGAGGCTCGGTTGGACTCACAGCTTCTGGTTTCCTTGACTGCGATCTCGACTCGGTCCTTGTCGAAGCCCATCTCGAGCAGCATATTTAAATCGGAGGGAGCCATGATTGCAACGTCTTATAATCCTAGGTTTCTGTAGAAGGTGTATTCCTCGTTCAAGGGAGTTCGTGGGGTGATGGTTTTGATGTTGAGGGATATCATGCGTCTGTATTGTAGGCGCCAGGCAGATAATGACCAAGTTTCCCCAGCGATGATAAAAGCCTCTAGCAGCCTAATGGATTATTCGCTGATATTTGCCTTCACATGCAGCTAATAGCTAATAATCTCACGTGCGGATAAAGGTATCAAATGGTTCCGGTCGGGGAAAGGGAAAGACGTCAGAAGCGGCGGGCGGCGAATGATCCCACAAATCCCTGTTCGCTCTCCGTGTGCCGTTCCAGACATCCAACACCTAAGAGTCTAAGACAACCGTCACTCTCTCCGAGCCTGCTGCTTTGGATTCCTAAGCACAATCACCATCACGTCTGTCACTCCTTCCTGCTGCGCCCTTGATCTGACTGTTCGATTCCTTGATCGTTCGCACCTTGTCGATATCTGTACTGCTCAAGTCGTTCCGTCGCCTGCATTGATCCCTTCTCCTGCGCAACCGGAATACCTCTTTGCGGTCCATTATCTCCCGTGAACGGCCATCGTCCCCCAATACAAACATTCACAGCGTTTCGGACTTTCGGTTATCATGTCTGTTGAGCTGGATCCAAGCGAGTTGAGCTTCAAGAGTATGTAATCGATCTCGGCGCGGTAGTGGCGCGAACCCGGCGCACCGATGAGATGAGATCGCTATGCAACCTGCTTGAGAACACGCCTATTGACTATCATGTAGGGCCCTTCGACCATGAAGTCTCACAAATCCTCAGCTTGCGGAATCCGCATGATGATCCCGTTGCCTTCAAGGTTCGTTGTCGATATCACCTTTGGTGTCTAACCCCTTGCTTATGCAATCCATCATCTAGGTGAAAACAACCGCGCCCAAGCAGTATGACGACTTCCTTTGGCCAGTATATTTTGTCCATCAACCCTGACCGTATCCCAGATACTGCGTTCGACCAAATTCTGGACGCATCGATCCCGGCGGCACCGTTGAAGTGCAAGGTTCGTTTTCTGCCTGCGTCTCCAGAAGTGCTCCTAACGTCATCATCAGTTCTCCTTCAATCGATGCAGAAAGACCCGCCTGCAGACTTCAAGTGTCGCGACAAGTTCCTTGTCCAATCCGTCGGCATCGCCAAGGATACCGATGTGTCCAACGTCGCATCGATCGCAAGTACTTCCACCGTTTCTGTCTGACAACGCTGACTCTTCCAGTGGTCTCAAATCGAACAAACCGCCAAAAGCACCATCCAAGAACGCAAGATCCGCGTCGTCTTCCTTCCCGCCGATGGCGACGCTCCCACCTCGACCCCCGCCAAAGCCCCCAACGGTATCAAAGATGAACTCTCCTCCTCCCAATCCATCCTCCCCATCACTCCAGGCACCTCCCGCGCGAACTCCACCGCCCGCTCCGAACCCTTGAGCACCCCGACCACCTCCGACAAATCCAAGGAATCCAAGCCCATCCCGACCGCCATCTCCGAGAAAGCCAACGCCACATACGCCGAGCTGAAGCAGCAGCTCGCGGCCGCGAACGAGCAGATCCTCAAGTTGAAAGAACAGGCGCAGGAAGGGTTGCGCCAGCGGAAGCCGACCAGCCAGGAGACGAAGTCGACCGGCGCGGGCGGCGCGGGGAACTTGGCGACGGCGAACCGCAATCCCCCGCAGAACGGCGTGCCGCTGCAGATCACGGCGCTGCTGTGCTTGTTGAGCTTCTTGCTCGGGTGGTGGTTGTTTTGAGCGGTCGAGTCACGGCCTCCGCGTGGGGGTTGGGATGTGGGGAGATTCCAGATATATGGTAACTCGGTTGGCATCCCCATCGTTGCAACCTGAGGCGAAATCAAGAGGATGGATAACGGAATGGTCTACGGTGTTGAGCTTCTGTGAGGTAGAGACGGAGCTCTAGAAGGCATTGCTTTTCACACGACCCATGGCGATGCTAGGATGGTTGGCTTGCTGCACTGGTTTCGTGCATCACAGAGGACAAGGGTCTTTTCTTTCCGTGTGGGGTTGGGTTCCTCGGGGGATCTTCAAAACGTATCCGATGAGTTTGCCTCCGATTCGAAATGTGGCCTCGGAAACCGACTGCGTGGGACGGGATATTGGCAACGACCTTGACCGATGTACGTCAATCGAGGATGGTCACCCGTGGCCGCGCAACTGATAACGGATCGTGGATTTACGGAACGGAGCGTCGGACTGGGTACATTGTGTGTGCGCGTGTTTGGGCGAATGTCTCGTGCAGTAACGGTGGATATTCTGTTTGATGCACCGTCTTGCCTTTTATGAGTTTTACCTGTGTCTTTTGTAGCCTTTGAGATAGCGTGGATATGCGCAAAGTACACTTTAGTTCTACATGCAGCCCCGAAGTCCTATGGGGGACTTCGTAATCTGTTGAACGGATGACTATAGGACTATACCTTATATCCCTCGGGGTTGCCCATCTTGGCCACCAATGTGGTCCATCAGGACATTTGGGGCCGCGGATAGAAACTACTCCGATCTGGATCCGATCTCCAAACATCCAATCGATCTCGTTCACCTATATTCGTTTATCGATGATATGACAACGCTTTTCATCCCTCCACCCCGCGTGCACCAAAATACGAAAACGCTCGCGTGAGCCCTCAGTCCTGGCACCGGCATCCCCCACTTCCGCTTTCGTCCAGGGTATGTGCGCGTTGCAATATGCGGCACCGTATTGGTTGGCTCGTTTGCATGCCCCATTGTCGCGGTGCAGGACGGCGGCGTGCACCACGGGGGAATCTGACTATATTTCCTCCACATACTCTCAACTCGGATGGGGCAATCGTATACGGTCATTTAAAAAGCAACGGAGCCGAGATAATAAACATGTACTGTGGAGTGCGACGGGGGGACGGGGGGCGGGTTTATTATGGAGGGGCATTGGAACCGATAGCGGGTTGACTCATGAGTGGATGAGTGGATGTGTGGTTCGCCGCAGTCACATAAAATCTTCAGCCGTTCCCCTCCAGTGATTCAACACTTCAATTCCACTCCATCCGTCTCGATCGTTGGACAATTTTTCGACAGGACGGTTCATAGACCACATAGATCATCATGTGTGGCATTTTTGCGTGCTATCGGTATGTCGTCTGGTCCCGCTGCCCGGCCGCAATGGTCGCTGCGATCGCGGTGGAAATTGTTCGAGGATATGGAGACTGATTCGTGTGGCCAGGCATCCCGATGTCCAGAAGTTCAAGCCCACGGCGCTGAAGATGGGGAAGGCGTAAGAATAACCGGCGGTTCGATGCTGTAGGGGCCATCTGCTAATGTGTTCCACATAGTGTGCGGCACCGTGGACCGGATTGGAGTAAGCGATCTCGGCGGACGATTTGATGGGCGAAAGCTGAACAGTGAATAGGCGGAAACTGGATTGCCAACGATACGAGTGAGCATCTCGGTGTTTCTAGAAATGATCCGGGCTAATTGAGGTGTCTAGTTCTTGTTCACGAGCGACTGAGCATCGTCGGTGTTGGTATGACTCAACAACCATATCGCATCCCGAGTCACCGGCTAACACACCTCCTCCCCTTCAGACAGCGGCGCACAACCTCTCGTTAGCAAAGATGAGACCATCTCGCTCGCGGTCAATGGCGAGATCTACAACCACCGAGTCCTCCGGAAACAACTGGCCAAGCCATACGAATTCAAGACCCACTCGGATTGCGAGGTCATAATCCCACTGGTGGGTATACTGAATCCCGAGGACTAAGCGGGCATGGTTGACACGACATAGTACCTCGAGCACGGCATCGACGCCCCCAAGTTCCTCGACGGCATGTTCTCCTGGGTCCTCCACGACAAGACCGCCAACCGCGTCATCGCCGCCCGCGACCCCATCGGCATCACCACATTCTACATGGGCCGCTCAAGTACGACCCCGGGCGCCGTCTACTTCGCCTCGGAGCTGAAATGCCTGCACCCCGTCTGCGACCACATCGTCGCCTTCCCGCCGGGCCATGTCTATGACTCCAACACCGACGAGCTGACGCGCTACTTCACGCCCAAGTGGCTGATGGAGCCGACGAGCACGCCTACGACGCCGCTGGACTACGATCTGCTGCGGACGACGTTTGAGAGGTCTGTGCGAAAGCGGTTGATGGCGGAGGTGCCGTTTGGCGTGCTCTTGTCCGGTGGGCTGGACTCGAGCCTGGTGGCGTCGATTGCGCAGCGCGAGGTGAAGCGACTCAACGCGGAGGCGAAGTCACGGACCAACGGCGCCGCCAACGGCGTGGGCGGCGACCATCTAGTCGGGATCGACGACGGCGACCACCTGTCCACCGTCCAAGTGCTCCCGGAGCTGAACTCCTTCTCCATCGGGCTGCCGGACGCGCCCGACAGCAAGGCCGCGCAGGAAGTGGCGGATTTCCTCGGCACGAAACACCATAACCTCACCTTCACGATCGAGGATGGGCTCAACGCGCTGTCTGACGTGATCTACCATCTGGAGACGTACGACGTGACGACCATCCGCGCGTCGACGCCGATGTTCTTGCTCAGCCGCAAGATCAAGGCGCTGGGGGTCAAGATGGTGTTGTCTGGAGAGGGCTCGGATGAGATTTTTGGGGGGTACCTTTATTTCCATGCCGCGCCGGACAAGAAGGCATTCCATGAGGAGTGTGTTCGACGGGTCAAGAACCTACATCTTGCCGATTGCTTAAGAGCGAACAAGAGCACGAGCGCATGGGGAGTCGAAGCGCGCGTTCCCTTCTTAGACAAGCAGGTACGCATTACATTTCTCGCCGCGATCATCTAACAATGAGAACCATGACTAACCCCTCCGCAGTTCCTCGAAGTCGCCATGAACGTCGACCCCGCCGAAAAGATGATCACCAAAGACCGCATCGAGAAATACATCATCCGCAAAGCCTTCGACACGTCCGACAAGCCCGACGCCGAGCCCTACCTCCCAGACAAGATCCTCTGGCGGCAGAAGGAGCAGTTCAGCGACGGGGTCGGATACGGATGGATCGATGCACTCAAAGACACGGCGGAGAAGATGGTGAGCGACGAGGAGCTGGCGAACCCGAAGAAGGAGTGGGGCGACGACGTGCCAGATACGAAGGAGGCGTATTGGTATCGGTGTATGTTCGATGAGCATTTCCCGCCGTATTGCGCGGAGACGGTGATGCGGTGGACGCCGACGTGGAGTAAGCAGTCAGATCCGAGTGGACGGTGAGTGAATATCAAGCGATTAGATGTTTCGGAGGGGTTGCTAACGTGTTCCAGGGCGATTGAAATCCATCAAGACAAGTACGAGGATGCATAAGGAGGGGAGATAAATGGTTGTCGACATCTGGTCTCGATCAATCTCAAGCTGGATCTTGTATTTTCAGTATCTTTTGCGCTCTGGCTTCAATGACGGATTTGAGGCTTTTGGGTTCAGTTGTTTGCGCGGTTGGGTATCGGCATCGTTTTAGGGTTGTCTTCCCATGGATGCCTTCAATGGTATATTTACATGTAGGGGGAACCAGCATCTATCATGTACGAGGAACTGCGGCAGAGTGCAATGCTACTATGAATCTGAAGGGTCTCGCTTTTGTGAATGAATGCCAATGGTACCTAGAGCTCCGTGGAAGTATATGGAATACAACGTATGTGGTCAATGTGATGGATGACAATAGTACTGAGTACATTAAGAGGATGCCAAACCAGCATCGTTGTGGTTCTCTACCCTACTCAATGCGTTGAATCGTAGTACTCCTGACTCGACCATTAGCATACATGGCTGAATGACCTCCTATAATTGATGATGATCTTCAAGCGCATAAGGAGGGTAAATTGGATGCATTGGCGCAGCAAATCAGCAGGCCAAGTGACGCCATGGGGACGAAGTCACTACGAAGCATCGGAGGTTTCCGGCCGACGCATCACACACAAAACGTCAGATGCTTCTCTCTACCAATAAACTCTACCAATAACACCACTCCTCATTTGTTTTCTCTCCTATCATTCCTAAAGTCTCTTCCACCACTATCCAAGTCGCCAGATCATTCCATCACCGTCCAAATTCTTTCTCCCATATTTCTCCCTCTAACCTTCCAACATGTCTCTCCAATCCCACTTCCCTGGCGTCAAGGCCGAGGTCACTGAAGCTGGCAGCACCCGTCGGACCAACGCCTCAGCCAACGGCTTCAAGGCTGCCTCCGCGCAGGCTCCTCCGCCAGCATTCGCCGATATTGCGAAGCCTGCCAATGATGTGAGATCCAGGATCGAGGGGAATCGTCGAGTTTGAGAGCTAATTGATGGCGTGCAGTTGATCAACAAGGACTTCTACCATGCCGTTGCCGGTGAGCTCGTCATCATGCCATAGCTCGGGGAGCTTCGATCGCTAACCAGTTGTTTCGCAGCGCTCTTCGAGGTCAAGCTGAAGACTCCGAGCGGTGTCGCGGTCACGACGAAGGGAACTTCGCCTCACGATGGAACTACCAGCGGTTCCGTAAGTGGTCGCTCCCTGCCAGCATGGCGGCTTTGGAGGGCGTCGAGTACTGACGAGAGATGTTGCGCGAATACAGGTCGAGGCCAAGCAAACTGTCACAAAAGGTTCGATTTGCCTTCACTCTTTTTATTGCGAATCACATCTCCGCTACCCTAGTCAACGACGTTCTAGGGATCGACCAACAGGTCCATCCCAATCAGGAGTGCTCCTTGAACAACAACCACAACAGCAACCACAACAACAACAACCCTCTCCTTCTCACGCTCCTTATCGTTCCATTCACACCTTCACGGACGTCGCACTAACTCGAACTTTCTCCCTCCTAGGCGTCACGACCACCATCACGTCCAACACCGCCAAGCTCCTCTCCGCTAAGGCCGAACTGGACAACCAGCTCGCCCAGGGCCTCAAGGCCGAGCTGGTCGCCAACTACAAGCTCGACAAGGGCCCCACCGGCGGCAAGCTCTCCCTGTACTTCAAGCAGCCCATGTTCCACACCCGCGCATTCGTCGACTACTCGCACAACAGCGGCGCGGTCCAGGCCGTCGTCGACGGGGTCGTCGGCCACGAGGGCTTCCTCGTCGGTGGTGAGGCCGGGTACGATGTGCAGAAGGCCACCATCACGCGCTACTCGGCCGCGTTGGGCTACCAGGCGCCGCTGTTCAGCGCCGCGTTGACCGCCCTGAACAACATGAGCGTCGTGCAGGCGTCGTACTACCAGAAGGTCAACTCGGCCGTCGAGGTCGGTATCAAGGCTTCGTACGACCTCAAGACTGCCGGCAACGTGGGTCTGGAGATTGCTAGCAAGTACAAGATCGACCCGCTGAGCTTCGCCAAGGTGCGTATTCCACTATGATTGTAACCGTGAAGCATATCTAATCCATATTTCTCAACAGGCCAAGATCAACGACCGCGGCATCGCCTCCATCGCCTACAACACCAAGGTCCACCAAGGCTTCACGTTCGGCATCGGTGCCTCGCTCGATACCCAGAAGCTCAACGAGGCGGGCCACAAGATCGGCACTAGCTTCACCTTCGAGGGCTAAGTGCGGACCTCGTCAGAGATTCGAGGACCTGCTATCAACATGTATCATACTTGCAGCTAGAGAGTCGGCAGAGGATATCGGGATGCGTTGATTGAATAGAGCTACCTTTTAGCGGGCGACATTCACAATATCAAAAGGTCAATCGGGCGTGGTAGCGTGGGTGGAGCAAGTGAACGACAAGTTTCCTTTGGCATTACCCTTCAATTCGGAATTCTTGACCGCGTATGGTTGTCTTTATCGATTTCCAACCAATCCATTGTAATCCCATTCATGATATCTCAATGCGCAGTAGGGGGAGGGGGGTCGAACTCAATTCGCTGCAGCCGTCTACAACATCCTAACTGCCAAGACCCACCCCGGATCGGGACTCCAATAAAGTGCTGAACAAGCCACATTTCGATGCTTCAACTATCCAGCGCCGATACATGAGACCCAACCTCCAGGCACATCAAATCCCACCATCCACCACCGTGTACCTAAATACCGGTGATTCTACCATGATCTACCCATCTTAATCATTCTAAACGTTCAACCTCAAAGGGTTGGAGGAACCTTATTCACCGATCCCTTGTCCGCGTCATCATATCCTCCGACACCATGGGGATCTTTCACGCCCGCCCGCCCCAGCGGGATCCGTTTCGAAGATGGGGCATCTGGAACCTCATCAGCATCGCCCTGATCGGTCTGTCGTTCTCCTCCACGGCCGATGCCGCCGAGATGAGCGCGGCGGATTACTTCGTGCGGTCGCTCCCCGGCGCCCCCGAAGGCGTGCCGCTGCTGAAGATGCACGCTGGGTAAGTCGTACAGTCCGCCATCCACTCTCTCCTGCACGCGAATCAATCTCAATCCGTCCGATGCTAATGCGGCACAGCCATATCCCCGTCGACCCGGCCAATAACGGCCACCTCTTCTTCTGGCACTTCGCTAACCGCCACCTCGCCGACAAGCCGCGCACCGTCCTCTGGCTGAACGGCGGGCCGGGCTGCAGCTCGGAAGACGGAGCGCTGATGGAGATCGGGCCGTATCGGGTACGCGAAGGGGGCCAGCTGGAGCTCAACCCGGGGTCGTGGGACGAGTTCGCGAACGTGCTGTTCGTGGATCAGCCGGTGGGGACGGGGTTTAGCTACGTGGATACAAATAGCTACGTGCATGAATTGGGGGAGATGGCGGGACAGTTTGTGGTGTTTTTGGAGAATTACTATAAGTTGTTTCCGGAGGCGATGGGGGACGAGGTGGGTTTTCTTCCTATTGTTGATGCATCTTGTCGTGACGTCGTGGCTAATTCGATTACAGCTCTACATCGCAGGCGAATCGTACGCCGGCCAATATATCCCGTACATCGCGAAAGCCATTCTGGAACGCAACAAGAAGAACCTGGCTCACCCCATCAACCTCGAAGGCCTGATCATCGGCAACGGCTGGATCTCCCCGGCCGCCCAATACCCCTCGTACCTCCAATACGCCTACAAAGCCGGATTGATCGAAAGCGGATCGGCCCAAGACACCCAAGTGCAAGCCCAGCAATCTATCTGCATGAAGGCGCTCAAGGCCGGTGCGTCTAACCAGGTCGACACCAGCTCCTGCGAGCTGATCCTCCAGGAGATCCTCCGCGCCACCCAGGACCACACCGACACGCCCTGCGTCAACATGTACGACGTGCGCCTCCGCGACACCTACCCCTCCTGCGGCATGAACTGGCCCCCGGACCTCGATCACGTCACCCCGTACCTCCGCCGCGACGACGTCAAGCAAGCCCTCCACGTCGACGGCGCCAAGCGCACCGGCTGGACCGAATGCAACGGCGCGGTCGGCGGCGCCTTCACCGCGCGCAACTCCGTGCCGTCCGTCCACCTCCTCCCCGACCTCCTTGAGGAAGTCCCCATCGTGCTGTTCTCCGGCGACAAGGATCTCATCTGCAACCACATCGGCACCGAGGACCTCATCCACAGCCTGTCCTTCAACGGCGGCACCGGATTCGAGATCTCCCCCGGCGTCTGGGCGCCGCGCCGCCAATGGACCTTCGAAGGCGAGCCCGCCGGCCTCTACCAGGAAGCCCGCAACCTCACCTACGTCCTCTTCTACAACTCCAGCCACATGGTCCCCTTCGACTACCCGCGCCGCACGCGCGACATGCTCGACCGGTTCATAGGCGTCGACATCGCCAGCATCGGCGGGCAGCCGGCGAAGAGCGTGCTAGACGGCGAGGACGCCGGACCGCAGACCAGCGTCGGCGGGCATCCGAACTCGACGACCGCGCAGCAGGAGCAGGTGCAGAAGCTGAAGGACGCGGAGTGGAAGGCGTATTATCGCAGCGGAGAGATCGCGTTGGTAGTGGTGGCGTTGGCGGCGGGTGGGTGGGGGTTTTTCGTGTGGCGGGCGCGACGGCGGGGAGAGCGGGGAGGAGAGGGGCAGCGGTATATGCCGGTATCAGGGACGGAGGGGAATGGGAATGTGGGGCGGGGGTTAGGAGGGTTGGAGGGGTTTAGGGCGAAGCGGGGGGAGAGGGATGTGGAGGCGGGGGATTTTGATGAGAATGAGTTGGAGGATTTGGGGAGTCGGAGTAGTGGGGAGAAGAGGAGTGGGGAGGGAACGAGGGAGGGGAGGTATAGTGAGGGTGGAGAGAGTGAGAGTGGGAGTGGTGGGAAACGGGAAGTTAGATAAGGGAATTCGTTGCATGGGCCGGCGTTGGGGATATTGTTTTGATGCTCTTGTATGATATTGTTGCTTTTGGGACGTCCAAAACAATATCATTCATTTACTTGGACTTTTGAATCCATTGCCCGCCACCATTGGAACATTTGTCGATTTTGACCTTCATGTTAAAGCCATCTGGTCTATCCGATGGCGTTGAAGGTCTCTAGTATAATACGTTCAGGGTTGCGCTTTTACGAAATGCTCGTCCTACAGGTCTCAACTCCGAATCCCCGTGCCGAAAGAGATGCCAATCCATCCGAGCCGAAGAAAATCCATAACCACATCCTAACCCTCCATCTAACTCGTCTGCAATGTCACCTGCCCCACTCCCTCCCTCACCTCCTCCACCGCATCCGTCGCATGCTCATGCCCTCCCTTCTCCGCCGCCTCCACCGACTCCCCCTTCCCATCCCCCTTCCCCACTGACTTCCCCTTCTTCTGCGCCTTCTTCCGCTCCTTCTCCGCCTTCTTCACCCGCTTCTTCGCCTCCGCCTCCTCCCTTGCCTTCTTCTGCTCGTCTCCGCCGTACTGCTCCCGCCACTCCTTCGCCTTCTCCGTCTTAATCTGGGTGAACAGGTATCCTGGGCTGCCGAGCTTGTGGCCCGCTTTGATCTGGAAGATGGCGGGGGACCAGTGGGTCGGGATGCCAAGGGGGGGGAGGTTGAGTTGCGTGTTGATGGACGCGGCGGTGCCAGGCATGTAGGGCTCGATGAGTGCGGCGAGGAGGTGCACGTGGTTGAGGGCGACGTTGACGACGGCGGCGCAGAGGGCGGGTTGGGACTCGGCGAGGGCGTTATTGAGGAGGTGGTCTTGCAGAAGTTTGTTCCCGAGCGCGGAGACGTGCATGGCGGTGGTCAAACCAGCTTTGAGCTTCACCGCCTCCAGCTGGGCGACGTATTCTTGCAGCAATGCGTTGGTGGCGTCGATGTGCGGCTGGATGAGGCTGAAGGACGGGTCGAGCTCCCACGCGGGCACGACGGAGTCGTAGACCTTGGAGGCGACGAATTTGATGATGCGGTTGACGAGGTTGCCGAGGTTCTTGAGCAGGTCGTTGTTGTTGCTATCGATGAAGGCCTCCCATTCGAACTCGCTGTCGCCGGACTCCGGGCGGTGGGAGAGGAGGTAGTAGCGCCAAACATCGGGCGGGATGCCGGTGTCCTTGGCGTTGTTGCCGAAGACGCCGATGTTGCGGGACTTGGAGAACTTGCCCTTCTCGTACTGCAGATATTCGGTCGTGGAGATGTGGTGTGGCATGGTCCAGACGTCGCCGGTGCCCAGTTGGGAGCCGGGGAAGATGACGGAGTGGAAGGGGACGTTGTCCTTGCCCATGAATTGGTAGAGCTGGACGCTCGGGTCGTGCCACCATTTCTTCCACTGGGAGGTGTAGTTGGCGGTTATCGAGACGTAGCCGATGGTCGCATCGAACCAGACGTACAGCACCTTCTTGCCATATCCGTCGAGTGGTACTGGAGTTCCCCATCGCAGATCTCGAGTAATTCCTCGCGGTCTCAGTCCTTCCTTGAACCATGTTTCGGTAATGTTGATCCCGTTTGTCGACCACCCGCCGTCTTTGAACGTTTTCCTTGCCCACTCTTCGATCTGCGGTTGCAGCTTGTCCAGCAAGATATATACATGCTTCGTGTCTTTCTTAATGGGAGACGCACCATCCAGTTTACACCTCGGATTCTTCAGGTCAAATGGGTCGAGTAACCGCCCACATTTATCACACTGATCCCCCCTTGCGTCCGGATACGCGCAATTCGGACACTCCCCCTCGACATACCTATCCGCCAGGAAGGCATCGTGCTTCTCACAGTACGGCTGCGTCGTTGTCCGCTCTTCGAGGTACTCGTTCTTGAGCAGTTTCAGGAACATTTCCTGCGCGATCTCTGTCTGCTGCGTGGTCGGAGTCCGTCCGAACTTGTCGAACCCGATCTGAAACCACTGATAGACATCGGCGTGGATCTTGTGATATTTGTCGCAGAGCTCCTGCGGCGTCACGCCGTCTTCGATGGCTTTGGTTTCGGTGGCCGTCCCGTACTCGTCGGTGCCGCAGATGAAGAGCGTGGGGTAACCCCGCGATTTGCAGTATCTAGAATTTGGTCAGTGGGACGTTCTGCAATGAGGTATGTAAATATCATGAGGGTGTATAATATATCATAGACCGACCTTGAGAACACATCTGCTGAGAGCACACTGCCAATGATATTCCCCAGATGCGGCACATTGTTCACGTATGGGAGGGCACTGGTGATGAGGATATTGCGCTTCCCCTCCTCGGGGAGGATCTCTTTGCCTGTAGTCGCCATTTATATGGCAGTGACAGGAAAGGAAATGATTCAAGAGGAAACCAGAAAGCTGAAAGGGAATAGAAGGTGTTGTGTATTGGTTCGGGAGTTCTATATCTGATAGACTTAACTGAGTCAAGTGCCCGCACTGCAAATTGATGGCATGGCTGACGATCCATGTTATTGCCTGAGGCATAAACAAGCATTCCAGGCATCCATATAGTTTGCACCGCCACATTTCTGGTCCAATCCGACAGGAACCATATGACGTCCATTCAAGTCCAGCATTCGCGATTTCATTCGGTTATGTTTATCGCGACCGAACTACTCCTTACTCTCGCCCTAGTGAATCACATCCTCCATTCTCCGCAATGAGGCATGCCGACACTCCAGGCCTGCCACCGGCCTCATCACGGCATCTCTCGCAGCCTCCGACTCTCCTCAATTGCTCGCACACGACCATTTCACACCACCACCCACTACTGCAATCATGACCTCCCCAACCACTACGCCGCGCTCGATCTCCCCCCCAATGCCACCACCAAAGATGTAAAGCGACAATTCTACGCCTTATCCAAACGATGCCACCCCGACACCCATGCCTCCCGACCCGACGCCTCCAAAAAAGACGCCGAATCCCGCTTCCACCGCATCTCCGAAGCCTACCACATCCTCGCCCACGACTCCCGCCGCGCCAAATACGACCGCGACTACCACCGCATCCACGGCAATGGCGCGCCTCCCACCACTCCCCACGGCACCCATTCCTCACACCAGTCCCGCTCCCGCGGCCCCGCCGGCAGCCGCCCCGCCTCCGGCCTCAGCCCGCGACGCGGGGTATTCAAAGGCCCGCCGCCCAGCTTCTACCGGCAATACGGGCAAGAGCCGCCGCGGGAGGGTGACCCGGCAGCGGATGCGGACGCGCGGGGCACGACGGGGCGGTGGGGAGGGTTTTCGCCGGGGCAGGCGGATCCGGATTGGCGGCCGGATCCGTATATCCCGCATTGGGATCGGACGCGGCATTTGAGGACGCAGGAGAGGATTTTGGAGCGTGGGAGGGAGAGGAGGGCGGAGGAGCGGATGGAGTGGTTGGAGAGGTTGAAGCGGGAGAGGGGGGCGCCGGAGCCGCAGGGAGGGGCGGTGGCGCGGTTTGTCATCACGTCGGCGGTGATAGGGGTGTGTGTTTCTGGGACGGTGTTCTTTGCATCAAGATGATGTGCTGAGAGGACAGGTCGACGAAGAGGGGCTAGGAAATGTTGGGATGGCTTGGCTCGGAAGATGAGGTGGCTATTCAAAGACAGTGTACGATATACGCGTACTAGGTGAAGCCTCCATGGACACCTATAGTTCCTTCAGCCTAGATCGATCCCTAGATAGATATTTCTACATATAGTCCGCGTTCGGTCGTGAATTTTAGTTGGATCCTACTTTCCCAATTGCGTGCGAGCTCCTTAATGGACAGGCTATCTTAGGTTTGGGATCATGTAGTGTTGCTGTGGGCTCAGCCTCCTGAATGCACGCCCATCAATCGCCAATGGAAGTTCAAAATATCCAACCAACTTCAAAGGCATCAGATGAATGTTGATGCTCTCGGGTGATTTTTATATCGGACCATCCATTAATTACTGTCTTGCATGTGATTGAGATTCCTCGAGCTCAGTCGCAACTTCCTCCACCAGTCCAGGTTTGGTGGACGGACCTCTTCCCCAACACCTGGCGCCTGCCAGTTCCGGCAGCACGACATAGAACATTACAACCACGCGTTTTGACTTCACTTCATCCAAATCATCTTCGCGATGTATAAACCAATTCAACCCATTCCCATCAACTCTTCTCTTGTTCGATGACCCATCACCACAAGCTACCCAACAACCAGCTTAGCATGGCTTAAATCTAGCCCCCTCAACATCCCCTCAACACCCCTCCACGTTCTCAATCTATTGGTCCCTGTAACATCGACCTCCATCGCCAATCCACGAGTCTCCACCTATCCTCCGATATTTCCCAATCCATCCTCAGGTATTCCGTGTTCCGTCCAGCAGATCCCAAACCCGGCTGTCTGATCTATGGGATGGATTGTTATATTAGGTAAAACACTAGGATTCTGCCGTGCAACGGGCCAACACTTGTACTGACCATCCGCTCCGTGGCTCTGGTGCTGGCAACTGTTCACACGTCCTCTCTAAAATTCTCCTGCGCCAGCCAGTCCATCGGCCAAGCCACCTTTCACTTACACAAAGTCTCTTCCCATTCGTCTTGAGCATACCGGTCAGGATTCTGATATCAAGCTGTTGCGTTGTTTGGCCTCTCTTTTCCCGCATCGTCGGTGTTACGCCTAAGACTTCCTCAACCAGGTCATTAGAACCTTCCAGCACGCCTTTGGGTCTCTTCCACCAATCTTCTTGGCTGTAACGAGCTGATGAACATTCACTATTCCTCCATCGCTCCGTGCACCCTATTACCTGCAGAAGGTCTCACATAGTTGGCTACGAAGAGTCTCGCCCACTTCACCCTGCGGGAGGTTTCACACATATGGTGGGATTGGCGCAGGCGTCTTAGAGTGCCAAGTTACCATCATGTAAGTTCTCGATTTCTCGTTTCCAGCACTGTAGCATTTCGATGTGGTTGGCCCGGTTTCCGAACTGGGCTATATGCACGCTCCCGGAACATGGATTTCAATGTCAGCACTCAGTGTAGCCCGACCCGATGATATTGACCGCAGTTCTCTGGCAGGAAGTTCGGCAAGCAAATACAGAGGCGACAGCTTGACATCCCGGAATATGCTGCAAGTTTTGTTGACTACAAAGCCCTCAAGAAGGTACCACAGTGCTTTTACTATTCAAATGTCTGATCCACTGCTGACGTTCCCAAGCTCATCAAGAAGTTAAGCTCGACCCCGGTGATTAGCGCTCGGGATGAAGGGATTCCTAGCCTAGATGGGTTTGATCCACCGGCCACCCTCCAAGCAAATAAAGACAAATTCTTCTTTCGGCTGGTACCGTATGCCCATCACTTTTTTGCTCTCCTATCTAACTGCTACTACAGGAGCGTGAGTTGGAGAAGGTCAATATCTTCTATCTCCAAAAGGAGGCTGAGGTCGGATATAGCACCTGCTACTAACAAAACCATGACTGACAACCGTGCAGCTGAAGATTCGTTTGACTTCCTTACTTGACCAGAAGCGTTCCCTGCAAGCACAAACTGCGCCGGTGTCAAGACTATCGTCAAGATACATTGCACTCGAGGAAGGATTCAAACAATACGTGAATGATCTGAATAAGTTGCAGGTCCGTACTGTCGTCTTTTGCTCTGGCCTGGACTGACTAGCGTAGCAATTTGTCGAGGTCAACCAAACCGCGTTTACAAAAATCCTCAAAAAGGTTGGTCACATCATCAAACATCGAGTTACTTATCTAACATTCAATTAGTGGGATAAGACCTCGAAGGTCAGGCTGCCATTGTCCAGTTCCCTTTTCGTCCATTGACTTGAAACAGTCCCAACAAAAGGAGGTCTTCCTTGCACGCGCCGTGGAAGTTCAACCGTGCTTCAATCAAGATGTCATTGGTGATCTCTCGGACCAGGCGACGACAAATCTGCAGGATTTCGCAGACTGGGCCGAAGGTGGCGAGATCCGACAGACGCCCAATGAAAGGCCCATCGAAATCGGCAAGCCCCTTGCAGAGGACTTGGAAATCGAATCTCAGCTCCTTCAAGCCGCCATAGTCGGCGATACCACTGCACTCCGAGAATGGATCAATCGACTAGCGTCATCCCCTGACGCAAATGAACGATTCACCAAGGCCTTCCTGAGCACATCGGAGGAGGCTCCCGAACAGTCGTTGCATATCCTCCTCGAGTCACAACTGGTTGACCTAACTCGCACTGATGAGATAAATCAACGCAACATCCTCCATAAAGCAACCATCTCCGGTCGACGGCTGCTTCTTGACGTTGGCGTGGCTGGAAATGTCGACGCCAGAGCAGTGGACGTCTATGGGCGACTGCCCATTCACTATGCCTGCATTCACGGTTTCGTTGAGATGATTCCACTCCTAGTCGAACAAAGTCCCGAGACGATCAATGCGAAAGACCACGACAACTTCACACCGCTCATTCGCTCGATCGTCAGCAATAAGCTCGACTGTGTTCGGGTGCTTCTCGAGGTAGGAGCAAGCATTGACCCCTCTAGCGAGAAGGATCATGTGCCCCTCAATCTGGCTTGTCAACACGGCTCCGCCCCGATTGTTGCGTTGCTCCTAGAACGGAAACCAAAGATACTTCCTGATGCGGAAGGCTTATACCCTCAGCATCTAGCCGCCCGATCCACAAAGACGCTGGACATTCTTCAGATGCTGAAAACCTACGGCGCCGATTTGGACCAACCCGATCACTTGTATCAGTGGACCCCGTTATTCCACGCGGCTAGCGAGGGGAATGTACAGTGCCTGAGGCTGCTCATCGAAGAGTGCAAAGTCAACTGCGATGCTAAAGATGAGAAAGGCTTGTCGGCTTTGTACTATGCCACGTGGGAAGGGCACATCGAATGCATCCGCCTTCTATCATGCCATATGCGACGAGCTTCAGCTTCGCATAGGACACATGGCTTGAAACCAAGAACACCCCTAGCTGTCCCCGTGGTGTCCTCGTCTCCTTTCCCATCGAGTCTCGATGCCGAATCCATACCTCCGATCACACTTCCTCCACCCATCATGCCGCTCCGACGCTACGGGCACAACTTCCTCGATTCCAAGACGTTTGTGGTTCTCAACTTCGGGGATCTCGGTTACGAACCCATCCAGTTCTACGACGATAATAAGTACCCTGCAGCTCGGCTGACGATTTCTTCCAAATCCTCCGATCTGATTCCCCGAAACCTTTTGCTTCCGATTCAAGATGAATTCAAAACCATATCCTTCCAGATCGACAACGTCGATACTTTTTCGCTGGATTTCGACATCTACCCCACCTTCGGCGCTCGAGTCATTGCCCGTGCCGTCGCCTCTTCCCGAATCTTCACGAGTAAAACCTCATCCTCCGGCCGCTGGCATCTTGAGCTGCTCGATCTCCGCCTCCGCACCATCGGCCGCATCAGCTTCAACTTCCAAGTCGTTCGCCCATTCCCCGGCGTCCCTCTTGAGATCACGAATTTCGCAACGTACTGGAAAGCTACGACGAACGAACGAAACCCCTCCGATGAAATCATTCCGCAGTCCTTCAGCCCATCGTCGGCCATGCAATCCCTTTCCTCCAACCTTTCCCTCGGTAGCCATCATCACACGCCTTCTACACTCAAGATTACCGGGTCAAGCTTATCCGGCTCCTATGTCCGTCTTTTCGTCCAACTGACGGCCGACAATGTCCCCGTCCTGTATCCGCATTGGCGCGTCTCCCACTACGGCCTCGACGTCCCCATATCCAACCTCACCGCATCGCAATTCTCCGATATCGGCGCTTCCCAGCAGAACCGTGTTCCCTTTAGCCTAGATTCTTTAAAACACGCAACCATCTCAGACACCCCCGCGCTCAGCTCTCAACTCGCGAAATCGTTTGCGACGCTCTCCGACGTGCTATCCGCAGTCCCGCTGGATATTAACGTGGAGCTTCACTGTGTTTTCCCGAGACGTGCGCAGGCGGAGCAACTCCGTCTTACTCCCAATAGGAATATCAATGAAGTGGCGGACGCGGTGTTACGAGCGTTGTTTGAGCATGCACGACGGAGCAGAGAGGGAGAGCATGATGGGACCGAGCACTCGGGACGGGGTGTGGTGTTCAGTAGTTCGAGTCCGGAGCTGTGCATCGCGTTGAATTGGAAGCAACCGAATTGTGAGTTGCTCCCACTATTACTAGCAGAATAACCTTGGACGGTTGATGTTCTAGATATTTGGCTAACATGGCGCTCAGATCCGGTCCTTCTATGCAGCGAACTCGATCCATCCGACACCATGCCACCCCCTCCGCTTCCACGATGGGTTTCATCCACTACCGAAACTGCGACTTCGCATGTGACGCTCAGTGTCAAGGAAGCGGTACAAGTGGCGCAGAGCAACAACTTCATGGGCCTGATATGCTCCTCCAGATTACTGGTACGTATCCCTTTCTTCCCTCCTTCTCACCCCATAATTCTTCACCCGCACAATATCCAGGTCCGGTTGCATTTGTCTTCAGGACCAATCATTCCATCTCACATTGACCATAATACTAACGCATCAACTCACAGGCCCTCGCTCCAGCCCTCATCACCACCATCAAAAACGCTGGCCTCGTGCTCGTCGAGGATATCCCTTCGGAACCCTCTCCGCGCACCTCTCTGCATGGTGCTGAGAGCATGGACGTGGATTCCGATCGGACGAATAAGGTGTGGGAAAGGGGTTCGTGGGGACGAGGCTCGGGCAGTGCGGATATTGATGGCACGTTGACGGGGAATGCAGTGCTGAGGTTTGTGGAGGGTGTGGGGATGTGAAACCAAAAGGACGAATGAACCAGACGAACCGCTGGTGGCAGGGGAAACTATGTCACGATCGCGCCGCTGTACATTTCACAAGAGGATCCCTAATGTGGATGTGATACTCACGCAGACATTTTAGTAGCATAGCGAATAGAATAGCATCACTTTAATATCCTTTATGGTATCGAGGTTTCTAGTGTGCGCTGAGAAAGACCCCAACAGTTCACCACCTCCAGCGCTTCCTCGAGTACAATCGACGTATAAAATAATTCATTTCCACATTCACCCACGCCCTCCCACTCCAGCACCCAATCAAGCCCCCTTATACGGATACCTCAACCGCCTCAAACCCTCCACATCCACCGGCCTCAACTGCCCCCTCACAAACAACGCCAAACAAAACACCACCGCCGGCAACCCCGCGCTCCAGAACTCCTCCGTCATGCTCCCCCCATCCGTCCCCCCTGTCGCCACCCATGTCACGTACAGCATCACCGCCGCGATCCCGCCCACGAACGGGACGATGCGCGCTAGCGAGTTTCGAGAGGCGGAGGTAGAGGTGGAGATGGGCGCTGTCTCGAAGAAAATGTCGAACCCGCTCGCCCGCAGCAGGGAGACCAGCCACGCGGGCAGATCGAGGTCATCCAGCGCGTTCCCCAATGCAGTGCTCGGGTGGAGGGGGCCGGAGGAGTGGGGGCCGGTCGCGAAGGCGTGGACCGCGGCGGCGCGGGCGGGGTGTTTGGGGGGGGTGGGGGAGGTGGCGGGAAGGAAGTAGAGGATGTAAGCGGAGGAGAGGAGGGAGAGGGTGGCGAGGAGGAGTTGGAGGTAGGGGAGGAGGGAGGTGCGGGGGTGGTGGTGGAGGGGGGTGAAGGGGGTGGGGAGGTAGTAGAGGGGGAGAGGGAGGAGAGGGAGGATGAGGAAGAGACGCTAGTTAGGGTTAGTTGGTTAGGGGGAGGGGAGGTGAGGGCGTACTGTGTAGAGGATCGAGCGGGCTGTGTCTTCGGCTGCGAGTTTATCGATGAGGGTTTCTTGCTCTAGAGAGGATTAGCACGGTTCAATCGCAATGTACACAATGCATCTTCTTATCCTTTGAAAGAGCGCCAAGGATGGTGACACCCCATACTGAGATACAGGGACAGAGCGTCGGCAAGCACCACTCCCAATGAATCTTCAGAAGAGGGAAATCCAGTGCCAAACAAGAACATACTTACCAACTTCATCCATCCCCTCCGGCGGATCCGTATCGTCCCCTTCCGGATAACGGAACGCCTTCCTTAACCGCGTCGTCGCCATCACCACCTATCGATTCCGCGTCGCCCACTCGTACGAGAATAGCCTCGTCCCCTGGCCTTTTCCCAAAGCCGGATTTGATTCCGCGTCACCAACGACTATGGAATTTCGCACCGCCCCAATACGTAATCCCCAAGCTCTTTCTAATCCCAACCACTCCTCGATGATCGATCAGGCTCCCGATCCAGTATTGATTACTGAATCCAAGACACCGCGTGTAGGGTGCGACGTTGCAAATTTAGAAACAACCCAGAGCGTTCCTCTGAGTCACTGTGTGAATCCTCTGCGAATCTCACGCTCGGCTGCCTATCGCGCGGATATCCGCGTCACCGGAGGGCGGAGATGCGTCCGGTCGAATGCATCCGGTCGAGACGGGGTATATTGGATATTAGCTAAGTAAGTATCTTGGCGGTTGGGGTTGGCATTAGGTTTGGTGTTGCTTTGATCGAGATGCGTAAGAATGTTGATTACGATGCCTGGACGTACGTGTATCTGATCGGGATGTGTGATGTACCATATGGGGATTGGCGGTGTGGCTGTGCAGTTTAATACCAGACTCCAGTCCACACACAGCAGTACAATGAATGGAAGCTGCACAACGTGAAGGCACCACTATTCCGACAACTTCTCCTTCACCTCATTCTTTCGTCCAATCTTCTTATTGCCTATACCGACAGCGGAATCAACTCCAAGTCTGCTGACCTCTCCCTTTGTTCCCCCTCTCCGACATAATATTACCCAGCGTATTGGCGGTCCTATTGACGCCAGCCGTCTGTCGCCAGATCACCCGATCTCAACTCTGTGATACTTCCCTCCATTCGCGCCTCGGACTCCCACCCCGTGCCAAATCACGTTCCGGTGACTTGCAACGTCCTCCAGTCTCCCCCGTGACCCTCTCCCCCGATATTCGTACTCCATCGTTGTATTGTACCGCTTCCCTCCCCTCCGTCCCTATACCGCGCTTCAACGGACTGCACTACGCGCCTGTCATCCAGACGTTCCAGACCCTCTCCACTCCCCATCTCTCGAACAAGGTTCTCGGAGCGTCGGAGATCGTCAATTCTCCGGCCCACCTGACCGATCCACGAAGTCTCATATGATTCGAATTCGAGACACGGAGGAGTAGGACGGAGGTGATCCCGTTGAGACACGCGTCTTGATAAATTACCGCGCTATGGATCTGGATTACAGGGCGTAGGGATGGGGTTATATTTGGTAATACGGTAAGCCATCCACGCCATGGAATGTGAAGCGCTGGGTAAGCGAGAGCCGAGCGGAGATGCCGGCAGGGGTACTGCCCACCGTGATTGGCCCGATGACGTAGGAGTTATGACCGATTCCTTGCTCAATTTTCTGCGATCCATCGTAGATTCGTAGGGCGTCGAGGCGGATCTCATGGATGCATTGGAGGCGATGACGGCATGAGGGAGATGGAAGGGTTAGGGGATCGGTGGGATGGGGTTTTTGGGTTGGGGGATGAGTTTACGGTGGGAAGGGGATGGGATTTTGAGGGGGTGGGAATTTATGTACCTGGGTAATGCGAGAGGGGATGACGGAATGTAATATGTATCCGAAGACTTCGAGCGATATGTTGAGATCGAGATAAACGTGCTCACGGAAGGCTTGAACTGCTGTGGAGTGCTTGCGTAGATGGGCAAATGAAAGTCACGATTGCTAGGGGACGTTACCATTTGAGTATGGTACGGAGCTGTTGATATATTTCTCTACTACCGCCGTCGTCAGTAACAAACGAGAAAGTTTTGCATATGCACGAGCGAATAAGAATTGAGAAAACGCGAGCCAAATCATAAATGCTCTGATATTTAATGCATCATAAATCATATCGCCATGCGGCTATCTGTCTGTATCCTTAGTTCCCTACATATATATATATATATCGCACAAATGCAATCTTTGGCTCCCAACCAACCCAACAATTTTCAACGCAACTCATCGCTCGTCTATTCCATCCATATTCGTACAAGATACATTGCAACCCGACAGTCGACGGACGATCGAGTCATCCCGTCCATTACACAGCCCGGCCCCGCCTAGCCAAGCCCAGGATCCTAAATGCTCGCGTCGCGGAAAAACGTGAATAGTCATCAGCGCCAAAATGCCCGTCATGAATGCCTGATCCCCCGGGCCCAGTCTTTTTCTTAGCAAAACGCAGCCTAAACCAAAGGAAAAAAAGGAAACGCAGTAGAAAATCTTCGTCATCCCAGTGAACCCAGTGCCCAACCGCGAGGCGGGGGGGTATGTAATCGCTCTGAATGCATGAATCCGAAACACAATAACAACCCAATGAGATGCAGGAGATTGGTACAGTACAGGTAGGTATAAGAAATATTCGACATCGTAAACCCAAATAGAAAACGAGGCCGATCACCAGGTGGCGTGAGCAGGTCGGTCAGGTCACGGCCTTTCCCGCCACGAGTCATGTAGCCCTGCCGCCAGGTGTCACCCGATGAATAGGCTAATGAACTAGCAACATCGCATCGGGATTCCGACCGGATTGGGAAATCGATGATGAGTGGTTCGCGAGGTGAGGTGAGGCGAGGAGTGATTATTTCAGGGAATCTCGGGGTTAACGGCCAAGGCGACGCCGACGCCTATGACAAGGCGGGGCTGACACGAAGGCGGCGCAGAGGAGGATGCCAACCCATGTACACAACGTTCAGGGTGAGGATGCGGTGCCTGTATGTGATCACAAATTGAGGTGCGGAATAACGATAGGATTTCGGATGGTTCGTCAACGCGTCCAGGTAACGACCTGTTCGTGATGACTCATCCTCTACCCCTAAACGCGACACCGACCTCTGAGTTATCACCGATCACTACTCAACCCCTCGACCCACCCCGTCGCCGATGCTTCCCCGGGAAGTCCACCTCAGGATGCACCACGCGCATATGTCTCGTCAACGCATCGCTGCGACTAAATGTCTTATCCTCGACGCAGAGCGCACACCGCACCTTTTGTTTCCGCACGTTGTGGATGGTGTCCTCGTGGCGGGTCAGATCGTACGGCCGGCTGAAGACGGCGTTGCACGGCTTCCCGGTGGTAGGGTTGGTGCGGCCGCAGCGGTGGGGCCCGGTCTGCGAGTTGCGGGCCATCAGCTCTGAGGGCGACATGCCAGAACCGACACCAGGGGTGACGCCGGTGGGGTTTTGGCGGTGAGCGTCGCGTTTGTGTTTTTGGAGCTTTTGAGGGGTGGAGAAGCGATGGGGGCAGCCGTGGTAGGTGCAAGAGTAGGTGCCGGCGTCCGGGAGGGTGGCGGTGGGGTGTTGGGTGGGAGGTGAGCGGTGAGCGGGGAGGGGTTGTTGTGGTGGTGGGCGTTGCATGAGTTGCGGTTGTGTGGTGGGTGGTTGGAAGGCGTTGTTGTTCTCGTCGGCGAGGTCGGAAATGGAGGTCTCCATTCTGGGAAGAGATGCCGGGAAGGTTGGCTCGTCGGCGGCCGATCGAGGGATGTAGCCGTTGTTCTGGGGGTATCCCATGTTCATGTTGGGTATGGCGGTCGGACCGAACCCAAACTCATTGGCGAACGGTGCAGACGTGGCGAACTGCGTGCTCGTGACATTGGGTTGACTCCAGGCTGCCGTCGATGAGGTGGCGAGATCGAAGTTCTGATCGGATGGCTGCGAACCGTTGCCACCCATAAATTGGAAGTCGTTGGTATCATCCGGGAAGAGCGGTGCTTTCGCGTCCTCCTCGGACTCGTGATAGTCCAAGACAGCATCCTTGGGGGAGATGGTCTTCAGTTGCTCTCTCCCTTGAGGTTGTGGCTGTTGGTACGTCATGTCCGGCTTGGGTTCTTGTCGAAGCCACGGTGAGTTCTGTCGGAAAGGCGAGGCGCCTCGAGAGGAACTGATGGGTGACTTGACTCTAGCGTTCTGAGCCGCTTGAAGTCGCTCGTTGACGATGCGGTAGTTCGGCGACAGCAAGTTGCTGCCTGCATTGACTTTCGGCATATTCCTTACTGCACCGACGTTCTGCTGGGGATACATGGCTTCAGAGAAGTCCACTTTCCCGTACATGTTGGGATTCATGTTGTCTGCGTCGTCGTCCGACAGTAAGTAATCGTTCATCCAGTCGTCAATCTTCCAGGAGACAGTCTCACCGTTGGACGGAGCCTTTAAGCCGTCGTCGAAATCATCTTCGTGAACCGTGTGGGGAGTGATGGGGGAGTTATGTCCGAGACTCGACACTGAATGTCGAGTCGAGTGTGAAAACGGTGGCAATTCGTTCTCATCGCCCATTGATGACGTCTCCATCAGTGCCTGGCGCATCGCATTGGTTGCGTTCATGGCTGGCTCGAATCCGGAGGTCGAGTTATTAAACATGCTTGGGTGAGATGATGCCAAGAAGCCGTCTTGGGTTGGGGTTTGCGAAGGAGTAGGCAGATGGTTCGAGAAAGGTCGTCCGTCTTCCGCGTAATATGACTCAGTCTTGTTGATTGGTAAAGGATGGCTCGAGGCTTGGCCACTCGAGTACTGCGATGGAAAATGTCCTTCGGTCGCGTGACCTGCAGGATAGGATGCCAGTGAGGGATTAGCGTTCTTTGGCGATGACTGGGCTTGTTGCTGAGGTCTTCTCATTATCGGCTGCTGTATTGATGTGGATTGCATGTTTCCGTTTCCGTTGCCGTTCAGAAACGAGTTCTGGCCCGCAACGTTCGACAACTGCGTCCAGACGTCCGGTGGAGGAGGATTCGGCGAGTATTGTTGCACCCGAATGGAAGGGTTCTGGTAAGTGTAGGCGTCCGTCATAGACTGGTCGTTATTTGACAGTGTGTTCTGTGGTTTTTGAATCGATGCCTTGCGATTGTTCTGAGGAATCGATGACGTCGGGTTGATATAGGAAGTGAGGTCGTACGGAAGCTGGTGCGATGGCGACGGTGATGCGAAGTCGATTGCAGAATAAGAGTCCTGTTGAAACGGCGAATGTTGAGAAGTAGGATATTGGGCGGCGAGCATCGTCCGTATGGATGGTTAGGAGTGATATCGGAGTGATGGATGATGTATGAGGATCAGAAAGCGACCAGCAAGGGAAGGGTGGCAAGTCCAGTTTATATCGAGGGCACCAAAGGGACGTCAATTGGGGTGACGGGGTGATTGGACCCACTCGGCCCGAAAGGAAACCCAAAGACTTAAGATGCCAAAGATTGATGCCAAGGTGCCGCTGGGCCTCAACCCTTTTCCGGTTTCCAAATTCCGGTTTCCAAGGTGGATTGGTAATTGGGGAGATGTAACTTGGTAAGAGTTGGTAAGAAATCTTGGGAATGGTCAGATACTCGGTAACTGGCGGAATCCGAAGGAAAGCCGCTTCGGACGTAGGACGGGATTCGATGAGTAATGTGCGACAGGCCAAGTCCAGATGATTCGGCCGAACGGAGATTGGGATTGACTTGGACGGGTTTAGAGCGGTGCAGATGTTAAGTAAATGGAGGATTGTTGGATTGCATTGATTATTTCCTTTGTCATGCAGTGGGAGCGGGATCAGTAGCGATTTATTGACGTATTTACAGGAACAATGAAGTAAATTCGGCCGCTTACATAGAAGAAATCATCTGGTGGGATGAACCACCACAAGTCATCACAGGAATGAGGAGGGTATCCCGCAAGGGTTTTTCGCGCCAAGGGTCAAGGGTCAGGGAGGGTTCTTTCCCTTTTCCTGAGCCATTGACTAATTAAGGGTCTCCACACGTCATAGCGACCGGGGTGGCTGTGCATTGCTCACCAATCACTTAACCCATTCCGTCCATCCTGCATTAATCCTGCACCAATCTGCATAGAAGTCGTCTAGAAGAACCTTTTTATTACCGTGCAGAAAATTTATACTAAACCGGTGTACTATATGTCTCCCTGTCTAATCGGAGCCTACCGTTGTCTAGAACCTCCTCGTTCCCGCCAGTGCGCGTTCCCCTAAACTCTCCATCGGAACTGATCATCCGTCTGCGAAACACCACTTATGCACCATCGTGAATTCCGCGGCCGGCCTTCTTTCACTGCCGCCTGTCAATTCTGCAACACCATGTGCCGTGTGCATTTTTCAACGGGATGGACTGTCCGGTTTGAGACGCAACTGCGGAGATGCTTGCGAGGGGTGGGGTGTCTGTGCTGGAGATCGGACCTGTGGCTGAGATCGAGCCACATCTCCACGCGGCTCCAAGGGCTGCAGGACGCCGGCAGCCGATACCTTTAGACTAAGATCTCATTCAACTTGGTGGTGGTCGCTACTAGGACTGGATCTGGTTGGATACTATTCCATCTATAGGTACATACTGCGGAACTCGTCACTCAGCTTCCATAGAGCCTGTCGCATGACCTCGAACTTCTCACCATTGTTCTCTTCTAATTTCCAGCACAAAAGGATGCGGCTCAAAGAATCCCAGCCTAGTCAGGACAAACAATGCACCTCATCCTGCAAGTCAGCTCCTTTCCCTCGTGGCCATCAGCCTTCACTACCCAATCGCATGGACCGTGAATGGCCCCTCTCCACGTCCCTTCTCTCTCCTTTTCCGACCCAGCGGAAATAGGACACCAATTACATAATCCGCGATGGATCCCATGCTGAGCATTGAGAATTCTGGAGCCTCCCAGCTGCCTTGTTTCTGTGCCGATCTTTCTATCATGTCGCTGGAGTCGTACTGGCTGGCGGAGTGCCCGTATGATCAAGTTATTTGCAGCGACTATTGAAGGGACAAGCCGACCTGGGCCATGATACCCCATCCTCCCGTTCCCATTGGCGCATAACTTGGAATCCGCGGGAGACCTTGAACAGTTAAGCCACAATCGTCCATCACATGCTTCGAACCTCTCCATCCATTACGTATCATCCCCTTCGCAGAAATTTCGTCCACCAACGAAAAGGAGAATCTGTAGCATCTCCGAGAAAATTCTCGCTCAAAAAATGCGAAATCCGACCGTCTGGACCCTGCATATGCAAGGAGAAATTGAGTTTGGGTGAGGCAGTGCTTCCTGTACAAGAAATATTCGATCGTCGGGCCAGCCCTACGAACCAATGGTTGAGACCGCGTTCTGAATCCATGATTGGGTACACCCGTTATCGCTAACCATATTGGGATGCTGGCGCCGCCAAGGACGGTCGCTCCGATGAATCCAGATTGGCTCATCGACGCTTGTCGAATCAACATCCCTGTCGCTGCATACAAGTTGAGGTTTTCAACATTTTTCTCCGCGCTGCAAGTACCGAAAGAACGAACCAGCAGGAACCAGAATCGAATTATTCAACGGGATGAATAACCCCCTCGCACAGTCCGATACCTCGGCTCGGCACCGCAATACGGCACCCGACCGATCCAACTGCACCGCCTCAAGCCACCTCATCCAGCCACGCTCACCAACGGCTGAACACCGGGCCATCGGACTGCCGACTCGGACAGACCCTAGACCCTGGTCACCTCAGCGATCGTTACCGGTTCCATGGTGCCGATCCAGCGTCACTGCCGTCCACAATTCCGGGCGGGTGTAAATCACCGTACGTCAATTGTCGATTTCGTGAGATCTTGATTTTGGCGCATCGAAAGCGGCCGAACTGCGTAGAGAGATAGCGGTTGAGAGCACGTCATGTTTGTTTCGTGAGGTGACAGGACTCAGGATTTAGGAGTCTGGATTGTCGAGATGCTGTTGAGGATATCCTACTCAACCAAAGGTTGCCTTAGCACTCCGTAGTGCCCGTTCTATTTGATTGTTCCTATATTTAGATGTTATTGGTCACCTAACGTTATCCCTTTATCATGACTGTCGCAACTCGCAAGCGATGGCTCAACGGTTCGTATATCGAGAATTTACGATCATCGATGCAAGATTCAGGAGACCTTCCCGCTGTGGCTTGACCATGCACCTTCCTTCTACAACTGCAGCCGACATCTCTCAATATGATCGACCAATATACCCCAACTCTAATCTTAGAACCCGCAATTCCACTTCATCTATGATCCGTACGAACAATATATTGACATCCTACATCAACCCCGATCCCGTTCCCCAATCTAGACAATCTACCCAGCAACCCCTTTTCCATCCAACATCCACCCCACGTCGTTAAAATCACGTTGCATCGTCAGTTCGCGGCCCTCACCAATCGCCAGGGTCGCCGGGTTAAAATAGTCCGCTCCCTGAATCTGTCGCGCTCTAGACCACGGACCCTCAACGTTGAGCAACCGCACATGCAACACCACGGCACGTACGGCTTCTTGACACTGCGCAACGCCAAAAAGGCAAGTCGCACGAAGACACAAAGTTTATTTGATTATTATTTTTCCCGAATCAGTTCCATCCTCCTTATTTCTCATTTCATGCAGCATCGGACCCCCGTGCGGATGTAGAGACTGCGCTGTGCGGAATTTGCGACCCCATAGGAGTTGATGACGAGAGCAAGTCGCTCGCTGCGATTCGTTCTGTCCTGCCGCTTTTTCGCTCCCACCACGCGATTCCTGAGGGCCGAATGCCGATCAGTTCATCGTTATAGATCACCCAGACACGATACCAATGCCATGCGACAACGTACGACTTGGCATCCGATTCCTCCATTCGGCGAATGGGTACGGGAGTGTTTAGGTCCTGGATGAGGTGGGGACGATAGTAAGAATAAAGAAAGCGATTCCGGAAACGGATTACTATTCCGCGATCGTGCGGTGGGTGTCAGAGCTGGAAATCTGACACGGATGAAGTGGACACGCTCAAGATTATTTGTGCGTTCACAAATTTCGAGGATTTTCAGTTGAGGGTGTGGGATTCATTACCTATACGGATTACGGAGGTAGGAGGTCGCGAGAAACCGTATTCGTTCTCTTCGAAAGGTAAACATCACCACCTCGTACCTCCAGGCTGTCTTGTTGGGTCCTCGGGGTTCGCTCGGGCACTAGGTATCTAGGCGGCGGGCGGCGTCTCCCTAAGTCCGCGCCCGACTTCAGCCCTATACGCCCGCCATCGGTGACACCATTCGTCCGACTCCATCGCACCCCGGATCTTCACGCAATCAACCAGCACGATGCGTCGTATCCACGGTACCTATGTTTCAACTTTCAATCGCTGCCATCGTGGCAAAACGATCTTCACGAGCAACGGCATCACAGCACGTTTTTACTCCGTGTAACAAATCGGCGCAATAAGGTCGTCTTGGTTCGGAGTTCGGTAATTTACTTGGTGCCCGGAATTGCTACTGCTGATGTAGGAGCGCGTTGGACGGGATGATGCTGACTTGGACTCCGGAGCGGCGTATTTGACAAAGCATCTGACTTGGTAACTATGGGACATCGAGGTGTCGAGGCAGGTCTGGAGATAAGTATCTTTCGACACCCGTGATGAAGAGCCAGGACCGTAATAGGCGAGTGGTAGCACCTCGCAAGTCACATCAGTAATCGCGAACAGTAGGGGTTACGACATGCGGCTTACCTCTCCTCGATGCCGCAACCTCGCCGTGTCGCAAGATTCCAAATTCTAGTTGCGCAGAACCACTCGAGATGATGCCGCTGCGTGCGGCGGGAGCAGGTATCTGTTGTGAGCCTACCTACTTCCTTGGTAGCCGAACGAATCTCACCGTCAAAGCCTACCGAGACGCTGTCGAAATAGAAGCCATTTCCCGTTCATGTGGGGGGGCTGGCCTCGATGCTGCAGCGGTGCGCTTCATGGCCACGCGGGTGTCTGTGAGAATGGCAACAACGCTGACGAAGTCGCACCGAGCCGCCCGGTATGCTCGGGTGTGGGCCATGAACGGACCACTCATGGGATGAGCTTAATATTTGTTATTACAAGGAGGAGATTATTCATCCGCGCCGGACCATGTGGACTTGTGGGATGACTGTTTCCCCTTCCCTTCCAGCTTAGGTCTCTCAGTGATTCTTCGTCCTGCAGTTTCGATATGACTAGGGCCGTTTGCTTTGTTCGGGTTATGTGTCTATCGCCTATGTATAGCAAGTCAGTCCCCAGTCCTCTAGTCTCAGGGGAACCAGTCCCCAACCTCTACGGCCTTTGCTCGGTTGGATGCGGGTTGAGCCTTCTCCTCGTTGTACTCTGATCTGACAATGTTGCCTACGACGCGATTCTGAGGTCTATGGAGTATAGTGAATAGGGGAACATGGCTTGAAATAGAAGAAGTAGGTGCCCGCTTAGCGCTGAATGATAGCACAGGCTTCCTCGATGGTAACCCACATCAATGACTAGTAATAAGCCTGAAGTCACACCGAGTGATAATATTGCAATGGGATGTGACTGTTTGGGGACCTAGGCGTCGTCCTAGCTGTATTTTGGTGTCCCCAAATACTGCGAAGAAGCCGATAGACTCGAGCCATTGCGTATCTCATCGATCTGGATACTCTTCGAAGGGTATAGAAAGCCAAGAGTGCACCAGCTGCTTATTAGACATCAATACAAGCATGTTGTCGAATCAAGGCGTGAGTACAACACACAGCTAAAGTATGGGTACTGACGGATTCGTGCATGTTATGAGCCAGAGACATGGTCGGCAAAGTCTGAGGCCAAGATGTTAGCTGTGTAGAAATATACTCGCATTCGAACCGTCAAATGGAGTGCCAACCTCAAGTCCGATCTTGGGCAGCCTGTGGACACTGGCCTAACCTCTCTTTCTGACCATGATGCCGGAGTTGATTGTTCAGACTTTTCCCGTCTTCCATTCCCTTGGTCCCATTGGAAAATCCTAGCCTCAATCTGAATGGAACAACATTTATTTTGTAAGGACCCATCAAAAATGATATCCTGCCATGAGAGACATCTCACCCCATCACCACAGATCTAAAAAGATCTGCCAACTTGAATCGTGAGAGAATAACATACTACCTAAGCCGGCTAGCGTGAGGCAACACCGACCTCCTTCTAGCCTTGCGGAGTTTTGTCGCCTCACTCCGACCGCTTTTATGAGTGACCCTCACTGCGGGGCACATCTTCAAAAACCTTCCCACTTTCCACACCCAGTCGTCCTTTCGCAATTGTGCTGTAGCCATGGCCGCTCAGGTTGCAGACCAGGTCAAGGACCTGAAATGTAAGTCCTCGATTTTTTTTCCGGGTTGGGCGGCTGGATCTGACGTCGCGACCGGTAGTGGACGACAAGAAGAAAACCGCGAACGGCAAAGCGGCCGGCGCGGAACCGAAGGGCGACAATGAAAATGAGGATTCAGACGAGGAGGAAGATGCTGAGGTGGTAGCCGCTGATGGAGCTGTTTCTGGAGGTATGTCCTTACCATCCCGCTGTTTTTCTCCGTCCTCCCCTCCCTCATACTAACTAACAATCACGTATGCAGCGGCCAAGAAGAAGAAGAAGCGCAAGCCGCGCAAGAAGAAGAAAGGCACCGCTGGCGCCAAATCCCAAACCTCCCCGCCCCGCGTCCTGATCTCCCAACTCTTCCCCGATGGCAACTACCCCGAAGGACCGACCGAAGAATACCGCGACGAGAATAACTACCGGACGACTAGCGAAGAGAAACGGCACCTGGACCGCATGAACAACGATTTCCTGACCGAGTACCGCCATGGTGCCGAGGTGCATCGCCAGGTTCGGCAGTGGGCGCAGAAAACCGTCAAGCCCGGCATGACGCTGACGGAGATCGCGGAGGGGATCGAGGACAGCGTGAGGCATTTGGTCGGCCATATGGGGCTGGAAGAAGGCGACGCGAGGATCGCGGGGATGGGGTTCCCGACGGGGTTGAGTATTAACAACTGCGCGGCGCACTACACGCCGAACGCGGGGAATAAGATGGTGTTGCAGCAGGATGACGTGATGAAGGTCGACTTCGGGGTGCACATCAACGGGCGGATCGTGGACAGCGCGTTCACGCTAACGTTCGATCCGGTCTACGATAATCTGCTAGAGTCGGTGAGGGAGGCGACGAATACGGGGATCAAGGAGGCGGGCATCGATGTACGGATGAGTGATATCGGTGGGGCGATCCAGGAGGTCATGGAGTCGTATGAGGTGGAGATCAAGGGGACCACGTATCCGGTCAAGGCGATCAGGAACTTGAACGGGCACACGATCGGTCAGTATATGATCCATGGAGGGAAGAGTGTTCCGATTGTCAAGGGCCGCGACCAGACGAAGATGGAAGAGGGCGAGACATACGCCATTGAAACCTTCGGGAGCACAGGAAAGGGTTACGTGAGAGAAGACGTGAGTTTTGCCGTGCTTTACATTCCCCATATCAACCCTAACGTGTCTTGGATGCAGATGGAAACCTCACACTACGCACGACGAGACGATGCTCCGATCGTCGACCTTCGACTTTCGTCCGCGAAAAACTTGCTGAACTCGATCAACAAGAACTTCGGATCGCTGCCCTTCTGCCGTCGATATCTCGACCGGTTGGGCCACGAGAAATATCTTCTGGGGCTTAACAACTTGGTGTCACAGGGTATCGTTGAAGCATACCCTCCCCTTTGTGATATCACGGGGTCATATACCGCTCAGTATGAACATGTAAGTGTTATCGATTCATTCGTGTTGAACAGCCAGCTTACGATATCGTGTCAGACAATCCTCCTCCGTCCTACAGTGAAGGAGGTGATTAGCCGGGGCAACGACTACTGAGCGTCTGGTCCCGTCGACTCGTATTTTTGGAGGGCAATTGTGAACCATTGCATGTGGCCACTCCCGTGAATTCAGTACTACCGGACACCAGTATTCCCGTCGATCATAAACGAAGAAAAATGACAGTCCAATGATCCATCAATATTCATCTTTGCAGTGTCATGAACACCAGGCCTACGTGGACATAGTTGAGGTTTCTCTCCAGCAAGACGGTGACGCGATCATTTGCGCCACTGGCTTAAATAGGTACTACAGAGATTGTAGATAGAATGTTTATCAGATACCGTCGTAGAAATTATCAGCATCAGACTCCAACACCACACAGGGTTTGTGGAGCCTCTCAGTGCTTGACTCAAAACGAATCATCATGTAAACATCTATCCCAACCCTCCAATTGCCAACGGCAAATTTTTCTGATCCGTCTCCTTCGACAGAGCCAGGCGTGCGCACCAAAGAGTTTGCGGTGCACACCCATCCGGATCGGTCAAAAGATAGAGATCCCACAAACTCCTCGCGTCAAGAATAAGCCCCATCGAGTATCCCCACCCGCTGGATCATCTCCCTCAGTGAAGAGAAAGGTAGACCCAGCAGGCGCAGGCAATCGCATAACTGTGTAACTCGACGAATAGTAGAGCCCCCACCCACCGTATTCCACCATCTCATCCACACAGCCACCATGTCCCTCCTCCCATACCCGACCTCCACCGCACTGCGAGACACCGCTCGGCCCCTGGCCGTAGCCAGGAAGCTTCGCGGGCTACAGTGCAAGCGAGCGGCAGGGAGTGCAGACGGAACATGGCGCGGGAACAAAGACGACAGGATGAGCGGAGGCATTGAGGTAAGCCGTGAAGCATGCTTCTATGGCGGCGCGTTTCCGCAAATCCAGCACACGAGGCGCTGGGACATCCGGGGACTTTCTCCCAAAGTGCAGTGCCAGGTAGACAACGCACTTCGACTGCGATTCTTCGAGCGAGGAGTTTGTGGAATGAAGAAGAAGAGGAGGAAGAAAGTTTTTGGCGGCGCGGAAACTTTTTTTGAGTGCGAATTGTAGCACGTGATCGCACTAGTGTTGGCGGTGCGTTACGGCGGACGAAGTAGTCCGAACGTGTCACTCATGTCGCAGCCAAGACTTTGGTGACTCAGGCTGTGAGGCATCCACTTACTAGCCTTCGCATCGAAGCTTCAACTGTACTGGCAGCCTATATCCTTTGTGATAGCTGCACCCCACACTTAAATACAATAGTCTCTACGGTCGAAGTCTGCTAGATCAATCTTACCCATTACCATTATCTGACGATCCCCAGAATGTCATTCGGGGCAGCCGCCGCCGGGACCTCGCAAGGCGACACAAAGGGCGATGTCGAGCTCACGGCGCCACCAGAAGACAGTATTTCGGACCTGGCATTCTCCACCGAAGGAGATTATCTAGCCGTGGCATCCTGGGATCAAAAAGTCCGGATATATGAGATTTCACAGCAGAGTGGCAAGAGTGAAGGAAAGGCGTTCTTCCAGCATGAAGGGCCCGTCTTGAGTTGTAGTTGGTCGAAGGTATGTGGGCTATTTTGATCGCAGTTACAGCACCATGCTGCGCGGGTTGCGACCTAAGAAAGAATATCATGATGAAGCTAACTTGTACAACAGGATGGTAAATACGTCGTCGGCGGCGGTGCCGACAAAGTCGCGCGACTCATCGACCTGGGCGCAAACACCAGCAGCAGCACCATCGTCGCTCAACACGACCAGCCGATCCGCTCCGTCAAGATGTTCCAAACGAACGGCAACAACATGCTGGTGACGGGCTCCTGGGATAAGACGGTCAAGTACTGGGACCTGCGACAGCAGACACCGATCGGGTCCATCACCTGTCAGGAGCGGGTGTACACCATGGACATGCGAAATGAGTTGCTGGTGATTGGGACCGCGGATCGGTATATCAACATTGTGGATTTGAATAATCCCATGACCTTCCAGAAGACGCTACAAAGCCCCTTGAAATTCCAGACGAGGACGCTCGCGTGTTTTGCGGACGCCAGTGGGTTTGCGATCGGGAGCATCGAGGGTCGGTGCGCGATTCAGTACAAGGACGACACAAATTCAACGTGAGTATCAATAACCGCCTAAATATCCCTCTCGATATCCCTGCTAATCTTCATTCCAGCTTAAACTTCTCCTTCAAATGCCACCGCCAAAACGCTACACCCGACACCTCCAAAGTCTTCGCCGTCAACGCCATCTCCTTCCACCCCATCCACGGCACCTTCAGCACCGCCGGCTCCGACGGCACTTTCCACTTCTGGGACAAAGACGCCAAACACCGATTGAAAGGATTCTCGGACGTCGGCGGCCCCATCACCGCCACCGCGTTCAACCGGACCGGAACCATCTTCGCGTACGCCGTCAGCTACGATTGGAGTAAAGGGTACGCGTACCATAATCCGAACAACCCGAATAAAATCATGCTGCATCCGGTGGTCGGGGAGGAATGTAAGCCAAGGCCGGGGGGGACGCAGAGGAAGAAGTGAGGTGAAGAGACGGGAAATGATTCGATTGATGATGGAGGCAACCAATGCTGGTTTGTTGCGACGGGTCGTACGGGACGCGAGTGCCAGGCACTTGGACTGAATGGAGGTCATGAGGGGGACAACAAACCAGAGCAATCCTAACGCGGCGCAAAATTGTCTGATGCTTGCAAGGAAATTCAGGCGCGATAGAATAGGACACAATGATGGATTTCAGTCCACAGAGGTACTGAACATCAAAAGATACCCTGTATGGGACATGGATAGTGGGATTGGCGTTCCTAGAAATATGAAATATCCGAACTCTTTGTCATTTGCATGCTGATTCGCGTATCTTACTGGTGACCGGCTATACCGCCAAGGTTGGCCTCTAGTAAATGATATCCAATCCAGAATTTCCTCCAGACCATCCTATATCAAGATCCTCCCAGTGCCCCATCATCCCCCATCAACTCCGCAAACCCCTTGTCCGAATCCTTCGCAATCAGTTCATCCATCCCCTATCCCCACCGTTAGCCGCCTTTCGATCTCTCTCATTCCCAAAAAGGATATTCTTCGTCCGAACACTCACCTCTGGCATTGCCGGCTTCCCTCTCTCATCCTTCACATACCGGAACGGCATCTCCGTGGTCTCATGCTTGTTAATCTTGATCTCCGGATAGTCGATATACGGGATCTGGTCTACTGGGATCCCGGATGCGACTACTAGTCGGGTGACGCGGACGGCGGTGTCGGTCGTCATTTGCAGGGGACCAAGTCGCCGGGTGGGGAAGCCTTTGCAACGGAGCTCGGAGGTGCGGTCTTCAGATTGGTTAGTAAAAGATAATAAGAGAAACAGGAGCCTTTAGCAGGTGGAGGAAAGCAGATGAAAGCTTAGAAATGATACCTCGTGGAGGGTCGTCGCCTAGAACGGCAGAGTCAGCGGCATTCTAAGTTGATGATAATTAAGACCGAACGGGTAAGAAACGGACGAACCTAATATCCCACCGAACAAAAATGCATCGAACACCTCTCCATCCTTCGGCTCCAACTCCTTCTCCGCCTTCGGATCCAGCAAACACACCCTCTCCTTCCTCCATAACTTCCCCTCCCCCTTCTCCCCCTCCTGCCAACACATCTCCTCCACACTCCGGTGCTCCACACTCACCATCCCCCGCGTTTGCAGCTGCTGCAATTCCGCGGGGAGCTGCATGGACGGAGGGACGGAGGAGAGGATGAAGTAGGGGGTTTTGGAAGGGGTGGAGGACACGGATGAGGAGGGGGGGTAGGTTGAGTGGGTTTCATTGGCGATGGAGGCATACTCGGCGGTCGACCAGGGGGAGATTTCGGGGTCGAGGTGCTCGATTAGGTAATGGTGAGGGCGCGGGTCGGTGGGTGAAGGGGCCATTATGGAAATGATGATGTACGGGATTGGGATTCCTTAATCCTTGATAATTCCTTGCTCTTTGTGAAGTACCGGAATTCAGGTCACTTCAAGTTGAATCCCTTAGTTACCTTCGTCCATTAACTGTGGCCCAAATATTCCTTTCAGAATTTTGGCTTGATGAAGTCTGTAGAGGATGGAGGATCTAACTCTGTCACGCCGAAAAATCTTATTAAGCACTCTGAGTATCCGAAGTCCAATTGAATGTAAGGACCGATAACTACTAGAAAGTCAAAATTTCCACGTAAAGTTGTCTTAGGTCAATAAAATGATGCAGATTAAATCTGATATTCGACCCGCGTTGATGCCTGGGTGCCTGAGATTGAATGCTCCCAGCCTCCGCTGATGCAGACGTCTGGTCGCTCCGTCGTGTGTCAATGTCAGCGTTGTGGGTGACCCCCCAGATGAACTCAATTCACCTCCACCACGACGCTCAGTGATCATCAGTCCCTACAACACCACCCCTATTTCCAAATCTATGTGTACGGAAGCAGGCTCTCCTTCCTACCCGTAGTAAATTAAAAGCAGCATACGGAGTATATCACAGGAAATTTATCCTTGAGTTTGCATATTCGTCAGAACCATATAAACATCATATTTTGAAACTCAGAAAAGACTGAGACACTACCAAGAGTATCTATCCATTGAACATGCTGACCCAGTAGTTAATTTCTGGATAAGGAGTGTGCCACTGGTCAATCCATGCATCATATGCTTCTTGGTTCAGTCTATATCCCCTTTCGCCTTCTCTCAGTTCAAAAAGCTCGTCTATTGGATCTTCTGACTCGTCTTTGGTTCTTTTGCCTCATCTTCGTCGGGAGGAAGTACAGTATGTATACAGAAAGCCAAATGGATTCAAGACCAACCATGATCTCAAGGCTGTCTGTCGAAGAGACACATATGGGTTATTTATCTCTCGAAAGGCTGTTTCATCTAACGAAATCTCCAAAGACTCGATGGAACCGCTGGACCGTATCGTCAGACTGTTCTGTTTACGGTACTTCGCCGGCCTCGACACGGCTTGTTAAAGCCTCTTTGAGGATACACATCAGAGCATTTTACCATCCAACTGTCAAAAGCGTTGTAAAATACAGGTAGAAGTGTACTGGTACTGGTACAAGGCGATGATCGGCCAATGTCAAAGGCGGAACGAAAACGTTTGTCCAAAACCAAGTTCTCGCCTTACGGATATTGGTGCCAGAATTTTGAATACTGATAGGTGCACGATCCTTTTTCCTTCCCTCCTTCCCTGCTGACAGGCCCGGATACGGGCATTCCAGCCCAATAACGGGAAGTCACATAGCAGGGGCTGCCCATGTTTCCTGCCCATCACACCTAGAAACGGGGAAGGAGTTGCCCAGGCACCGCTGATGACTCAACGCCGAGCGCCCTCCTCATTCGATACCTAAGATCGGTGCTGAAATATCGCTGGGTATCTATGATTCTGCATATTTGACGATAATAAGCGAGGATCAATATCCAAAGCCTAGAACGAACAAGGCGAATGTTTGTTTAGATAAAGAATGGAGTATTTACCGTAGAGATGGTACTGCGGCTGAAGATGAATGACATAAAATGACGGGTGATGCCAAGTGACCTTTTTCGTCCCTCCCTTTGCTTTCACCGTTTGCCATCCACGCCTTCCTCACCAGCTCCACGGTAGTGAGTATCATCACCACCCTGCAAACCCATCCATCCAACAGCGACGTCATTAGTCACCACATCCATCTAACGCGACTTCTTTCTTGTGTGACCATCTTCACCGCACCATTCACGCAATTTGCCTCCGATCACCAACCGCTTCACAATTCGCATCACGGCATCTCCCGCAGCAAATTGGACCAATTACGTGTCACCGGCTCTGCTCCCCGCTACGCACCCCGCCTTGACTACTTCCAGTCCTAGTTCTACATAGGGAGTCCTGGCTTTCCAACGTCCCATCACCCGTCGATTTTCTTGCTATAACCCTCCTACAACCACGATCCTAGACCTTTACATCTCCGAGAATATCTCCTGCTCATTGAAGTCATTGACACGGCTCTCTTTTTACCTCCGAGGCAACCCGACGGTCCAACATTAAAAGACACCTTCGTTCTCGAAGCTTGGAGATCGGCAATACGTCAAGAAAAGTCCAGGGATCGGACCGAGATTGCCTCATTGCGAGGGCTAGACGGCCTGCAGATTACCCAGCTTCATCTTGGATAGCTGCAAGCGAGCTCTACGAAACTGTGCTGCCGAATCCCAGCGACTCCGACATAGCTGAGCAAGCTCGATTGAGGACCACTTCGACATGATGAACCCCCATCAGCAGAACAAGGTTGACGTCAGCGTAAGTCCAGTCCCATACGCATCGACGACCGCGAATATCCAAGCTGGCGTTCATTCTCGTTGACACCATGATATTAATTCCCGCTAACACCACCCCAGTCCCTCTCCCCCGAGGAGCAACGCCTCTTCCGCCTCTACGGCAAGCTCCCCAACAAGAAGGACCTCCTCCAGAACAAACTCAAGGTACTCCCCCCTCCCTCTCCATACCCTCACACCCACTAACCCCCCTCCCCTCCTAGGAACGCAAATACTTCGACTCCGGCGACTACGCCCTCTCCAAAGCCGGCAAAGCCTCCGACATCGGCGTCACCTCCGTCGGCACCTCCCACCCCTCCCCGGAAAGCATCCCGCACCACGCCCCCTCCGCGCTCTCCAACACCATGACGCACAGCCAGCCGCACAACGGGAGCCTCGGCGGCGCCAGCGGTGCGAGCGGGGCGCCCGTGCCGAATTTCCAAGGGCACGGACACCGCGGGAGCATCGTAGGCGGGAAGGCGGGCAGTCCGGTGAAGGAGGGGAGCGTGTTGAGGGAGAATAGCGTGGATGATGTGGAGGAGGAGGAGGAGGGGAAGAAGGAGGGGGGGAAGTCATAGCGGTTGGGAGGGAGTGGTTTCGTTTTTTTGCTTTCGTGGTGCGGATCCGTTTCGATTGCGTATCCTGGATATGGCTTTTCAGTGGCCGTTGTCATTTCGAGAGATGGACTGGTTCGAGATACCACAGTCGTTCCCTTGAATTATTACCAAGAGCTGGGCGCGGGCGTTGGTGAGGAGCGCTACTCTACGTAGCCAGGTTTTTTTCTTCACTTCTTGTACTGTATATTTCCACCGTCATCTTTTCCCTCATTCTCTCCTTTCCTTTCTCTTTGATATCCGCATTCCTGGTTACCGGACACTCGAATCCGTGTTGAGAAGGAGTCGGATACGAAGAGTAAAAAGAGGAGAATCGGGAACCAACAAATTGCTATATTTGCAGACCCATCTGCATTTCTTATGTTCCATATCATCGTTCAACGGCCGTACAGGCGCAACGTGACGGCTGTTCTTGGCAGTGTCACTTGAGCCCACAGAGTGCGACTCCGAGGGCATTACATGGTATGTATCTTCGTCATATCCTATCCTACCCTATCGTCGCCGTCGTCAGGAAGGGGATATTTAGGTTATGAGGCGTTTCGCAATGGTCCCACAAAAATATATACGGACTGTGAAAAGTCATGGGCAAGAATTTGATTAGGTTGAGGCTGTCGAATATATGATGGATGTGTTGATCATCTACGAGCGATGCTTTGAGAAACATGTGCTGTAGACGTGCAATGTATCGTGACCGGCAATCATGAACTTTAATCTAGTTCTCTTCTACTTCCTTTTGGTCTTAAGACGCCTTTTCCCAACCCTTCCACGAAAAGGTCGATTCCTTCTCTCCTACATGCCTTCAATCTATGCCTCCACCGACAACCTCGCCATCTCCTTAACCCCCTCTCTCGTCTTCGCACCCCCAATAAACCCACTCGCATGCACAAACACTGCCCCCTCCACCCCACTCACCTTCTCCAACTCCCCATCTCTCACCCCCTTCCACCCATCCGGCAAATCCTTCCGATTCACGAACCCCCCGTTCTGCACGCTCACTGACCGAATCCGCCACTTGCTGTCCGCCGCCCCGGACTCCGGGAAGAGCACGTAGAGCACCTGCGCGCCCTCTTTGCTTCCTTCCGCTTCAGACGCCTCGGCCTCCACTTCGTAGAGGTGATCCGCCCAGGGTAACCCACCGTCGCGATGTGGCAGCTCAAGCACTTTCCCCGACGGATGCACGGATTTGCGGTTCGCGTACGCAGCGCGGACGAGCGCGCGGGCGGGAAGCCATGCTTTATGCGCGTCGTGCAGCGCGAGGAGGAACTGCGTCCCGACGAACGTCGATGCGTGGAGGAAGTGCGAGTCCTCGGTCGCCTGAGGATCTCTGATCTCCGTCTCCTTCGCCGGCGCGTCGGGATCCGGGGTGGCGAGGGACGACGGTGCGATGCAGGCCGGGGTGGACGGCGGGATGGAAGGGAACGGCGCGGACTCGGGGAGCGACCAAGTGTGGTTGAAGCGGTTGACGGCGGAGGCGAGGCTGAAGCCGCGGTCGGAGAAGCGGGGAGCGATGGACGCGGAGGTAAGTGCCGCGGTGTCGTAGACGGAGATGCCGTTGTCGTTCGCGTCGAACGCCTCGACGAACTCGGTGTAGATGCGCTGGAACAACGTCTCGACGTCCGCAGCCTCTTTCTCCCCCTCCAGCCCCGTCACGGCTGCGACGATCGCCCGCCCGAAATGCAGCCACACCAGCCCCGCGCTGGACAGCTTCGTCGCGCGCCCGGGGAACGTCGTGGTGAATTCGCGCTGGTGGTGGTCGTAGCGGTGGCGAACGGCGTCGTATTCACCGCCGACGTCGACGACGACGTCGCATTGGGTGAGGATGGACGCATCGCGGGTGCGGACGAGGGGGCTAGTGTGGTAGGCGGGGAGGAGGCGGAGGAGGAAGACGGCGAGGGCCTCGTCGGCATGGAAGTGCCCGCTGTGGGTGCCGATGAGGGGGGAGGTGGAAGAGGAGAGTTTGGGGCGCTTGGAGAGGGGGGAGTCGCCGCGGGGGAGGGTGGAGGTGGACATTTTGAGGTGGAGGGGGAGGATTGGGTGGGTGGTGCGAGACGGGGAGGGTTTGATGGGCGGGGATTGGGAGGATATGCGGCGGGTTGATATGAAAGGGATGAAACGTTTAGGGAGGACGCGGACGTGGATGCTCATATAACAGTTCGGTATACAGAGAGGATGTGGTGTTCTTGATATTTCGAACCGGTGGAATTGTCCTTGAAGAAGCTTGGTAGTCTTCCAGAATGCCCTCCCTCATTCAGCCATTCTCTTGCAAATAATCCTTGCCTTTCTTGGGATGTTTTTATGGGCCCAGGCCAAACTGTGGCTGGGAACTGTGGCTTGGCAATACATGCCATCAGCCAATCACAGCTCGTATTTATCAACCGCCGACAACCAGCAACTTGTCCTCTACGCCAAAAGCTCAAGGCCTCCGAATGCTCAAATTAAACGAAACGCCTTCGCTGTTCACCCATGTTCCCGTCGTGTCTGCCGTCCGTGTACTTGTGCAGGTGTCTGTGCAGACTCGAGCTGGGAGGAACACACTCTCCTCGAAGATCAAAACCAACCGCGAGTGAACTTCGGTGGATATCTCGGTCTAACTAGCTCCAGGATCACAAGTCTCGTCGATCAACCTTACAGGCTCTTCAGCAACCAGATTGAGGTGCAGATAGCCTGACCACTTGAGCACAGGCAGCACGCGACAATCTCCTCCCCTGGCCAGATTTCTTCCTTCAACTTTTTCTTGGACACCACCCTCCACCTTCCCTCCGCCCTCCGCAAGCCTCCTCATACCCTTCTACGATCCTGCTTGCTCGTTGAACAAGTACAACTTGGCTCCGTGGTGCGACCTGTGTCCTACTTATTCCTGGAGTAATAATATTCATCCTGCGTCGCCTCTTTCATCATAACGCCAGGTATCACTCTCCTTAGGTCGCCGCTATCCGTGCCCAGTCCTCGCAACACGTCGACATTGAATATTTGATAAGCGGCTCGTTGGCGTCTTTGGCTCCTCTACCAATCATCACCAGATTTCAACACTCTAGAAAACGACACGCATAATAGAACATTCGTGTTTTCGGTAGACTGCACGGGAAGGACCGCCGTCTTATCATCCTTCTGCCGCTTGGCAGGCGCGTCTGCCTCCGCGCTTTCAACACTATCGACGATCTTTCAACACTGCATTTCAGTCGTCAGGCTGTGATAAAGTTTTCGCGCACTTTAGGGTCGACGCGAATCCTTCGATATCCCCCCTCGAATCGTAGCTATCGAATCGATATATCAGTCGCCAACGATGCCGTCCATAATACGAACGTTCAGCTCCGCAACCACCCTTTTCATCCTCCTCTTCACAATCCCGCTTACCTTCGATGTCGGCGGCCGATCATGCGGGCTCGCCTTTTCGCTTTCCCTTTCGGTTTACTATTTCTTTGTCAGCATCCTGCGACTATCCACACCTGATTCATCGCGGATCCGAAGGACGGGGATATTCTTTCTGCAACACACGCAGTGGTTCGTCATCGCGTTCCTGATGCTCTGGACCATGAACAAATTTTCCGTGGACGCTGAGGCCGAGGGAGGAGGTGGCTGGGTCACGAAGGCGTTTGGTGCGAAGGAGAATCCGACGATGGAGGACGGGTTGTGGAATTGGGTGTTCGGGCAAGGTGGGGTGTTGGAGCAGTGGACGATTGGAGGATGGGATAAGTTCTTGAGGTGGAGCACGCCAGCTTTTCAACTTGCGGAGGGGTTCTGCAGTTTGTTGGTGATACAAGTCGCTGGACAGATTACGCGGTGGCTCGTAAATCGAGAGCGAGGAGATAGCTGGATGGTAAGCTCCTTTTATCTCCCCCCTGTTATTGTCATGCGACTTCAATATCGAACACGAACTAATGATGCCTAATAGATCGGCCTCCTCACCGTCTCCGCCAGCATTTTCGCCTCCTCCATCTACTTTCTCTACCGAATCACCACCTTCCCCTCAATCTCTCCCACCTCCGCCGTCCTCATCGGCAGCATCATCACCTGCGCCATCTTCCTCTGCATCTGGGGTATCGCCTCCGGCCGCGGCAACCCCGTCGAATCCTCCCTGCTCTTCGCCTACATCACCCTCTGCATCTACCAAATCTTCACCGACTTCCGCGGCCACTCCCTCGCCTCCGAAGTCTCTCAAGACCCCTCCTCCGACCCCCCTGCCCTCCCTCCTCTCCCACCGATCATCATGGCCTCCTATTCCACCCTGCTCGCCGCCCTCCACTCCCTCCCGGAAATCCTCCACACCTCCTTCGCCTTCGTCCACGCCGCCCTCCTCACCATCACTCCCTCCGTCCTCGTCTCCCTCGCCTTCCGCGTCGCCGTCATGTCCACCGCCGTGCGCCTCGTCCCCGTGATCCGCGACGGTGGCGCCCGCGCGCTCGGCTCGGAGCTCTCCCTCGACGACTCGGACGAGGCGGGGCGGTTCCTGGCGGGGCTTTCCTGGTTCTCCCCCACGATTTTGGTCGCGGTGTACACGAGCCTGCTGATGCAGCATTTCGATCGCGGGACGCTGGAGGGGACCGGGATGGGCGTTGGCGCTGGTGTCGGAAATGGCGCGGCGTGGGGAGGAATGTGGATGTGGGGCGGCGGCAATTTCTGGGATTTCTGGCGCTGGATTAATCTGGTTGTGACGATGGCACTGTATGCGGTGGAGATGCAGTTGGGGAGGGACGATGGTGGATTGACGACGCACTGGAAAGATGATTGAGCAGCGAAATCGTTACAAGCGCGGGATTCTTCCCAGCTGGCCCTTGGAAACCGGGATTTCGAACAGTAACACGGCACATCGAAGTTGGTGCCTGGATCCGCGGGAGGGCGGAGAGGCGGATGCGAACTCGCCCAGCAGCATGTCGAGCGGAATTTCCGAAGAATGAGACTGAGTTGAGAGGATGTAGACAGTCCACCATCGCGGCATTCGAAACGCTTCCTCGAAACTCTTCTAGCTACTTCTAGACGCGCATCAAAGCAACGCGGAGGATGGAGTAGCGTCCGAACACGGTGGCTCGAAGAGAAACAGCCAGCGAGTCGATTCGAGACGGACATACCAAGCGCTTGAAAGCTGAGCGACAAAGACGTGACATCCCGTTTGTTTTTGTTGGTGTCAAGCCTCATTCTGCCATGCAATGTGAATGGAGAGGAAACACTACAGCGGCCCTAAAGGATATGGCGATTGAGGTGCGCATCGCAAGTCAGCGCGTGCATTTGGTACGAATACCCCCAGTTTGCGGACGATTTAAGCACATCAAGGGCATGAAAAAGCCTTTATTTAGCTTAGGATCGAGATAACCAGATGAAAGTCCATGGAATTTTGCTGTACTTGAAATATGCTCAACAGTGGTATCTTGCTCCCTATCGTAACTTCATTCTCCCAAACTTAGCCAATGCCTTTAAGGATACCCATCCCATCCAAGTCTCCATGATCATAACCAACACAGCGACATCAACACTACCCTTTCAAAGACTTCCCCAAAACCTCTCTCCTCACTATCCTCCCGTCCCGCACACAACCCACACTCACCCCCGCCTCTCCCGTCATCCAGCCCGGCATCCTCTCCCCATTCACCACCCCCATCTCCACCAGCTTGCGTATCCCCGCAAACACATGCGATCCATTAAACGAGATCCGGACCTGTGGACGCCATGTCTCCCCCTCCTCCCCATCTTTCTCCGCCGACAGATCCGCATCCTCGCCCAGTCCCACTTCCGCCGTCCCGCGTCTAGAAAATACCTCGTCCATCCGGACCTCCACCCTCTCCAATGCCACCCCATCCCTTTCCTTCCCCGACTCCCCAAACCGCCCCTCCGACACTCCCTCCAACCGCTTCAGCCGCTTCGGGTCATTCTCGCTTCCCCGGAGCATCTGCATACTGCGCAACCGCTTCTTCCCCTGCTCCGGCGCGATGTTCTCCTTATCCTCATCGCCCCGCACCAGACCTCCCACCTCCTCCGCCTTCCGTTTATTTGAGCTAGTCTCGAACGCCAACGCTCCGTGCCCGACGCTCCCGTGCGCGAAGATGCTCCATGCGCCCTGCGCATGGTTCGTCCGCCCGGCGCCGCGCATCGCGAGCAACGTATTCAGCGAGCGGGCCGAGAGTGAGGTGGATTTGAGGGTGAGGCGGAAGTGTGGGCGAGAGAGCGCCTTGGGGATGGCGGCCAAGAGGACCTTTTTGAGACTTTTGGCGTCGGCGTCGTCGGCGGGTTGGCGGGTTCGTGAAGGGGGGTCGGAAGAGGGCGAGGGTTTGGAGGTGGCGCCGAGGCTGGCATAGAGGTAGGGGGTGTTGTCGGGGAAGATGAAGAAGACGGATTTGGAGGCGTCGAGGGTGGTGCTGGTGGTGGTGACGTTGGAGGTGCGGGGATCGTGGAGGGAGCGTTGGGTGTTGTACGGGCTGTCGTGGATGTAGACCCGGAGGATCGTCAGTTCTTGCTCGGGGTGTCGCGCGAGGTAGTAGTGGGTGCGCATCAATGACCCGATTTCGCGTTGCAGGTTGAGGAGAAAGGTGGGAGCGTGGAAGCGCGGGAGGCGAGACAAGGTTTCCAAGTTCTTTCGCTCCTCTCGCGCATCGAAACATGTTTTCCGCTTATCCATGCCTGTCTTCCCACTCTTATTTATCGCAGCAGATTCGCTTTTACTGTTCTCATGCCGTGACAGCCGCAACGCTGTCCACCGCACCGCACCATTCTGATCCAGAATCCACCTTGTCTCGGCCATTCCTAGCTGATACAGCGTGATCCCATGTCGCCAATCGCCCTCGAGTATCCGCTCCAACACGTCTCGCTTGGTCCCGCTCCTCTTCTCCTGAAATTCCTCATATATCTCTACCGCCTCTTCGATGCTCTCGGCCGTGTCGAACGGCGCGTCAGGATCGTCGTCGGCCGTGGATGGGTCGGGGAGGGTAGCGAGGGTATATGGGACGCAGTATTGGATGTGCGGATCTGACAGCCATGATAATGCGAGCGATATGAGGGAGGCGCGGGATAATCGAGAGAGGGTACGGTGGATGAGGGGACTCGAGGAGGGGATGCGATGGGTGTTTTTGAGGCCCCCATGGGTCGGGATGGAGAGTCGGGGCGCCATGGTACGTATGTATAATTGTTATGAAAGGTTATGCGACCATAAATTCATGCTTAAATTGCATGTTGTAGTATGTTGGTGCATAGGTTTGCTGATGTTGATACAGCAAATATCTTTGAATGTTGAATCGAGACGAGATCGCGTCGAAGTTTACATTTTGCCGTTTTGGGGTTAGCGTGAATGGTGGAGCCTGGATGAGTTTATTCCCACAACAATCACAACTCCGTACCGATTCACGTCACGTCCACTCTCAAAGCCGAATCATATAAATGACGGAAGCTGGTGACGTCTCCGTTAAAGGCAGTCTAGGTGATGGTGAGGGTTGATATAACTTCCCGCTGGCTCTCGGCAACTTGACATTCGATAGTTCATTTTGAAGAACAGGTGAATCGGTGACATCGAATGGTCAGTATTTCATTTGTTGAGTGCTAGTCACTGCAAGTTCCGCTAAGTCTATGATACTCGTCTTTCGTTTATTTTTCATCATTTGATAAAATAAAACAAACTTACGTGGCAGTTTCTGTAAAGCCATCAGCAGGCGGCACGGCTGGCGAGGAGCCATCTAGTCAGGGGGGGTTGACCAGATAGTAGAACAGGACTCGTCGATGCGGATAGTCTGTTATTATCCAAGGTTCGAAACCAAAGCGTTTCGAGGAAGGTCGATATTTCAGTATTATGCTTGCCGAGGAGAAGCTTAAATTTGGTGTTCGAATACAAGATTTCAGCCAAAATAGATCAGAACTCGCTGTTATATACCTGGTACTACCAGGCGAGCAGGGTACTGTCTATCCCGACTGCGCTTCCATCATTCCGTGAAGTCAAATGATGCATTACGGAATAACTGTTATGGTCCCAGGCCTGCGGCCTGTTCCCTTGGTTGTGGCTGAAGACGTGGCTGGTGGATTATATCAGAGAAGCAAACAAACATGGTAACACAGCAGTAGGGCATTGGAGAGGAGAGTCGCTATCTCGCGCACAAAGGTGCCGGGAGATTTCTTCTCCCTCTCTCTTCAGTTTAGATTAATGGAACTTGGTAATCGCAGACCTTGCGCATCCAGACCGTGTCAATAACCAGACAACTCTTATATTCACCCGCGTCGGCTGTCCTGACGTGAGTATATTCTTGACGACTAGGATATGAAGACTGGCTTTGCTTTTCAGGGCTCCTCAGAGTACGGTATCTGGATAGAAATATTATCGGTTCTCCTCAAAGGAGTCTGCATTGTGGCAACTATGAAATGATATAACTAGAGGAGTTTATCCTCGAAACGGCTTTCCTTCCAGCAGCTACGGGTATGTGCAGTGCAACGCGTTCCAGGCATTGTATCAAAGTGATTCATTGGTTTTAATCCTATCACTAAATCAACTTCGATAATTCAAATGTTTCCCTTCCTAAGTCTCCCTAAATTGACGAATATTCCTAGATATTCTCAAGCCCTTTCATCCCAGCGCACAGTGTAAAGGCGACTGTCTCGGTATCATGTCTCTCGCCTATGCCGGTCCATTTAATATACAGCCATCTTGCTTCAAAAAGGCCTTAGTCGAAGCATGGATAGCGAAGCTAAGTCACATCACAACGCAGTCACCTACGTTTATTAATAACTTACCCAAAACATGTCCTCAGTTGAATTTCGTGGTTCATCTAAGGCGTCATCTTGAGTGATGTTGGCTCTATGAAGAGAGTAGTTAGATGTATTGAAACTTTGCCTCGTGATGGTATTTGCAGTGAAATGCCGCATTGTCCTTGGTCTGCGATGGTTTGTGGCTGGTACTCGGTATGGATGGCGTTGTAATTAATGTTTGCCGAGCAGAAAGGCTAGTCAATCCAATGTGAGAATTCTATTTCTTACCCCAAAGATCAAATCTAACGGGATAGGTATAATAGAGTTCGCCGAGGGTCGTCTGTTGTTACTGGACACCTCGCTACGTGGATTATCGAGGGATCCCAAGAGGTAAATAGCCGATCGCCTCTGGTGAAGACTTCTGATTCTATCCCTAAGACCTTAAATCAAGCATGTGACCAGAGACCCGAAGCCTATATGTGCCCAACGCCTCCTTGCTCAGGTTCTCTCTCATTCTCCAGAAGAAATATGTTGCTCTGCCTGGCTCTACTTTCCTACGCAGCATTGTCCTGGGTCTGATTTGAATATGTCGCGAGTTAAATCAGTAGGTAGCATGTCTCCCGAGGGGCATTGCATAAATTCATCGGCAGTACGAATCCTCGAAAGGGAGCATTGGTTGCATCGTCGAACGACTGACAGCTACCAACAATATCATCGAGTGATCCACTATACTGATTCCAAAAGAACATATAATCCAGCTAAGGAATCATGAAGGCATCAATGCCTTTATGGCGATACATAGCCAGACACGGAACTGTACAAGCATCCGGTGAGCAGCATATAGCGTCTGCCCATGGCCCCTCAGCCCCCTAGGGGACTTTCAGATTGAAGCGACTCCTATCGTTTTCGTCGTATCGGACATTCTCCTATGCTTCCTAGGTCGAAGCTGTAATCGGGTGTGGTTTGCTTGAAATATAGTCAGAGGTTGGTTGTGTTCTGCACACTTCTGCCGTCTAGACGATAAAACATCGCATAATCCTACGCAATGTTGGAGCAAATTACGGGCGGATTGCTCTTTCGGTGGATATTTCGGGGACGCCCTTTCCGAGGCTTTCCGCGTCCATTACAGTCCGCCCCGTCGCATCTTTTATTTGAATCCCGACGTTCACGCCCATGATTAGAGTAGGGCATCTTCCAGTTTCGTCTTCCTGCCCATGGTGCTTCGGCGCAGGATTTCGTCTCTTTAGTCCCGTGGCCGCATATATGGGTTGAGAAAATTGTTTGGCACATGTTCGTTCAATGGCAGATGGATGATACAGTACCAAAAGCAAGTCGGTACTAACTAGAGGTAGAGGCTGCGATATGAGGAACGATCCGGCCTCGCGTGATCTTTAGCACCTGTTCCGAGACTTCGACTATATCTATCGTTGGAGAAAAAGACGGGGCATGGGTTGAAATAGCTCGAATATTAGAATGACTCCGCTGTCAGCGCGGCTCACTATCGCAATCAGAGCAACTAATGAGGTCCATGACTTGTCGGACGTTCTGTAAAGGGCCTTGACACCCCCATAGAGGATCAAAGGAAGCATGGGAGGGTTGAATGCAAGGGGGAAAGTAGTCGGTAGATCACATTCCACGCCTCCCTGGAATTCGGACGATGCCAATAAGCTGGCTTTAAGGAGTGTGGCGATGTGTGGTTTCGAATGAGATTCACCGTTATGCAACTAGATGAGTATATCGGAGCCGGCAAAGTCTCATACCCACGAACAGTTACCTTATGGTTCGAGTCTCATTGGTTTGACTCCACTTGCTCCTCGTTCGGCAATATCATGTCCATCTACTAACATGGGATTTGCGATCTCAACCGTCCACTATGCGTGACCAAAAAAGCGCGGTTAAAATCCGACAGGATTCTCCGATTCCGCTGTCGACACACAAAAACGCAGGATCCCATGGATATATTGTGGCCCTGCAGAAGGCTGGTTACTCAGAATACCTCCACTAGAATACCTCTAGAACATTCCCGCGTCTGAAAAACAGCCTCGGAAGCAGATAAGGGCCAATGACCAAAGAAAGATGACTTGGAGGCCTTTGAAGATGAGACGCCGTGGTGTCCTGATGTCCTCATAAGTGCATCAGGGCTGATGGCCGTAGGGCTGTTAAGGGATAAATGGCCATATAATTTAGTCTATGCCTTCAGCCCTGGTATAGCATCTGACGTTTAACTGACATTGTCATATCAGAGTGGTTCCATGTTGACCAGCCCTGATGAAGCAATCCGAGGCAGTTTGAGCAAAGGTGTTGGAGCATGACACGTCACAGGTGGTCCAAAGTCATGACACTCAAGACTGCAGGCCTGACATAACTCCGGTGGAATACTGACTCCGAATGAATTCAAAAAACAGGGGCTTTGACCTGATGCAATATTATGAAATAATTGAATTAGATGGATGAGGCAGTTCCTGCAGAAGTTCACCACGGTTCCTGTTCCAGCGTTTCTCAACCAACCATGCTCCTCAACAACTCATGTCAGGACGTGCTATCAGCTACGTATGCACAAGCATGTTAAACGCATCATTATTCATCGGTTGATGATCCAGGGGGGAGCTTTCCGTACTTAAAATATTACTCATTTAGTTGCCGGCTGCCGCCTCTATTTTCGGCGAGATTGCTGCTGTCCGTGGTCCAGGCGGTTGGTACAAGACGCTGACGGGCCTTCGGGCGCCATAACCGACACCATTCTCCTGGTGAGACGGCTCCTCCTCGGTTCCTGGTCTGCGGGCTGGATTCCGAACCCCTCACTCGTCAAGAGCCCTTAAGGTTGTTCAGAAGCGCCATCTCGAACCATTCTGCTCACCTCTCATTTGTTCCACCTGTCGATCAGATGCAGGTCGCCGAATTTGCGTCCGTGCTGGCTGTCTCACAATGAGGGGGCAAAAGCCAAAGTCGATGTCATTTCTCCCGTGCTCCAGGGCTCCAGGCTCCCATGCCACTCTGCAACGCTGGTTACATTCCGAGGATTCAAATTTCTCTCGCGGTCTCGCCGCACCGTCGAGCTCGTGCAACCGTCCCCAGGAGACGGGCAGGAACCGTTCATCTCCCTTAATCTTCTCTTCAGCTTTCAGACTTCAGAAGATGGACTTGATGGGTTCAACACCTGTAGAGCGGGATGCTTAGCTCGTTATGAAGCCCTACTAGCCTGCGATATACCGCTCGATGAAAGGCGATCCTTCAGGAATTAGGATTTGAGGGCAAGTTTGTTCACGGACTGACACAGCCACAGAGTGGCCCCATGGGCGTGAAATGAGGTTCTCGAATGGTCATTTGAAAACTACATGTCACGACTCACGAATGTGGATTGTCCCGTGTCTGGCATTCGCGAGGAATTCGGAGATGGGTGGTGGCAGTGTGGCTAATTATTTCCCATTACCACAACGCCATCTCATCTCCGAATGGCGGGATTCATCTTCATGTTTCGTCCCGTATCTCTTCCCAACAGAATTATACTGGAGGCACAGTGGGTTTTTGACCCGGTAGATGAGGAGAGAGTGCACACAGTAAAATTGTTTGACCCACTCGCGGCGCCTTCAATCTTCATTCTCGTTGATCTCATTTCACGATCTCGTATTGCAGCTTATCATCCCCGTGGAGGTGATGACACAGTGAACGCTATCACGCTGTACAACACCGAACTCTTCAGCTTCCAGATCGCTTGCAATCTGTTACATGCCGGAGAGAAGACACCAAGAACATATCGGTGGTCCAAGAATGATATTGCATCATGACGAAATCTGGACAGCGCTTCACTCCGACGGTAGACATCCGAAGGTGGACAGCATCGATCAGTCATTGGCACGATAGGGTTTCGTGATGGGGTATGCAGAATCTGAGCAAGAGATTGGTAGACCGTTAAGTTGTTCCTGGGACCTGCAGCCATCTGTTAGATTGCAGGCCCACGATTTGGGCTTGTCAATCCGCAGACTTAACAGGGGGTTCCTAGACGGGGTCAGGATGCCCCAGATCCTTGCCTGGCCACCGTTCAAACATCTTGATCCATGGTCACCACATATCACATCCTTCTTTAAGCTTCTGTTTTCTCTCGCTCTACCGCTGTCCTTCCTGTCTTTCGAGTTCCTATTTCTCTTCTACATTCGCTGTGATCATTCGGTCTTTCGAGGCACTTCCACTCTTTCGACCATCGGTCTGTCACTCTTTACAGCAGCGAGATATCTGCACCATTCTCTTCAGTACCAGTCCCTCACCTTTGCGAAATTGACTTTCGCTTTTAGTGTTTGTCTGTGACAAAGAGTTGATCACACGTCTCCTGAAAACCCCTCCAAAACGTTCAACCCTCCAGCCGTCGATCGTGCTTCTTCCCCGGACGACCTAACGAGATTGTCGATCCCCCTCCACCCGACTCAAGATGCATTTCTCAACCATCCTCACTGGCCTTGCGGCCTTTGCTACCCTCTCTGAGGCAAGCATCCCCCATGGCTATGAGCGTCCTCAAGCCCGCCACCACGTTCGCCGTGCAGGTGGCAGCTCCAATGGCACTGTCTCCTCCGTACCCTCCAGGCCCAGCGGCTCCGGATCTGCCAGCATCCCGGCCTCCTCGGCCAGTGTCAGCATCCCCACCTCCTCGGCCAGTGGTAGCGGCTCCATCCCCAGTGGCAGTGGCTCCGTTCATCCTACTGGTAGCGGTCGTCCAAGTCACAGCGGTCGTCCAAGCCATAGCGGTCGTCCAAGCCATAGCGGTCGTCCAAGTCACAGCGGTCGTCCAAGTGGTACCGGCCCTACTTATCCCACTGGGAACAGCACCTCGTCTCCCACCGGTAGCGGCACTGGCCGTCCCACTTCTCCTAGCTTTACCTTGGTGCCTACTGGCAACGGAACGACCACTGCGCCTGAGTTGACGACCTCTACCATCCTGTCAACGGTCACTTCCACGATCGCAGGCACCGGTTCGGGTTCTCCGATCGTCGTCACTTCCGTTATCACTGTCGGCACCACTGTCTATACCAAAGACAAAGACACGTCCCCAAGCACCACTGATTCAGTCGAGACATCTGTTGCAACCCTGACTTCTGGAACCGGCGCATCAAAGACAACCATTACCACCACTATCTTGAACACCAAGACTTCGACTGCTGTCCATGTCAGTAGCTCATATTCTATTATGGAACCTTCATGCTGATTACTTTTAGACCGTCACTGGTGGGACTGGTGGCGATTGCCCGCTTCCCTCCACAGTCACCGTTACCGAAAAGGAATATATCACTGTGGTAAGTAATCTAAACGAACCCCATGCCAACCCTCACTAACAAACCCTACCAAGACCGCTGGAAATGCCGGCCCTGGCTCTTCGGGAGGTGCTGAGACCCCCACCGGCGACTCTAGCCACCCTTCATCCTCATATGCAACCACCGCCGTTTCCATCGTCACCATCGTGCCTGTCCCCAGCGGCGGGCCGCCATATGGCAACGGCACGATCCCCAGTGGCACCGCGCCTCCTTCAAGCGGCACCGCCCCATCGTCTCGCCCACCTCCTCACGGATCCAACCCAGTCCCGAGCGGCACCGGCCGGCCAACCCGCCCCGCACCCAGCGGCACCGGCCGGCCAACCCGTCCCGCCCCCAGTGGCACTGGTCCAGCACCCAGCGGTAGCGCTCCGGCACCCAGCGGTAGCGCCACGCCGTCCGGCGGCCACGGCCACGGTCACGGCCACGGCCCCGGGAAGGGCGTGAAGGCGAGGAACTTCGGTCGCCGCTAAACCATTACTCTCATGGGCGGTCCAACTTCGCCGCCCGGGGTTTACTTAGCAGGGCAACGATGCACGCCTTGACGGCGATGGCGTTCTGCCGCGCCGCGGTTCATGCTGGAAGCATTTTCTGATTCGATTCGATTTAAGACTAGCCATCTATGACCGTCATGGGATCGAGAGTCCGGCGCTTAACTTTTTTTTCCATTTCGTTTCTGGATAGACTTTTTTGGGGGATTTTTGGGGTCGAGATTTGAGATGATCCTTTTTGTGTAGATAAATTCGTCGTGTCGAAAATACAGGCAGGTTACTTTGAGTTCTCTCTCCAGTCTAGACATGGATCCTATCTCGTGTCCAAGTGATGTGACCGTGATAGATGAAGATCCTGCCGGCTCCCGTCTTTGTACTCCGGATTTGATTATCCTTGGCCGATCCCTAAACCTAACTTTAATATACTCTTCATTTCGGATCTGCGAGCCGATTCCAGGAACCAGGACGCCGATTTCGTGATGACAATAGGCCTGCGTGCTATCAATCTATAACAGCCAGGGGTAGCTAGCACTTCATACCTTGCTTCCTACCCCAGGAATCATGCAAGCTAGTGAACGGAGGATCTCCTATGCTCGTGTTGGTGTCGAAATATACCGTGGAAAAGAATTGAGACACGTGAAAGTTGCACAATGAGTTTGGATTACAAATTATCCCTTTCTCATCACAAGGAATACCGTTACAAGGGACGTACTTCAAAGTTCAGAAGTGAGCGTGTTCTCTTAAAATAGATGCAGTCTACCACAGTGCATGTCCAAACTCGAGAACACGTTGTGCTCGTGCTCTAATTCTGCTATCACGACGTCTTCAGTTACTTGAAGGCTTTTTTCCTTGAATAGGATTCAAAACTATCGTCTTATGGATTCAGTTAAGTTAATGTTTTGATACCATGCTTAATCTCATGCGCGGCTGTGGTATGTTTCCGCCGGGCATCGTATGCAAGTCTTTTCCTCATGCACTGGTGCAACGCAAACGGACATCGTGTCATCAAAAGTTGGTAAGGGATTATACGAGCATAGAACGTCGGAGCAAGACTCAAGAAATACAGGAAGAGTGGTGGGTAAAGTATAAGGTTTCTGACCTGGATATACGCCAGTGATGCAAGTGATACCAGTGATGCCAGTGATACCAAAATATAATCCTTACCCAATTCCTCATAGAGATATTCCCCAACCTCAGCTCCCCCCTTTGGACTCAGACGTAAAAGGGAAACGAATATTTGTTGACGAATAATGATCTCTAGGCTGGGTCATTGTGTACCATGAGGGACCGAAGGAGCGGTACGCCGGAACGCTTCTCATTTACCGACGATTTCTAGAAAGGCCGTTGATTCACGGTTGGGGCGCTAGAATACTGCCTAAACGAGCAGTAAAGCGAGGAGAAATGAAATTGCTCCCATGCACATTGGTCTTTGGCAGTTTATTAGCAACTAGAAAGATCAATCAGAAGATTGTAGTAGACAATGAGAAACAAGCACTGAGGCCAGGCCCTCAAGTCTGCCATCTCTGGATCTCATCCAAAGTTAAGACGTATTCATGATTGTATATCTGTCCAAGTTAGCAACCCGACTTTCACAATAATGCGTGCCACTTGCCTGTTTCAGAGCTTCAGGGCTGTTCCATTCCGCATTGTTGATGTATTGATCACCCCCCACAGCGAAATACAGCCAATCGGTCTGGTACGTCTGCAGGAGGTCAGGTAACGGAGCTCCGCCTATTTCAGCGGCTGCGATGAGCTTTGTATCGCGGCCAAGCTCCACCATTTGGTTGTATTGAGTTGACATAGGCTGTGAGCCAGTTAGTCATCTTCAGCCCTTGTCGAACGAGAGAATAAGATACGCACCCCATTGCCTTCAGCATGCACATCGGCACTCAAGATATCTACCGTATCATCTCCAGTGTACCATTCTTTCACAATGGAGTTCCAGACCCAAATCAGATTGTTTAGTCCGTGATGCTTCGTCAACCGGTCGAACAGTACTCCCCAAAGCTGTTTCGCTGGCGCAGCACTTTTTGCTCCCCACCAGAACCACTCCCCTTCTGCTTCATGCAAAGGCCACCACAGCACCGGAATTCTAGCGTCTTGGAGTCTCTTCAACTGCACAGCGATAGCGTCGATGTCTCGGATAAGCAGCGTGTAGTTGGCGTTCACAGTGTCCTGCAGTGTCGCCGTGACGTCAAAATCGGTCGCCTTGGTGTAGAAACCACTCCACCACGGGTTCTCTTGCGTGTCGAACAGCCCCGTGGGAGCATTCCAGTGCCATTGAGCAGCAACTATGCCGCCTTGTTTATGGTGCGATATGGCGTCCTCGACTGTCGCGGATTTGCTGCCACGCTCAAACTCGGGAAGGAGTATAGTCGATCAAATCCATAGATACGATGGTAGGGGTCTTCCTAGTTTGCGTGCGGATCAGATCTGCATATTTTGGATCGTGCTGGCCAGACAGAATCTTCTTTCCATAGATCGACTTCAAGTAGCTGTAGAGCTTCTTGGAGTTACCATCTGCGCTCGGATTGATCAAAGCATCATTGATCTTATGTGGCGGTCTGGGAGGCGAGGGAGTCAGACTAATATAGTCAACAAGTACCTAGTACTGGTCAGCGACTCGCATTACTCCTCGAGGGCAAGGTGCTCGCCATCCCCAGTTCGACACAATGTCAACTATGGTAGTTCCTACTTCAAGCAGTACCTATCCTCCAATGGCGTCGGCGAAGCTTTCGGTCGCAGGGAAAACGACTTCACTCGTCCTCGCGTTGTTGAGGACTATAGAAGCTCTCTTCTCTCTATAGATCCCGGCATATCAAATACTGAGGTCGTACAACTGCGCGTTGCTACTCTCAACTCGGAAAGTTGGCTTGTCGGTTGGCTGTTCAAAGCCAGTGACATATCCCTTTCCTATCATGTACTAGCCACTCAACATATAATCAGTGCCAGGAGTGTTTTTCTTCGGCTTCCTCACCAGAGAATCCCGAGTCCGCGCTTTCAATCGTGGTCCCAGAGAGGACAGCATCCTCTGCTTCAAAGGTCAGCTTCGAGTTGCTTTGACATAATACCGTTGATACGCTGGTGACTAGCACCCAGAGGGCTTTGAATATGAGCCTCATCTTCATCTATGCGTCCGATCAACACTGCTTGACATTGCCGCCTCCGCTTCAGTCTCCGCGAGATCTCAACCCTCCTTTTATGTAGGTTCGTGAAGCAAGAGCATGATCTAATTTCGCAAAATAATATCTGTCAATTATATTACGGACCATCGCTCGCCGTGCTGAAATAATGCTTTGATTGAAACAAGTCATTTTCTGGATGATAAGTAGCCGGGATCTTTACATATCCATATAGCCACAGTGCAGGCGGCGCAAGTATCTCTCATTTTCCATCCGCCGAAACCAAGACGCGCGGAAAGAATGCAGATACATTACCGTATGGATTTGTTGATGTACCTAAATGAATTGAACCTCAAAACCATAATTCCGATCTTTGCGTCCTGATGTCCATCTTGGGGTTGGCAAAATTGATCGGGACCCAGTCGGTATTTCGCGCTCCGCATCCAGTTCCAATAGTGTGCCTCGTCTTATTCATGTTGGACACCTGATTGTTTGAATGCCTGCATATATATATCCACAAACCGAGTGATCGAGAGAAGAAAGCGAAATCGATAAATCGGACGTTTTCTGAAGGCCGACTCGTGATGCTCCAGCTTGGATTGCTTCAATGGAGAGGCCAGCTTCGGGATTATCATCCCAAGGCATCTCACAATCCGATCTAGCATCAACAGGCCCATATCTGTTACTTCTTCTAGTTAATATTCCAAAACTCGTATTCCTAGTTCTTTGAAACCCTTCCACCGTTTGCCTCTCTATCTCTCACGTGCTTTCTCAAGCCGCCCTTGCGGAGGAGGGTCTGTGTCAAACCTTTAGGCAATGGTTATGGGACCATCGGTAAACAGGAAATATCGCAATGTATAAGCAGCACATTGAAGCTTTTGAGACTTTTGAGACTTTTGAGACTTTTGAGACTTTTGATGGGTGACGATGTTAATACTGATGGCAATATCATCCATCCGGTACATATTCATCTTAAGGAAATTACAGATTGAGGTGATATCAGGCTGCCAGGCTGTTAGAGAGGCACGGGAACGTAGGGTCCAGCCACAAGGTCTAGACTCCAGCCACAATTGACCCCCTGTGTATGATCAGATCATCACCAGATAATCGTTCCACCAGAAACTGAAACTGAAATTCAGACAAATCACAACCGTTATTATCTTTGAATTTCCACTTTCAACCCCATATCGATGCGTCGAATGGAGCCAAGCGGCGCCAATCCTGCCGATCATGGACTGATATACGACCTTTCGTCATTCACCCCCTCCCTCTCGGAGCCACCCGCTCTCCCCACGCCTACCGCCTCCACTTCGGACACGAGCGCAAACCCTATGCCAAATGTACCACCACACAAGCGCAAAGCCCGTCCTCAGAAAGTGTGTCAACCATGTCGTATGCGCAAGGTCAAGTGCACATACGAGTTCCCATGCAAGACGTGTATTGAGCGGGGACATCCGGAACTCTGTGAATATCTCCCGGACCTACCATCCAAACGCATATACTCTACCGCCCACCTGGAGGACGGAGAGCGATTCATCCCGTCCAAAGAACAATGGACGGAAATGGGCGACCGAATCGCGGGGGTGGAGAACGTACTTCGTGAGCTGCGGGATGGCTTACATCGGCTTCAAGCTCAGCTCGGACACGGCAAGGCAGCGCCACTGGCAGCCACGGATGCCGATCAGGATACATCCTCTACCCACTCCGATCGGACCGTTCTACAAGGTATGTCGGCAAGTAATGAGCTAGCCGGAGACTCGATTTACCTTGGAGAAAATTCGGTTCCGGCCATGGTTGTTGCTCTCGTCAAAAATACCAATATGGACAAGACCACCGCCGTTGAGGAGGTTCTGGGTAAGAGTATCCTGCCGGTATTCGGTCTGGACAATGAGAGCGCAACTTATCCATTTGTCGACCTCTGGGGAATACCGCACGGTTCCTTCAAGAGGATCGAGTTATTGTGCAAACTGCTGCCCACGACTGATTCGGACTGCATCCGGACGTTTCAACAATACCGAGATACGGCCCATGTTATCTTCCCGGGAATCGTTGACATTGCTCAATTTGAAAGTGATCTGCTTGATTTTCTTCGGCATCGCAGCTGGGAACCGCTAGCTGTACAGCCTGGTAACTTAGATAACCAAACCGTATACGGGCGGGACCTACACTGGCTTGGACTGCTTTTCGCAGCCCTGGCGTCTGGCGTCCAATGCTCCGATCTCCCGCGTAAGGAACGCCAATTGAAATCGCAGGTTTATGGTATGGTGATATTTCATTATCGTAGATGTGCTGCTCGTTCTAACTGGTTGCTAAGTTTGCTGCGCATATGAGTGCCTTCGGATCGTAAACTACCTCTCTCGCTCCACCCTTTCTGACCTCCAAAACTTATTGGTTCTTGGGAACGTCATCTCAAATAACATGAACGCGGGGGTTGCCTGGTCACTTCTTGGTAAGCCTTGTCACATGGAGCAGCGGGACACAACAGGGTCTGATTGCTTGTAGGTCTGACGATTCGTCTTGCCCAGAGTTTGGGTCTCCATTACGAGGTTCCCGCATCTGATCCATCCGCAAATCAGACTGCGAAAAGCAGCATCTGGTATATACCCCTTACCCTAGAATTCTGGTACGCTCATTGACTCGTCATCTAGGTGGCAGATTATCTGGCAAGATAGTCTATTATCCATTACGTTTGATAGGAGCTCTCAGGCATCTATAGCAGCCCACCTGAGCCATCGTAAGACCACCTCTAAGTTGTCTTACATCAACTTCATGCGTCGGCTCTGCAAGATGGGCCTAGACATTGTCCAGCGCAGAACCGTTGCCAAGCCCACTCAGGCCAAATTTCTCGAGATCATGGAGATCCGCAACCAGATCAAAGAAGACGAACAGCATCTAGAACCCCATCTCACTGACATCGCCAACTGCCGGTCGATGCGCGAGCAACTCGAGTTCTGGAACCTCTACCTCCATCGCTCCTACATCCTCTCCGAACTCTGTCGCCCCACCCTCAACCGTCACAAAGTTCCCTACCAGCAAGAGGAGCTCGCTCGCTCCCTACACACTCTCTGCGTGGAGAGCCTGACCAACACCGTCGACGCCTTCCTCGGACTGCAGAACATCACCTCCTTCGCAACGCAGTCCTGGGCCGCCGTGCACCGCTCACTCAGCTGCGCCTTGCTTCTCGGCATCCTCGGCGAGGCGTCCCGTAGCAATCGGGTCCGCAATCTCGTCGGCCGGCTCACCACCGTCATGTCCCACGTGGTGTCGAGCGTCGATCGGAGCGAGCTGTCGACCCCGCTGGCGCGGTCGATGGCGGCGTTGGTGAAGTTGAGTGCGGAGCCGCCGCCGGCGGAGAACGAGCCGTCGCAGATGACGTTGGCGTTCGAGGATTGGAATGAGGCGGACGATTTGATGTCGGGGGTGGCGAGGGCGGGGAATATGGATTCGCCATTGCCGCATTCCTCGAAGTCGTCGTCGAGTAGCGAGACATCGCCGTATTCAGTCCTGAATTCGATCATGTGGGGACCGCTCGATATGCTGCCTCTTGGTTGAGGTTTTCCTACCAATTCTTGAGAAATATTTTCGACATGCAAAATGGGGCGAAGAGCTTCATGTACAGTACATATAACGATCATACCCTTCCAGTTAGCGAAGATAATGTGCAAACGACTGTATTTGTTTTGATGAACCATGATGGAATATCAAGCGCATCTGGAATAGTAAGTGACGTGGTTCGCGCAACAATGATGTCCTTCACGAGGATATCAAGTAACGACCTTTCGAACACGATTCCGAAACCTCGATGTATGCTTCCGTCTCCTTGTCAATTCGCGAACTCGAGAAATGTCACCAGTCTTGGTCATCTTTCCAAGGAGCTCCCCAACCCCAGAGAATTCCTTGATGACTCCAGAAGCCTTCCTCGGGGGATTGCTGTGCGGTTTATGATCATCCTCGTCTTACTACGATGTCCAGTGGCTAACAAAGTCCCGACACTCGAAGCTGAAGTTGAAGACATGACTCATACTTATAACTGGAAAGTCCCATTAGAGCTGTGATGAAATGGCCGGAGACAACTCCCGCGACTTCTGGCGGAGTAGTCATGAAAGTTGCTTGAAAAGCATACACTGTCGGCCGGTACCGGAACTCATATACAGTCGCACATTCGAAATGTGAGCAGTGAGATCGAAATAGGATGCAGACAATTAATATTCGAGCAGCTCTTCGGAGCAATCGAGATCTCCTAATAATGTGCCCCATACATTTTTCGGCAACAGCACGATGCTCACGCCATCGGAGCTTCGGCGAACTCCCGACATCAGTTCATTATCACAGGATTCTCAGCCCTGCCGTTATGTCCCCGAACTCCCCGAGCTCCCCGAGACCCCGACTTCCCTTCCCGATCCGATCTCCCCGAATCATTTCTGCATCCAGTGCGGCAGTGGAACTCCAGCGAGCTTCAACGACGTGATCTGGTTCCACGCTACTATCGAATCCTGCCAAGCTACGTGATTCTAGAACCTGAGTCCGCGGAGTGCCCTCCGCGGTCCAGACGCGCTATCCTGCGTCCAGCGTAGGAGATGAACGCATGTCCGAATATTGTAGACGCGGCAGGACGAAAGCGGATCTCACGGACGGTTCTGGATGACACTGACCTATCATAGTAGTTACCGAGTAACCAAGTGCTAGCATTTTCTTTCCAATATCAAATGTTTATAGGTGGGCTTCATGGCGTTGTCACCGGGGCTCCGATGAACTTTATATGATTGAGTTGCCCTCGATGGTTACACGAATGCCTTTTCTTACCATTGCAAGCTACTCTCAACACATCTTCATTACAACCGAGTCACATTGAGTCATTTTATACAAGTGTGAACGTCATAGATCCGCTTCAGCAGATCTGATATACCCCACTGCAATGGATCCTACTCAGTACCAATTCGACCCTTTCTTGTCAATAGACAACCTACCTTCATGGCCCATCATGGATCAAACACTGTTCCAAAACACAAAGTCTCCAGCTGATTCAGATGCATTCGTCGGCTCATGGTCACAACTCGGTACTATAAACCCATCACCAACGGAGGAAGACTACTTCGACTTCAATCTCATCTCTCCCTCATCACTCGAAGGAGACTGGACCGCACTCCCGACCTACCCCTCTTCAACCATCCCCTCAACACCCTCTCTCAGCGCTTCCCACAGCCCCTCCATGACCTCCGTCTCCTCCGAAACCGACGACGCCCCTCCCTTCCCCCCACCCACCAAGCGTCGACGCGGCCGACCGCGATCGACCCTCCCCAAACCCAGCAACGCCTGCAAGCCCTCGCCGACCTGCAGCGGCCGCACCCCCCACAAATACGTCGAGCAGAAATACCGGCACTCCGTCACCGCGGCGTTCCAAAACCTGCAGAATGTCGTGTTTCCGCAGCTGGACGACCGGGATCGGACCGGGTTCGGTCGCCTGTCCCCGACGAAGACGGCGATCTTGATTCAGGCGCGGGAGTATATTCAGCAGCTGGAGCGGCAGAACGCGCGGTTGCAAGAGACAGTTGAGGAATTGAAGGACGCGATGCCGTAGGATGGGTCGGGTTCGGGGATGTCGTGGATTGGCGGACGATGGGATTGGATGATGATCAACGTGCTCCCTACGTTTCTGGATATTAACGAAAGGTCGAGCCTTGGCCAAATGAACGGCGTTGGGGTCTCGTGTTTGATGGATTGGGTAGCGTAGGCACACCAGAACGGATCGGCGGACTATGCTCCGGGGATGTAATATAGCTCGCTATGTTAATAATTCCTTCTCTCTGAGAACTTCTCAATCTACCCATTTCTTGGACTTGAATGATCGCGGGAACCGATTTGTCAAACCATTTCAAGAGACCGGGACCTGATCGATAACGAAAGGGATCAGCAATAGTAGCCCAAAAGTATCGCGAGAAGATAGAGCTCTGGAGCTTAACCTGCTCTCAATCCAGGGTCCAAGAGGAGACAGTTTGATGATTTCCCCGATTCTCCACACTGGATTCGTGCAGTCGCTTGGTTTGAGCGGGTAGTTATCCGGCCATTGCGTCATAGTTCAATTGCATGTATTGTGGCATACGGAGTAAACTCGGAAGATTTCCATGTTCTTCGTTCCGTTTTTAGTTTTACGAGTGGGATGATCGACGGAAAAGCTGTCAAAGTAGTGGAGTGGCGTGACTGGCGATGATGTCGAATGTACCTCATTTAAGGGAACAACAATCACGATATTAGTTGGGAATCCGTGCTATTGTAAACACATCAAACCAGACTGTCGTTGCACAAATCGAGGGTAATCGTGAGCACCTCTACGACTACGAAGTATACCGTACCTACGACTGAATCCATATACCCCCAACTCAACATGAAGTCCATCCTCATCGTTGGCGGAACCCGCAATCTGGGGAAAGCACTTTGCACACATTACACGAGAGAGCCAAATACCACTGTGTATGCCACCGCGCGATACGGCCAACCGACTCACCATCCGCCGAACGTCCACTGGATCAGTGGAGTTGACATTTCCCACGACAACGCCGGCTACAAAGTGGCACTCGGCTGGAGCGGCGAAATCCCCATCGACATCGTCTACATCGTCGCGACCGGCTCCCACAGCCACTTCGTCCCGGAGACGCTGGAGAATCCGAACCTCGAAGCAGAACTGAACATGTACAAGACCTTCGCCATCGGCCCGCTGCTTCTCGTCCAAAACCTCATCCGACAAAACATCCTCGCGAAGGGCGCTAAGGTCATCTTCATCGGCAACGAGGCCGGGAGCATCGCCTTGAGGAACAAGGGCGGCGACTACGGCTACCATGGAAGCCAGGCCGCGTTGAACATGACTGCACGGCTGCTGAGCTTCGATCTCAAGCCGAAGGGCATCGCCGTGGGCGTCATCTATCCGGGTCACATGAAATTGCTGGGCGAGCATAAGCACACGATACACGGCGATGAGGTTGCCCCAGCGGTGGCGTCGAAGGCCGTGGTGGAGTTCGTGGAAAACGAGTTTAACCTGGAGAAGTCTGGACAGCTATGGGCTGCCAGAGGTTTCGCGTAAGTTGCTCCTCACTATTGTCATCGCTATTGTCATTGTTGAGCGTTGAACTGACACGTCATACAGGAGCTTGCCGAACCTTGAAGGCAGTCTTGTTGAAGGCAACGCGGCGGACGAAAAGCCCATTGAGCTTCCATGGTAGATAAAAAGGGTATTAGTGGGAATAGGAACGATATTTCATCCTGTACAAATCGTCATAAGGCAGGTGAATGTTGGAAGAAGCGAGGGATATGAAGTCATGAATTGCATGGGTGATGATGGATCACATGTATGGAAAATCAGAAGTTGGGCCTCAGGCAGTCAGGCAGAAACCCGAGTTCGATGATAGGACTGGATAATAATATGAGATTTACGACCAGCCAGAATTTCCAGCTCGGCATCATCCCCGAGTCATCTCATCAACCGTTCATTTCCCAGTTGATATTCCCTTCACGGGGTAATTAACTAGTTGCAGGAAGTGTATCCGCTCCATAGGTCATGTACTAATATCTTAACTAAATCCGAAGTCCTGTCTTTCAAAATCATGTCCCTCCTCCACCGGCCGATGCCGCTCACCTTGCCCTTCCGAGCTCTAGATGTCCTCCTCCGTGGAGCCCGACAGCCCATAAACAGCGAGTTCGCAATCGCCCGACACTTCTCGAACGTCTCCCGTGCTCATCCTATCCCCCGACTCCCCCGTAATGCACCCGCCCGCATCCCTCGACGCCGCATCCACACCACCAAACGCCTCTCCGACCAGCCTCACACTCCCCCCTCCGGCTCCTTTCCCCCTCAACCACAAACTATCTCTCAGAAGCTTAAGGCCCTCAGCAGAGAATACGGGTACTCTGCCGTCGGCGTATACCTCGCCCTCTCTGCGTTGGATTTTCCGTTCTGCTACCTCGCGGTGCGGTGGCTTGGCACGGATCGGATCGGCCGGTGGGAGCATAAGATCCTTGGCGGGTTTTGGTGGATGGTGGGGATGGTGGCGCCGGGTATGGCGGAGCGGAGGGCGGAGAGGGTGACGGTGGGAGCGGACGGGGTTGGAGGGGATGGGGATGGGATGGAAGGGGGGATGGACATGGAAAAGGAGATTGGGGGACGAAAGACTGAGGGGGGTGAGCATGGTTCGGGTGAAGGAACAGCGAGTAAGTCGATATCCATTTCGGTTCGGGTCAATATTGTTTTCGTAGGGCGTGCTCGAGTTAGCCCCTGTCGAATCGGCAGTTGATGATGCCTGCCAAGGCGATCTGCTATTATACATGCTGACTGTTGACCTTTCCAGCAATCTGGACCCAGCTGGCACTGGCGTATGCGATCCACAAATCCCTAATCTTCATCCGGGTGCCGCTCACGGCTGCCGTCTTGCCCAAGGTTGTTAAAACCTTGAGGAGCTGGGGTTACAATATTGGGAAGAAAAGACCGAAGCCCTCGCATTAGTCTTACAGTTCAAGGACAATCGGCACTTGACATCTCGGCTCTGTTGGCTAGAAGGAGGGCGCGATTGTTACTGGGCAGGGGCTGTTCACTGTACGCGCAATGTACAGGTGATCGTTGGTTAAGAAGGTATCTCAACTTATCATTATTTTGGTATGAGCGGGATTGGGTGGTTCAGGCCCGCAAACAGTGACCGGGAGTCGGATCATTACAGATCGATCGTTAGGACATCTAATATCTGTATGATAGTGTGGTCGGAAGTGTTACAAGACAGTAGTCGACGCAAGTCTTTCAAATGTATCCATAGCCATCCCGCCAACAGGTTCGCTTTTGCTATAACAGCGCTTTAACCGAATCTCCCGTGCTCCAGATCCCAAAACAAGTCAAACATTTGGTATATAAGATGTAGCCCACCGCTACAAATCCCTCGATTTGCCTCAGTCATCGAGCGGCTGCGAGCCGATGACCTTCAGGACTTCGAGTAACTTTCTCCATGCGGCACTCATGTATTCAGCCTTCTCTCCAAATCCGCATTGGATGACGACGCGAATCGTCATCATCGAGAACCACCTTCGAGCACGGTCTTCTTGCAGATTGTCGATGGGTACGTCTCGAATTCCTGGGGCCTGGGACCATAAGTCAAGGGTCGAAGAATATGAACCACTCTGAGTGGCGGGAAAGATTCCGGGGATGGGATCGAAGGAGGGAGCAGCGGAAAGGTCGAATGTAGAGGAGCGGGGATCTGCGTCCAGCGCAGAAAAGGTGTCCGGGTGGCTTGGGTAGCTATATGCATCGGAACATGTGACGACTGGGTTGGGTCCGAGGCAAGCAGAGGAGAGGGTAGAGCGAGGGAAGATGAAATCCGAGTGGCCTGGTGAAAAGGGGTAAGGTGAGGAAAATGCAGGTGTTATGGTCGAAGATGAAATGGGGGGTGTGGAGGTCCCGATCTGCCCATCGGAGTTGAAGTAGTCTCGAATCATGTCGTCGCTTGGTCTCTGGGAAAAGCTCAGCAGGGGACCAATGCTGCCAAACCCGACATTAGACATGGCTGCCGAGTTGCTGGGGATGTCGAACCGCTCGTCGGTGGATGAAGTGAAGGGTTGCGGAGTATCCATTCCCATAGTTGTTGCTGCATCCGAGGGGCGAGCAGAAGAGCTGCAATTGAAGTTCCGAGCGGGGTTGGAGGCAACGGCACCTACAGAAACGCACCAGAGCAGGACTCCAGCCATATCGCCCCAGAAATCCGAGGTGCCGCTCGCTTCTAATGCCTCGCGGATTCGCATGGCGAGGTTGGGCTGTCGCCTCGGCCCCCTTGGAGCATCTCTCGTAATTCCATCGGCACCGATGATTGGCGGTGGGGTTGAGCGCGGAGCGTCGGGTCCTGTCGCTGGGTCTGTGGCAGTTCGAGATGCGACAGAAAGAGGGACTTTGTTGACAATTGCGTAGGAATACAAGACAGCGGTTAGTCGTATAGCTTCGTACACCATGTCCGGTCGAGTTCCCGGAGGAAGGTTGTGTGCAGCAGCTTTCGCTGATAAAATACGGGTGTGAAGATCGTATATGGTCATTAGCCTGGTTTCATGTGAACGTCGGTTGTATTGCTGATTAGACTCCGGGTATTCGTGAGCTGTTGAGGACTTGACGTTCTCATAGGAAGTTGATCTGCAGAACGGCGCGGTATGCCCATCGTAGGAATCTTCATTGGGTTCGACGAAGAGGTTGGTCATGTCGCGCGCGTCACAGATGAGCTCGTATATCGCAGGAGTACACCTTTTAGATCGAAGAACCGTGAAAAAATCGTCTCTCGGACAGTAGAGTGGCGATTCGACGATGGTTTTACTTGGATCCCGGCGTATCAGGCGAGGGTTCACCGGGATATAATCCATGTACTCTTTCCAAGGAAGCCTTTCACGAAACCCGGCTGAAAAGTACACAGCCCTGAGGTTTGTTAGTACGACTGCTCACTGCTCTATATAGATATGGCAAGTAGATTTAGGGGGTGGCTTACAAGCATGCAGTGACTGCCAATACACCATTCATGCCAATGTTGGATAGTCCTCCGTTAGTAAATACCAGTTCCCGCAACCCTTTCGTATGGGTTGAGATGGTCCATTCGTCTCCGCGGATGACTTCACTGAGAGCTAGGTGCGCGACAGTCATCATAGTCACGTCGTGCTTTGCTCTCTCCGGATCAGACAAGGCTTCTGAAAGCATGTTCATAACCTGAATTTTCACCGCAATTGTAATGGCGCTTTCCCCTACCAATCCATTCACGGTGTCGAAGTGGACGGCTCCAAGAATGATGCCACTAAGGAAGCTAAGTCGATGCTTGATCAGAGTGGGCATCCAATATATATTCATGCCCTTGGATGAAAATGCGTGCGCCGCTGAAGAAGTGGTGGTCAGAAAAGGTCTGATACTAAACAATCTGCAGTGCGTGGATGTTGACTGACTGTGCATTTTCAGACGAGCGATATTGATACCCGACCTGCCCAGCTGAGGCATAGCGAGGAACGTGTCGATTCCGCCATCGATTATCATCCCTGGTTCGGTGCCACTTAAAAGGAGCGCCTCGACCAAACGGCAGGCTTCTTTAACTTCTTCGACAAACTTCTTCTCCGCGTGACCTTTTGAGCTCAAGAGTCCTTGACGAGCGAGCTGCAAATGCGCTGTATAATATCGACTGAGACCCTGTGACACCGCCTTCGGACGGCCTGCTGCAATGACCATTTGATGCCCTGGTGTTACACTGCAAGGGTGCGTACCGATCTCAAGGGTGCTTCGAGACGGAGCAGGCTGCCTCGACGATTGTAGCTCTATTTCGCTAGGTTGGCCTTCCACCTTTGAACTGGATTCGCCATGACTTAGAGTGGCCGCATCCTTCTTCTGTAGAAAGTTCATCATAACATGGGAGCGGATGGATTTGAGCTGGGCTTTCGACTGATTCGGGTTGGTGATGGTAACGAAGTGGAACGGCTCTTGAGTGCGAGCATTTATCCTGGAGCTCTTCTTCACTCGTGGCTTGGCTGTACTTCGAGACTTAGTGTGGCTGTTCTCTGGTTCCGTTAGTTACGATCCATTAGTTGTGATCTGTGGAGGAGCGAAAAGTTGCTAGGCAGATCTTGCGAACTGGCGCTCACGATCAATAGAATCCATAAGATACCCCTCCAAGCATTGCAATGTTCTCAACAGTGATTGGCCTGAGAGCACCAAGGAATTGCTTCACTTACCATATGTACTGGGCGTTTGCATCGTAGTCACCATCTATACTAAGTCAGCTGTAGATCTAGAAAGCTAGTTCGGCGTCACGAATAAGCAAGCACTTGAGACGTTGAACCGAGAATATCAACCTTACATTGGCATTTGGCTCTTCCTGGCCAAAGGACATTATGCCCTCTTGAGGTTCGAGACGACCGGTTCCTGTTGCCATCATGCTCGGTGGCTAAGATGGAGGGGACGGTGGACGAAAGGGGAAAATGATATATTTGGTATAATGCTTCAACTGGGGATTGGAGAAGGCAGCGATGCACCCCTGGAACGCGGGTAAATCTCGAGTCCACGAGGTCGGAGGTGGAGCAGGAGTACGGGGGAGAGATGAGACTGTGTGCGGCGACTGGAGAAGCGATATAGGAGGTGAAAACCACCAGTTTACCGGCTAGTGAGCAACTCCAATTTGCTTCGGCCAACCACGTCGCCTCTGGCAGTCCCTAAAACGAAAATGTATTATCAATTATGTCTGATGGTCAAAGTTGGAATTGATACCACGATAAAGGAAGTTTGGAATCTAGATTCCTTCGAACGATGAATGAAAGTAGAAGCGGTCGACTTGAAAAATGGATCCCACTAACATCGGGTTTCCAACTTTCTAGGTGCGGGAATGAAACGGTTCACACGCGGGTAAGATGTTTAAAACCAAATGAATATGACTAAGAGAAGGTGTGTACGATGTGGGGGAGACTAACAAAGGCCATCAGGAAACGCGGCAGAGCAAGTAGTCATAGGAGAATAGGGAATGAGTGATTGGTATGGATGACGAAGATTTTGGGAAGCCTTATGAATATATCTGTATGCTTCAGGCTCCTCAGGGAATACCGAGAGTATGAGACAACAGAGTGCACATTGCATGCGATGTTGGTCAGAAGTCGTTCTTAGCAATTTAGGGGCTGGAATGAAGCATGATGGTGCGTCAAGGTGGAGTACCAATCGACTCTTTCGACCAGGGAGCCGGATACAGCATGGAGAATTGCCATAATCTGAGCCAAGAGAAGCCGAGAAGTCGAGAATCGAGAGCCCCATTCGAAGTTCCTTGCTAGCCCCGGTAGCCCGAGAGAAAGAGGGTCAAGGTCCCAGGGATCAGTGTTGGTCCAATATTTCTAAGGATAAGAATTCAGATATGCCCCGAAGGCCGAACGGCTGGAAGCCTGAAACAGCTGAATGGAGTTGCCAAGTGGCTGAGAAGTGAGTAGTTAGAGTGAGCAATGAACATGCACAGGAAGCTAGAAGTGCAAATTGCAAGGTCGAGATGAAAGGTGTAAGGCGGTGTATACATTCACTCAGGCGAGGATATTCCCAACGAGGAAGACACAGTTTTATCTGGCGTACCGCGTAACTGTTGCGTTAAGTCTAGCTAGATCATGATGGTGTACCCAGTAGTATGCTGAGTCTCTGATGCACAATTTAATTCACGAGCGATGACTAAGGCGACGAATGGTGTGACTTGTGAACCGTGACCATGAGGTAGTAGCGTGCCAAAGACTCCTAGAGCCCACGATCGAACGTGTAATATTCCGTAGTGACCATCAAATTCCCAAGGGGCTAGGTATGCCGTAATGGCAGGCCACGCACGGCCCGAGTATCATGTAGCGGGAAATCGGTTCCTGCATGTGGATTCATGCTGGGGGTTGTAGCCTCTCGAATAGTGGAGGGAATGTTCAATGATCGATCCTGATTCTTGTCACAAACCCTTGCGTATTCGGCAGTTATCTCCCCTCCAAACCACAAGGATATATTCAACGATTGGCCTCACAGAGTCACAACTTAAAGGTGAATTGGGGTAATAGCATTTTATGCTCGTTGCTCGGTTGAGACTTGAGACTTGAGACTTGAGTCGGCGGCTCGGCGCTGTGTGGAGACTGGAATCGGTGGAGTGTGGAGTGTGGAACTGAGATAGGGCCGTTGGGGTCAAGAAATGAAGAAAGTGATAGGAATTGGGAATTTAAGTCTTAGGCCCTTATTAGGGTAGGGTGGGCGGAGTTTGGCGCCAAGGGCCAAAAATCCAAAATCTTCCATACTTGTGACCTGACACCGCTCGAAATCTAGTTCGCCAATTGTTTGGCGATAAAAACGTCCTCTATTAGTGTTTTCGACTAGACTCGCATTTCCAGCCCTAGAATTAGAAGAGACCTCTTCTATCAAGGATGTGATAATTCGCATCAATCGCATGATGGTAGGGAGTGATAGGACGTGATACTGGGAAGGTACATCGGATATGGCGGAATCTAGCTCAATCCGCGTAGCGCTTAGAGAATTTGACGAATAGGGTTTCCCGAAATATGATGTCAGTCAAAAGTCCAACCGTCCAACACGAGATTGCTGACTGTCAGCACCATATGTATATTTTAAAACAGCTTGTTCCTTCGCTTCTCAGATTTTCAGCCACCAGAAACCAAGAGGGTTGGTCAATAGACACCATGAATGCTACACACCGTACATACCATGGCGGATACGCCTTGCTGGTATGCCTTGTGATATGTGGACGTGCTCTCCTATCCTCATCGGTTCTAGTCTCACTGTGTCAGGACGGGATGTCGCGATCAGACAGCATCGTAGGATCATAGCCGATGAATCAGTCCCACTTACGCTCCTGAAGTTTCAATTGGATAAATCCGGTTAAAAATAAAGAGCAAAACTCAGTGACATGAGACGTCGGGGACGAGCCATCAACAACCGCATGACCCTCACGGGAAAGAAAAGCGGAAAACTAAATGGGTCGATATGTACGAGGTACGTAGGAGGCGGCCGCTATGAGCTTGAAGGTCACCATATATAGCACCCGAACTCGTCCTTATCACTGCGCTAAGCCCGGACTTTGGGGAGGAATACCGCACTGAATCTGCTGCTCGTCTGATTAAACAGGTGAGATTATAAGGCGGGAAGAGTGACGGTACAGGTTCGTGATAGTTTAGGATGGCGGATGGGCATCGATTTGTGATGGACTCAGTCCTACTAGATAGACGATTATACACTGCTAACCACCAACTAGGGATCCAGTCTTGCCATGATGAATAGTCCACGGGATTCCGAGGAACCGAGGTACGCTCGTCGGTATTCCAAACATTTCACAAGAACTCCTTGCTGTCCTAAGGGAAAAGAATCTAGAACGCGGTTGAACAACCAAACATAGCGCTCAGTGGGTCAATATCAATATAGAGGCTACTGGCAGGATGAGGTGCAACCACGACTTCATCGCAACCCTCGAACCAGGCGATGTGCCTTGTCCACAGCATGTGCGATTATACTTGACGTTGTTTAATTGAGCGGCGACCTCGAACACCGAGCCGTTTCCGATGTTGTAATGGTCAACGAGCAAAAAGTTTGGAGGTCGTCCCCAGTCGCCTGTTCCTTGTCAGCGATTGTCTCTACAATGCTTGAAACTGCCACTTACTGATGCATGTGTTGGCCATCAGCCCCAAGCTTCCATTACCGTCCACAGAATTCGTCTGGTTGATCGAGGCTGTGTTGGGAATCAAAAGGTCCACTCCCATAACGCCGACCTCAATGTTGAGGTTATGATTCGCAATATACATCCTCGACAGCGCTTGTTCTCTGCTGAGGTCAGGAGGCCGCTCTTGCGTGCATGGAAAGTTGACATCAGTAGGGCTGAATGGAGTCTCCCAAATCTGACTAAACTCATCCAGAATATATGGAACCTCCTCTTGGTCGGCCTTGTAATCGAGGAAAAACACAACCCGTTTCTGCCGTAGTATCATTTCGCTGAGGGTTGGCCACCTTTCAACACTCATCGGAATCTCAGGCGGGACATAGAGGTTTGGAGTGATACCACTGTTCTGGATGGGTGCAGTGAAGTTGCCGACTTCGACGAGATTGGCGTTGCCCAGGATAATTGTGAGGACGTCGTATGGATGCTGCCGAACCCATCCAGCTACTGTTTTCAAGTAGTCTTCTAGCGTGCCGACATTGAGCATATCGCAGCTGGAATGGCATAGATACATGGTATCATTCACCGAATGTACCTGTCCTTGAAGCATTCGGACTCCATCGTTGAGTTGGTCGATCACTCCGAGATACTGATTCGATGCCGCATTTCCTTGTCGTGAAAACGGGGAGTTATGCGCCGCAACCTCTGTTATGTTCGAATACCTCCGGGTACAGAACTCAAGATAATTGTTACACGGTTGTGTGTTTATCGGCTGTGCCGATGTCGTTGTCTGTGTGGCATTTCGCGTTGAGTTTCCCCCAATGAGGGTAACCTCCTGTGTCGTCGCCGATGAACCTGACGTTTCTGTCACATTTAAGAGCGTGGGTACTGGCTCTGATTGCCCGCTGCCGAATGTTCCGGTTGTTGAGATCGTTCGCGTACCCGTGTACGAAATGTATGAGGCTTCGGTGCCCGTTGGGACTTCATCCGGTACTATTGAATTAAGGATCGTGCCTGAGAGGACATAAGTTGATCCACTGGATTCAAGCTGCGCATAGGCAGGTAGGAAGAGAAGGCTAATGAGAGATGGAATGGAGGGTTTCATCCTTCCGACCTATCCCCAAAGACAACTACACGGGATGGACAAAGAGCTATGAGAGAAGGGAGTAGTCCATTAAGTGAGAGAGAATGAATCGAAAATATTTGGAAAAATCGACGATGTCCGCAACGAACCAATCCTCGAGAAACGCCGATCGTAGGGGAGAAAGTGGGTATATAAGGATGTTGTGGAGATCACTTATTCAAAGGATCCATCGATCTTCACCGAGCATGGCAAAAGCGGACATCGACCAGTACGCAATTTGAACAGCAAAATTCGACAGATGAATAGGGAATGACAAGAACTTGGCGAGAACTGTAATACTGTAATATCGGCAATGAGCCAAAAAATCTTTGAAACTCGAATAAAAAGTAAATGTTCTTGTCTATCAAAACAGACCAGAGTAAAACTGCGAACGCACCGACACGTCGATCCCCAAAATTGGTTTGGAGTTTCTGTTCAACAATGACGACATGGTTCGGACAACACACATCCAAGACCCATAACAACCACAACGATGTGCTGCCTATCTTAAGGGATAATTATGGAGCAATATTCGAGGTAAATATGTGATTTGACGAGATTTCTTTGTTCTTCAGCATCGTCCAGTCCACACGTCGTGTTTCGCCCTCAACTGGACGGGTACATGGATTATATGCGGACCTGGATACGACGCTCAGCTGGAAGTTTTCCGGGATATTGTTCCATTCTGAGGATTTGAAGTGTTCCTTTCCTTCCCTTTTGACGGTTTCGTATATTCAGAGTGAACCGTTGTCAGGATACACAACACAGGCGGTTCAGACAGCGCTGTCCAATATCAACATGGTTTCCTTACCCTTCAAAACCTTTCGAATATCAAGGACCAGCGCCAATGGTGCAGTTCCTGGAGACTCAGTTAGAGACGCTGATGGTCGGACGACCAACAAGGAAGAGAAAGGATTACCAAACGGTGGTCGCGTTTCAAAGACCCAGATCAAAAGAGCAACCCAGACACGGAAGACTTTCGGTCTCATCTCATCCTTCTGCCTCCTGATATCGTTCATTTTCCTTATCATCGTCAACATTGGTAGCATACGACCATCGGGTGCCTTGGCGGACATCTATTTTCTAAGAATCGACCTCTCGAATATCGTTCCGCAATCAATCCCAAATGCAGTGCTTCTCAACTCCATTGCGCAGACGTTGGGTCTTCACGACTATTACCAGACCGGTCTCTGGAACTTCTGCGAAGGTTATGTCAACCAGGGGATATCTGCGTGTTCGAAGCCGCACTCGTTCTATTGGTTCAACCCCGTTGAGATATTGCTGGATGAACTGCTTGCTGGCGCTTCAGGTGAGTTTGCACTGCGAGGTAATGCGTTGGTGACAACGAATACTCACAATCGAATCAGTTGCACTCCCGGCGGACATTCTCGACGTCCTTGACATCCTCAACCTTGCCTCAAATTGGATGTTTGCCTTGTTCCTCTTCGGAACAGTGGTCACCTTCGTCATGATCTTCTTGGTCCCTCTTACCGTCTACTCACGATGGGTATCCCTCGTTATTGGAACGTTAACTGTTATCTCCATGGTAGCGGTGGTCGTTGCTTCCGTCGTTGCAACGGTGATGTTCATCATCTTCAGAAATTCGATCACTCAGGTGGCTGAATTGAATATTGACGCGGAAATTGGGAAGAAAATGTTCGCATTGATGTGGATCGCAAGCGCGTTTTCGGTTATCGCGGCTCTCATTCAGATGGGACTTTGCTGCTGTTGTGCAAGTCGGCGAGACGTCAAGACAGGAAGGAAGAGAGGCAACGAAAAAGCATATTCCTCCACTTTGGCGGTGTCAGAGTCTCAGGGACGGAAGAGAGGCTTTTTCGGACGGAGGAAGAATGCGTAGATGAGTTTCATCGTGTGGTCTGGTAGGATTCGGCTGTTCCTATGTGCAGATATGTGAAACGGCAGTGGATTTTGACAACCCGCAGTTGGGCACGTCTTCCAGCTGGTACTATCAGGAGTACTGCGTATCGCAAGACAATAGAAGCTTCGAATTAGAACGAAACCGGACTTCACACGACACTTGTAATAATATGCTTCTGCCACGAACTGAAGCAGAGGTTGAGGAAGGGGTCATGAACTCGGGTTATACACCCATGGTCACGTGCAGACGTGTCATTCACGTGTCAAAATAATAATGCCTTAGTGCCTGAGGCATATATTCAGGGTATCCTGATTGACCAGCTTCCTTAATAAATAAATAATAGCTGATGCCACCCAGCATTTCCCAATTTTCCACGACTTCATCACTCATCATCGCGACATCCACCTTTAATGCGAATTCGATCACTTAACGCTACCTAAGTCTTTCAGGTTTCGACAGAAAAGTTGCCCAATTATTTATTGACGCGAGGCACAATGACGGGGCAAGCTGAAGGTGCTGCAACTACAGTCCGGCGGACGAGTGGGCCTCGAAAGCGGACGATGCCCAAAGGAGGTGAGACTCCAGTGTTCGCCCGACCAGTTGAGACGGAACCACCCCGTCACAAGAACAATCAGGACTCGGAAAAGAGACTGAGCTCAGCAATTGACTCGGATTGCTTCGAGGTGGATGCGTTTGGGAATACCGTTGACCAGCCTGCTAAGCTCCAGGCACCGTCGGCCGGGGGCAGTTCGCGCAAGAGAAAGGTACTAGGCAGCATTACCAATGATGGTCTCGGCAACAGATTAGATGGGTCTGCAATTCAGAAGCCCAATAAGAGAACTAAGAAGCAAAATGTTGAGGTTCCGGGCAAGGAGAAGCGTCTGAGGAAGTAAGCCTTTCATTCTTTAGTCATTGCTGAATAGTCATTGACCATTTATCTAGGTACCGAGATCATGCTCCTTCATCGTTCCACGATATCTATTTCCGTGCTAGATCCCAGAGGTAAATGCTCCAATGAACCAGAAATTGATCGTCCCGCTGATAAGCTACGAAGATTCTATGTGCTCTCAAGGAAACGAGGCGGAACTGAGGAGTGTCCGAAGGAAGAAGTTGAATTGACTGGCTCCACGGGCAATATTTACACTGTGGAGATCAAGCCTCGACCTACGTGCAGTTGCCCACATGCTATCAAAGGGAAGCAATGCAAGCACATGGTCTACGTAAGCTGATAGCAGTGCTCTCCTGATGATTAGAGAGCTGACATACGGCCAGGTCCTCCATAAAGTGCTCAATGCGCGTTATGAATACGTCTATCAGCTCGCTCTTCTCTCTTCCGAACTCCGAGAGATCTTCGCTCGTGCGCCTCGTATCGAGACCGAGAACACTTCAACCCAGGGGACGGACGGGAAGCGCAAGACTATCGAAGGTGACTGTCCCATCTGCTTCACAGAGTTCGAAGAGAACAAGGAAACCATCGTCTACTGCAAAGCTGCGTGTGGCCAGAACATTCACAAGGAATGTTTCGAGACCTGGGCTTCTGCCCGGCGAAAAAGCCATGATGAGGTGACCTGCCCATTCTGCCGCAGTACCTGGGAGGGCGATCAAGACATGGTCACAAAGATCAAGAAGTCGGGAGGAAGGAATGAGGAAGGTTATGTCAATGTTGCCGATCAACTTGGCATCTCTGGCCAGCGAGGTATGTTCTGCTTGCGCTTATGACGTGTTACATATGCTTATGACGGAATGTCCAGACTACAGCACTTACAACCCATTCTGGGTTAACCGACAACGTCAAGCGGGTGCCAACGTGGGAGATTGGGACTTTGGCTTCGTACGTGAGCCCTATTTCAACCGCTCTGGATACGATTGAGGCTTCGTGTTCATGGGACGCATGAAGCTCATGGCCATCAAACGAATTCATCGCCGCTCTGTCTTCGAGTTTGAAAGGAAATTCGGACAGCGCCTGATTCACAGAAATCGCTCGTTATAAGGAGGGCTAATTGCATACTTCCAAGGGGCAGCAGCCACAGACGGCATCAGTACGGCAAGCATATTTATACTGTCATTTACAGACCCCTTCAATCCACTCATAGCTGCAGTAATTACTGGCTGCCTCAGCATCCTGCATCTGATATGTAGTACGCAGCAATGACAACAATTTCGCCGACGTTCTAACCATATCCATGGTCCTACTAGTGATTCTTCTGCTCAACGGCATTGAATGCCCCTTGTTTCGCCAGAAACTCCACCATTCATGCACCCGGTACTGAGTTATGCATGAACAGTTGCCCAGCCGATGTCTTCAATGACCTCTTGCCCATGACCTGCCGTCTCTCATGGGCCATGCTGATAACACTGATATGCGGTCTCTCTTTGCCACAATGTGTCGCTTCAACCATATGTTCACTCCCCTTGCAACATCCGCGAAGTGCCTACTGACGGCACATTTCCTCTTTTTTCGCTCAATAGCCTGGAGCTTCGCCAGCAGAACTCAATCACCAGATCCCTGCTGTGATTCCAATGCTGCAGCCTGGTCAACTGGTATCCGTACCAGCGTCTGTGGCAGCGGCGGTCCCGCATCGACTTTCGTCTCCTCTGCCACCACTTCGTCTTCCGCACCTTTCGGCTTTGGTATTTTCGCTATTGATCTAGGATTAGCTCTCTTGCCCATATACTTAAAGACTAACTCTAGGACAGCTGTGCAAACTAGGAGAATATCAAGGAGAATGAGCACGCACTCGACGCCAAACTTATTGCCCTCAACACATTCCCCCAATTACTCAACACCGCCGCGACCGCCTCCGTCCCATCGGTCAGGGTGCTGAGCTTATCTTCCAGCGTCTCCATCTGGTCCGCCAACGCGCCGCTGAGATCCTGCAGCTCCTTCAGGCTTGCTAATTCGGCTTTCTTCTCGTTGATCCGCGCGAGGAGGAGCGGGGATTGGCCGGATGCGGAGGATGAGGCGTTGGCGGCGGAGGAGGAACGGAGGTGGGAGGGGAGGGGACGGTGGGGGAAGGACATCGTGATGGGTTGAGGATGGAACGGAGAGGTCTGGTCGGTTAAAGCGAGGAAATCAACTATTGAATGACGGATTGGATTATACTCCACTCGTGTTGAATGAAAGGTGGTCGAGAGATAGAGGGATGAATCGCATGTAGACCCCTGTCCATCGAGACTGCACATCTGGTCGCTCTGACGCGCCGTGACTGTTTACACCTGCAACTTTTGTTATCACCACAAGACAAGACCTCGAATGTAGTCTACAAAATCAAACTCGCACCATTAAGCCTGCCAGCGTCATGCTTGACGACCTTGAATGGTCGAATCGCATTTGAGCCCCGAACACGAATTGATTTACAACGACTATACATCCTTATCACCGAATACAACGCTCACCAGCCCTCCATGGCGCGATTAAACGACCCGCCTGCTCCAGCGGAGTCAGTAGAGAGCCGTGAGTGACATTATACGGTTGCGCTCCGGCAAGGACAAGTGCGCTGATATTCTTCATACAGTCAAAAAACGATTCATTCGCCAAAACCGCGAACTAGCCAAGTGAGTCCAGATAACCCGCCTAGAGCGCTCCAAGTGTCTAACCCATTCCCAGAACTAACTCCACCCAATCCATCCGCATCCGCAATCTCGAATCCGAAACCTCGCGCCTCCTCACCGAGAACCTATCCCTCCGCTCCCAGATCGCGCACTTAGAAACCACCGTCTCCGACCTCCAATCCACTACCGCCGCCACGGCTCTCCACACCACCCGCTCCCTCCTCGAATCCAAACTCTCCGAACTCTCCAGCCTAATCTGCACGCTCGGGCAGCCGGACCACACACGTCCTGCGCGCCGACGCTCCTCATACAAACCGCTCGCCGAGAAACCCAGCCCCACCGCGCGGCAGCAATGGCGCGAAGAAACGCAGATGCCAACGATCGTCGAGGGAAAGTATTTTCCGCGGTGGACGATGGATGCGGGTGAGATGCTGGCGCTACAGGAGCAAGAGCTGGAGAACGAGCGACAGCAGCAGCTGCAAGTGAACTTCTTGGCGGAGGGGAGCAGTCAGGATAGTCCGGACCTGGGGCCGCCGCCGGTCGCGCATTTTGATGAGGTGGGGCCGATTGGGTTTGATCCGGGGCGGGAGGCTACGGCAGGGGTGGACGGTGCCGGGGATGAAGAGGAGGTGAAGTTGGCGACGGGAGCATTGGGTGTGAATCTAGAGACGAGGAGGCGGAGGAGGGAGAGTGGGAAGATCGATGTGAGGAGGTTGACGGTGTTCCTGGAGAAAGAGTCGGGAGACGGAGAAATAGGGGAGAGACGGAAGGAAGGCGATGCGAGTGGCGCGGTACAGCAAGTGGCGAGGCCCGGGAAAAGAAAGTTTGGATCTGGGGATAGTGAGACGGGTTTGAAGACGAATAACGCCTCGCATCCAACACCATCGCAGGACGAGTTCCGTTTCAACAGGAAGTCTCAGGCAGATACTCCTGCAGCGCCAGAGAACAGGGAGATTGACAGCAACGAAGACCTCGCTGTACCGCTCCGACGGGTTTTGAAGAACAGTAAGTCACCCAACGTATTACTCGGAAACCAAATGCTAATCAGCAGCAGAATCCACCAACGACGACATCATCAACTCTCCAAAGAAACTCCGTGGTTCCATCCTCGAAGGCAAACCTACATCCAACCCAACCGTTCCCACCCTCACCACTCGCAAACCCGCCCTCTCTGCGCGCGAAACCGCCGCGCGCTCCCGCCTCACCCCTAAATCGCGCGATCCCCCCTCCCTCCCCGCCCGCCGATCCCGCGCCCCCGACCCGTCCCAACTCGTCATTCCCGAACCCATCCCGCTCCCCACGACACAACCCCAGCCCTCCCCGGCCGTCACCCGCATCGATCCACCAACTACCCTCTCCGCACCCCTCCACTCCACCGAAAAATCCCTCGACCCCCTCCCACCGAAAACCCCCTTCCTCCCCTCCGACCTCCTATCCCCCCTAACCGACACCAGCGACCCCTCCGCCCGCGACACGCCTCCGCCCGGCGACCTCGGGTTCTCCTCCGCGAGCCGCCCCAGCCGACGTGCGCGCCCGCAGGTGAACTACGCGGAACCAAGCTTAAACAAGAAGATGCGACGGGCAGGAGAGAAAGTCGACGCGGTGGCAGCGGGGGCCAATGGGTTGCGGGACTCGAGCGCGAGCGAGAGCGAGCGGAGGTCAGTGTCGACGGAGTCGGAGCGGAAGGAGCGGAAGGTGTGCGTGAAGTGGGAGGACGAGGTGGATGAGGGATGGAGAGATTTTCCGGACGTGACGGATGCGGATGGGGGGAAGACGAAGCTGGAGAAGCTCGCGGAGGCGGAGGCGCAAGCGGCGGTGGAGGCGGTCGAGCAGGCGACGGCGGAGTGCCGGGCGGGGAGTCCGTTGGGTCGGAAAACGGCGCCGACGCGGGGTAAGGAGCCAGGGGCGGCGAAGATGGAGGACGGGAAGCCGTTGACGACGGTAGCTGCGGTGGTGAATGCGGCGCGGAAACGGCGGGAGCAGGCGGCTGGTGGCAGAGGGAGTGGCGGCACGCGGCCGAGATCATCGCGGTTCCACTACCCGGTCGCGAGCACCAAGTCCGACGAGACAAATGAGAGAGAGAAAGATCCGCTCGCGGTATTCGAGTTCACCGACTCGTCAAGCCCGCCGCGGCCGTTAGGCGCACCCGCTGCCACGCCTGGAATCCAACCGAGTGGCTCCTCGAAAGGGCGAGTGAGTCGGCGGCATAGTTCCATGGCCGGCCTGTCCAACGACGCGACGAAGGGCGGGCGATCCGAGCCGAGTCGAGCACCCAGTAGTCGGACGACGAGAGAACGACCATCCAGCCGGACGGCGATGAATGATGACGACGGGGGGAAGATCTCGACCCGGAGACGGAGTATGCTGTTATGATGAAGAAGAGCAGCTTTTTCTTTTTCGATGTAGCGTTCGGTTTATTATCTATCTTGGGGGGTTCACATCGTTGGATAGGGAATTGTGGATATCTTTTACTCTTTTAGAGGATGTGAATGGTGTTGACTTGTGAAAAATTCATGAACTTGGGTGGTATACTTTATCTGTACCCGAGAAGAAACATCATCCAGGCTCTACTCGATGTTTCTTGGTCGTTCATGGCTCGGGAACTGGCAGGTCAATGGTACATGGTGGCTTCCCCGGGCTCCAATCGTTCTCGTCCGGCATTATTCCAGCCTTCTATAGGTCTAGACTTTCATAAAATCCTACAGGAGCCAGAACCAGACGCTGGAGATCTGGGACACAGCAGACGTAATCTACAGTAAGACATCCACATTCCAGCCCGATTCCAGGGTTCAAGTGCGGAGAACCCAGCCATGGTGGACGCACATGACGAATGAGCAGCGACCAGCCACAGTTCGGATGTTCAACCGAGCAGAGCCTCTGATGATCATCAGTGATTACCCTTGGCAACTGTTCTACTACATCTTCATATTTCGGACCTCCTGAGGTTGATTGTTGGTGATAGGTGGGTGGGAGAGTTTGGAGGCGAATGAATTTCTAGGCGATGTTGCTTACTCAATGGCCGTCTGGCTTACATGATGGAAATGGTCTAGAATGTCACGTGAAATGGAGATTTCGTGCGAAAAACTGGAGCGGAGTGGATCCGACGCCGTTTTGGCCGAGAATCTTCCAGCTGGTCCAGTAATCTGGTTGCTGATATAATTGTTGTCTTTTCCCCAATTGCCTCTGATCTGCTTTCTCTTTCACTTATTTCATTCCTTCAGTCACTGTCGGTCATTCCTTGTGTCTTAGCAACTGCTTTATCTCAGCAGCTGTTGTCAGTAATTCCTCATTTAATCTCTCCCTGCTCAGCGAGATCACCCGAGCATCACATCATCCATCGGTCCGGAGAAGCCAATCACAAGCTCCCGAAATAAACATCACCAACTAGCTCCTCCTTATCGAGGCCTCTCTCCCCTTTATCATATTTCCCTCCCTAAATCACCTCACTCTCACCTCACCTCACCCTTCACAATGGCATCAATCGCTCGATCCGTTGCCCGCACCTCCACCCGTGCCGCCCGGCCCCTCGCCTCCCGCTATGCCGCCCAGAACGCCCGCTCGTCCTTCCGACGCGGCTATGCGGACAGCGCCGCGCCCCCACCCAAATCAGGCGGCTCCGGCCTAATCTGGGGCGCTGGACTGGCCGCGCTCCTCGGCGGCGGTGGATACTACTATTACACCACGCAGGGGACAGCCGAGCAGCAACAGAAGGAGTTCAAGCCGACGTTCGAGGACTATCAGAAGGTGTACGATGCGGTGGCGAAGAAGCTTGAGGACGAGGATGAGTATGATGATGGGAGTTATGGCCCGGTGCTGTTGCGGTTGGGATGGCACGCGAGTGGCACGTAAGTTTAGATATCGACGCCAATTGAGTGTGATGATGCTGACTTCAATGATTAGATATGACAAGGAAACTGGCACCGGTGGCTCCAATGGCGCTACCATGCGTTTCTCCCCTGAAAGGGACCACGGCGCAAACGCAGGCTTGAAGGCTGCCCAAGATTTCCTAGAGCCCATCCACCGTACGTCTATATCCCTCTTAACCAGCACGTCTGTGAATTCATTCACTAACACCTCCAGAACAATTCCCCTGGATCACCTACTCCGACCTCTGGACTCTCTCCGCCGTCTGCGCTATCCAAGAAATGCAAGGCCCTGTCATCCCCTGGCGCCCCGGCCGCGCCGACCGCGACGTCTCCTACTGCACCCCGGACGGCCGCCTCCCCGACGCCTCCCAAGGCGCCAACCACATCCGCGCCATCTTCGGCCGTATGGGCTTCGACGACCGCGAGATGGTCGCGCTGTCGGGTGCGCACGCCCTCGGCCGCACGCACACCGACCGCAGCGGCTACGACGGGCCATGGACGTTCTCCCCGACCATCCTGACCAACGACTTCTTCAAGCTGCTGTTGGATGAGAAGTGGGCGTGGCGGAAGTGGGATGGGCCGAAGCAGTTTCAGGACGTGAAGACGAAGAGCTTGATGATGTTGCCGACGGACATGGTGCTGGTGCAGGATAAGAAGTTCAAGCCGTGGGTGGAGAAGTACGCGAAGGATAACGAGCTGTTCTTTAAGGATTTCTCGGACGCGGTGACGAAGTTGTTCGAGTTGGGCGTACCGTTCGAGGTGAAGGAGGAGGATCGCTTCCGGTTCAAGCCGAACACCGGCCTATAAGATGTTGAAGCACTCTGCGAAAAGATTCATATTGGATGAGGACAAGACGATGATTCCCATAAATAGACGGTCATGAGCTCGGATTAGACCAGCCCGACGCCACACTCAAGAACGTTCGACTAACGTTGAGCTTTTTCTCTTTCTTCATTCCGAACTTCGACGATTCCAATCGTCTTTCCCCAGTTCGCGGCTTCAGACCTTTCACAAGGTGCTGTATTTTGTTGTAACATAGTTCTTTGGAATGAAATCAGTCCCAAAATATGTTGTTCATCTTTGCTACAGTGCCTGTCGACTGAGATGCTTTTATCGACCCTGATTTCGAGAAAGGCAAAACCAAACCCCTTGACCTACACCCCTAGGGGATACATGTGAAAAAATGGTTTCTCTTCTTCTGCCCTTGCGTTCATATTTCGCTGGTCGTTTTGGAACTTGGGTCCGCACACCGCTTACCTAGAGCGTACACCAAGGAACAGGCAATCAAGCTACTGTCTTCACTGCGACCCCTGAGCGGGCGTTTAGGTCTCATATCCGGACCCATCAGGACAGCGGTGTGCCACTCGACTACTGGAAAATGTAGGTATTAGTTGCGTGTCATCTCATTGGACGGTATTAACTCTACTAATATATTGTCCATCACGGACGTGTCCCGGTTCCGTTACTATACAGGTTCAACCAGTTACTCCATGCGCCTAACATGCTCTGAGCTAGATAGTAACTTTACATTTCCATCATCTTCCATTCATCCAACTGCACAACGCCATCGCCCTATCTCAAGCCCCGGCACCAATTCATGTCCTCTCCTGACCCCCTACCCCTCATGGCATCTCCGCATACACCGTATCCCCCTCCTTAGGCGGCTCCAAATAGTCCGGCGGGATATCCACCGGCAGCTGCCTCGCCTGCGCATACTCTCTTACGTCATCGAAGTTCCGACACATATGCCGCGTGTTGAAATCGACATACGCGCGCGGCGCGGTCTGGTTCCACCACACTTGACCCAGCACGCCCAAGTCAACGGTGCACATGAGTTGTTGGCGGAGGATGTCGAGGCAGTGGGCTTGGGGGGGTTAGCGGGCTGTTGGAATGGTGGAAAGGGGGTGGTTGGTGAGACGCACAGACGTGGACCCGGACGATGTGGTCGTCGTTCAGGAAGGCGCCTTTGCCTTGCGCTTTGTAGTAGTCATAGTTGTAATATAGCGACTGTCGGAGGAGATTCAAGCAGTGTAGTTGATGCAGACCCTCGACGTTCGCGACGTAGCCTCCACCGTACTTCTTGGCCACCTTCACTTGGTCTGGTTGCAGCCCGGATGCGGCCGCTTCGGATTCTGGGACGACGAGACTGCGATCTAGGAGAGCTGTGTTAGTATCCAATGTCCTCGGTAAGTTTGAGGGTTAGGAGGGAAGGAGGGGAAAGTACAGTTAACCCCGAGCGAGTTCCAAGCCGCATCGACCTCCGGGCTCGCATTTTGTCGGTAGATGTTCTCTTTCATCAGTGAGCCGTTGAAGCGGATTAATGAATAGCGGATGCCAACATCCTTCACAACCTGGGCTATTTGACCGTTAGGAACCTCTCTTCGTGTAGAGACCGTACGGAGGGGAAGTCAGGGCTCGTGCTCACAATATTGGGACACATATCGTGTCGCGAAATCAGCCGGATTGAACGCCCATTGACTCCCTGCCCAGGCACCTATCAAGCCGATGACTGCGTACGAGACGAGTACAAGTGGTGCGACGAAATATCTGGCTCTACCATCTTTGATCCATCGCCGTCTCCGGTGTCGCGGTGCCTCTTTCTCCAACGACGGGTTCAGAAGGGCTTCCTCTGCCTCGTAGCTATCTCGTGAAGAGAGCTCGCTGAATTTCGGGGACGATTGCCCGAGGAAAGTGTCCGGCATTTTGGTTTCCTAGCTCTTTACTCTGAATAGAGTCGCCAAAGATCTCTAGCAACCGCTGTCCGACAAGTTGAGAATCACAAACGCAGCTGGTTCAATGGAAACAGAAGATTTTGATCCGATCTTGATTCACAGCAGTAAAGGGAAACGAAGCAATCTTTTCTGTCGTGAAAGACATGAACTCTCCAAACCACAAAGAAATCCTCTCAAAGCCACGGTATGTCGGTGAGCTGTATGCACAGCCTTACAAGAGCTCACTCGGGTAATCGCATTGCTAAAGTTGGCACTTACTATTGCTTAGAAGCCGGCTCAGCCGGGTTATGCTTGTGGGGTGCATGAAGCCATGAAGGATGTGGTGGGAACCTCTGCATGATCCGCTAAGTGGCTGACAGGATCAATGTCGCCATCGTGATCGGAATTGGTTGCCATCGTCCCGGATTATTCGGGAAGGCCAACTGGTGAGATTCATCCACAACATTGGATTTGTCAATGTGGATAAACATAGTATTGGAGACCATCGATAGGATCATTGAGAGACCTCCGTGTCCTATCATTGCTTGTACGAATAGGCCGCTAACAAAGTCCATTCCGGGGTTAGACGGAGGAATCGATACTCAGCTTGAAGTCTACCCTGGCATAGGATCTGCATCGTAAGGCTAGATCGGGGGAATTATTGCTGCACGTTATTATTAGCAGTTCCCATAACGGTGTGGATGGTCGTATTTGATGATTGATCAGATGGACGTTGGAGAAGTGGAGTTGAAGTAAGATCGCGCACAGACGGGGCAAGAGCGTGGCATTGCTTTAATCCTGGTTCCTGCATCGGGGCTAACCTCATTGGGAATTCGTCCTATGATGTGGGCGTCATTCCATTCATCGCCATACCTAGACCGATGGAAGCTTTCTGGACAAGCAGGTAGTTACTTCCATGCAGACCTTTAGCGGTCTTGATCTGGGGCATGTGAATCGAAGCCGTTTCGATGGGAATTTGGAGAGTCCGATATGCACCGTAAACTGACTGATCTGTACCACGAGGAATGCTACACTGCCGCAAACGTCCACCTACCATGGCAGATGATGGAAACATTGTTAATGATCTATTGGCAACCTGCATATAGATCATCGTTCAGCTACATTCGGTACAGGTATCTTCTTTTCTCTATTTTTGCCTTTGATATGCACGATCCTGCAGTCACGCAATCCAACGATCCGCCTTTCTCTCGCCAATGGCAAGACTCAGCATTTCACCCAGCTACAATGCATCAGCATGCATTTGTCAATGGATTGAACTCCCGAGGCGATGCAAGCTCACAGCGATCCGAAATCATCCACGATGCCCATGAAAGCGGGGATCTCTCGTACGCCTATACCACAACTAGGAAGGTGACATGGCTGCGGCAAGCGAATATGGATTGAAACCGAATACACCTCCATGTTGAGATGGACTTGCATGGATCTATCAATAGGACACGACAGTGATTAGCGCAGAGGGCACACTGAGGTGACTGATGGATGGACGCTTCGTCCGAGTCTCAGGATCCGACGAAGATCGACGATGCTGACGGATAGATTCTGACCGCTGTGTTGGAATCCGTCAGAATATCTACACAGCCGCTAAGTATTACGCCTGAACAATTGAATAAAGCAACGGGGTGGGGGTTACCTATTGTCCTCTCTGCTATAATAACCACCCCGTCCCAGTCAGTCTTCATCTCGACCATCATCTTCCCCTCCCCTTCACTGACACCTTCAAGACCCAAACCACCTCCAAGAACTCCAACATGCTTACCCGTAACTTCCTCGCCCTCCTCGCCGCCGCCGGCGGCGTCCTCACCGCCCCAGTAGTCGACTCCCGCTCCCCCGACCCTGCCGCCGCCCCAGAACCCGCCCCCGTCGCCGACCCAACAGACAAACCCGCCGACTACGGCGACTATGGCCAATACGGCAAATACGGCACCTACGGCTCCTATCCCCCTCCAGGCAGCTACGAGAAATACGACCCCCCTCCAGGCGGCTACGCAGACTACGGTGCCTACCGCCGCTCTATCCGCGCTCCGATCCGCCGACGTGATGACTACGGCAACTACGGCGACTACGGCCGCTACGGAGACTACGGCTCGTATCCTCCTCCTGGCAGCTATGACAAATACGACCCCCCTCCCGGCGGCTACGCGAACTACGGCACCTATCGCCGCTCGGTCCCCGCGCCGGTCGTGAAGCGGGACGACTACGGCAACTACGGTGATTACGGCGGGTACGGCGACTATGGCTACTATCCTCCTCCGGGCGGGTACGAGAAGTATGAACCTTCTCCGGGTGGATACGCGGACTACGGCGCCTATCGCCGCTCGGTCCCGGCGCCGGTCGTGAAGCGGGACGACTACGGCAACTATGGTGATTACGGCGGGTACGGCGACTATGGCTACTATCCTCCTCCGGGCGGGTACGACAAGTATGATCCTCCTCCAGGTGGATATGCGGACTACGGGAGTTACAAGCGGGAAGCGGAGGCGGCGGAGAACTGAGGTACTGACTTGGGGGGCAACCTGAGCGGGCAGTGGTGGATTTATTGAGAAGGGTGAGATGCGAGATTAGACATGGTGAACGTGACGGAATGACGGGGAAGTAATCGACGAAATGGGTTGATGACATGATGATATGGCGCTCCTTAGCATAAGCATGTAGAATTGAGATTTAGGAAATAATATGGATTTAGAATGAGATCAATCCAAAACTATCAACAGTGGCAATACCCTAGGCAGCAAGGACTTTCTCGGACTGAGAAACCCGCTTCTTCTTCCCCTTCTTCGTGGCATTTCGCACCGCGGTGGTGACCGGATCATCCGCGACTTTCGGTGCCTCAATCGCTGCAGGCTTCTCCGCCTCTTTCTCCTCTGCCACCTTTTCCTCCGCCACTTTCCCCTCCGCCTTGCCCTCCTCTTCCTTCTCTACCTTTCGAATCGGGAGTTCATCAACGCTCTTCAACTTCGGAGCTTCGAACGTATACCCCAACTTCTCCGCCTCCACCCTCTTCTTCTCACGCCGCTCCTCCTCCCGCTTGATACGCCGCTCCCACTGCTCGCGTGTCACCGTCGCTTCCAACTTCTTCCGCTCCAGCGTCGCGCGTGGCACGACCTTGAACCGCTTGTTCGCGCCCTTCCAGAGGTCCTTGTGGACCTGGTCCTTGGGCACGAAGCGCACCTTGAGGATGTGGCCGAAGAGCAGGTAGTTGTTCATGGTCTTGGCGACGATCTCGGCGACGTCGGCGGAGTGGAATTGCAAGAAGGCGTAGTGCTTGGAGTGGCCGGTCTTTTTGTTGCGGGCCATGCGGAGTTTGTTGATGGTGCCGAATTGGGAGAAGTAGGCGTGCATCTGCGGCGGGTAGAATCCGTGCGGAATGCGGCTGGGTAGGGTTAGTTTACATCCATACTACAACCACAGTGGAGAGCTTACCCTATATAAATGGTCCCGGGCTCCTCGTTCCCATTGCTCTTCTTGGCCGACAACTTCTTGAGATCCTCGGAGGTCGGCACCCTGGGTACATCCTCGATGCCACCAATCTGCTCGTCCTCTTCGTCCTCGTCCGAGCTGGAGAATCCGGCAAGTAAAGCGGCCGTCTGATCCTCGATTTCGTTATCATCATCGGATGGGAGAGCAACCTCTTCCTCCTCGGCTTCTGGCTCTGGTTCAGGTTCGGCCTTCTTCGCGCGTTTCGCCGGCTTCGGTTGAGCCTTGGTTTCCACCTTGGTTGCCGCCTTGGTTTCCGCCTTGGGTGCCGCCTTGGTTTCCACCTTGGTTTCCACCTTGGTTTCCACCTTGGTCGCCGCCTTAGTTGCCGCCTTCTTTACCGGCTTCTTCTGTTCAACCGCCTTCTCTTTTGGTGCAGGTGCGCTCTTCTCAGGTTCCTTTGGCTCATCATCCCGTGAGAGGTCCGGTTTTGTCATCATCACGCTCTCGTCGTCCGAGTCCCCCATGTAGTCGCTCGCGCGCTTTCGAGAGCGGGTAGTCGGGCCTTTCGGCTTACCGGCGCCATTGGTTGAAGGAGATGCATTGTTCTTCCCTTTTGGCTGGGGTTTATTTGGCGTTGTTTTCGTAGGAGCCTTCACATCGCTCTTTGCACGTTTCGTTGGCGGTGGAGCGGAGCCAATGCCTGGGACAATTGAGCGATATGTACTTGAATGGAGCTTGAGACGGACTTACTCTTTCGCTTTTTAGAGGAATTTGCTTTATCCATGTTGAAACCTTGGTTGGACTTGGATGTGTCGAGTATCCTGTATCGCAGTGGAAGTTCTCAGTAGATGTTGGATGGTTGGAAATTCAAAGGGTCGCCAAAATTTTCGAATCCTGCAACAGAGACGTCGGATCCCTGCAAGCTTGAATTGTTTGTGCTTTGAAGCCTGAGGCAGCAACTTCCGTCTGGATCCAGTCCAGATTTAGTCCTTGATCACGAGTCCAACCATCCAAGCGGTCAACAGAGTTCAACATTCGAAAACAGGCATAAATCATTGTCGAGATGACTTCGATAGATTTAGCAAACGACGATACCTGGGATGATACAGAATTGCAGCGAAGTTGGAACTCCGCTTTCGCCGAATATCAGGCAAGTTTCCCGTCCCCATCACTAGATGGTTCTAACAGCGTCGCAGAAATACCATAGCATAGCTGCTAAGGGCGATGACTCAGAAGAGATTCTCAAGGAGTATGATTTGAAAGAAATGCAAGAGAGGTTGCAGGCTCTTCAAGGGTACTAAACCCGTACTCTTCAATGTCAAAGCCAAGGTTGACGAGAATCAGAAATGAGGATAAGGTCTCGGAATCGGACCAGCCGCTGAATGAAATGCCTGTTAAAGCTGAGGAAGAGGAAATGGTGGCATCTGGACAACGAGATGCTCAAGTTGAACATGTATGAGGACCCCTGCCTCATTGTCCTTATCCTGAATCCGTCCGACAACCCAGAGCTAGAAATGCATAGCTAACCTTTGTTTAGGTGAACGGAACCACAGGACAACCTGATACTTTCACGTTGAAGGATGCAACAGCGGCCACGAACTCGGTAGGACCAGCGAGCGGTACAATGAGTCTTCCTAGTAAGTACAACTCCGCCCTGTCATACGTCCCTTAGCTCAAGGGAAAGGGCAACATGTTCCAGAGATCTAACTATGTCACAGATATCTCCGACCAAAATGTGAAACAGATGCTTATGTCTTGGTACTGGGCAGGCTACTACACAGGTCTGTACGAGGGACAGCAGCAGGCGTCTAAAGCAGGCGAGTTGAAGCAATCAGACGCCCCTGGTGCAGACCAAGGTCCTACGAACGGTGGGTGAGACGAACAGCGGCAGGCTCTTGGAGAGCCGATTAAATCTTCTATTACGGAGCTACGGTGTTCGCACGGCGATCAACGGAATGCTCCGCGGTGCTCAGATGCAGGGACGAGTTGAGACAGACGGCGGTTCCCTACGAACTGAGCAACAGCGTTGTCACACTAAGGTATCTCATCATGAGGAAATCAATTCCTGGACAAGCGCCATGGAAGGGAACGACGCGTAAGTGGGCATGGCGAAGCAACGACCCTACAAAGGATATGCAGTCGTTCAGGGATGGGGGAGGAGTGCGGTGCGGCTCTGCCCTGCGCGAATAGTACCAAACCGACAGGATATCAGCCATCCGCTCCTTCAATAGCAGCTCGAACATCAATAATAATCAAATCTCGCGCCAATATGCTAATTCAACAGGTGACGGCCACCGTTTATTTTTGCTGTCACTCCTTGGCGGTGCTGGGCGAAGATGGCGCATGCGCGACGAGCTCTGCGACGCACTTGAGACACTTCATCCCGCATCCCCAAACTCTTCCCACACAACAACTGTGAGAGCCACCCTCATCCGCCCCATCCTCGCGCGCGCTGAACAGGACGGCTGCCCATGAAAATCGATGTAGAATTCAAGGAATGTATCTCGGAAAAAGTCAATCCGAGCAGCGACAACGCCATGTTTCGTGATGGAGCCCCTTCGAACCGGCCCCTTCGACAGGAGGCCAATTTCAATGCTGAATTTAAGTCACCGCGTTTCCAATCTTGAGATGTTTTTGTCGTCTCGTTTTCCTCATCGTCTTCGTTGTCGTATTCCATAATCGTCTCTTTTCCAGTTTCTGCCGTTCGCATTTTTCCATTCTCCTTGGGCCGGCCCTCACTACGTGTCGTTCGATCATTCAATTCTACATCCAGCAACGGACATTAATCGATACCCTATCTCACGCATACCACAAGTTCGAAAGATACCCGCAGAGCGGCATCGTCGATCGTTTTCAATTCGTTGTATCTCTACTATTCCTACGCAAATCGAGGTTTCCAACCCATTCTACCATATCCCATCCCGAAACCGATAGCCAGAATGAAGAGCATCTCCATCCTCGCCAGCCTGGTTGCGGTGGCCGCTGCCGGCAACCATCATAAACCGCCAGCAAACCCTCATGCTGCAGCATATCCCGCCGCGAACCCCCCGCCTGCGCAAGCCGCAGCAGCTCAGGGGAATGTCCACACCGTATGCTACCCAACTCCCTATTCAACATAAAAGTACTGACATGATAAGATCGTCGTCGGCGGCACCAAACCCCCCGCCGACCCTGCCGGCACCCCCACCCCTAACCTCGCCTTCACTCCCCCATCTATTCAAGCCGCCCCGGGAGACATCGTGCGCTTCGAATTCCTCCAAACCAACCACACCGTCACCCAATCCACCTTCGCGCAGCCTTGCGCCCCCATGCCCGGCGGCAAGGACTCCGGGTTCCTCCCCAACCCCGACGGCACCACTCCTGGACCTACCTTCGACTTCACCGTCGCCTCCACCGACGCCGTCTGGATGTTCTGCGCCCAGGGACCCCACTGCTCCAAGGGCATGGTCTTCGCCATCAACGCGGCTGCTACCGGAGAGAAGACCTTCGAGGCATATAAGGCGCTCGCTCTGGGGAGCGCCAACGGCACAGGGCAGGCGGCGGGCGGGCAGGCGACGGGCGGGCTGTTGGCAGGGACGCCAGCGCCGGCGCAGTCGAGTACGGTGACGTTGGTGGCGACGAGCGTTGCGGTGGCAGATCCGGGAGCGGCGACGGGAGCAGCGACGGGAGCGGCGGCGGCGCCGAGTGGTTCTGTGGCGCAGGGCCAGGGAACAACGCCAGGGGGCCAGCCGTGTGCATGCAGTTGTTTGTGTGGGGTGAATTCGTTTCCGCCGGAGGTTGGGCAGGGGATGTTTGGTGGGTTTTTGGGTAAGTGGTGATGGTGATGGTCGGTATACAAGGAAATACTGACTCGGTATAGGTCAATTGCCATCGACTCCTTGAGGTTGCGTGGAGGCTCTCAGTGCTTGCGCTGCATTGCTCGCTGGTGAAAGGAGGCTGCGTTGGCAGTGATGGATGTCTAGCCGGTTCCGTTGGTGGTATCTAGACGGCTCTTATTTTCTTGTACGCTTCAATAATATCCTGCATGAGGCGCTGTTCAGGGTTATGCATCAGAAGGTTTGCAGATTTTCCGGGGTTTCGAAAACCTAGATCATAGTTTGTAGAAACAAATGGCAGAAAATACATCGGACATTGATGTCACCATATATGCTTGAGTTTGGAGGTTCTGGATTTGAGGGTGTGGTAGGAGACTGGATGGGTCTTACAGTACTTAGATAACGAAAGCCCATCATGGACTTCCCTGTAGGACCACTTCAAAGCGTCGATGCAATATGAAGGATTATGATTCCGATAGTATTATTCTGCTATGAGTGTCTCCGTCGCCCCAGCCATAGCACCAAGCTTACTTCACCATAATCATCTCGAATACCCATATGCACCTTCGCTAATATCCAGACGCCCAACATCGCCCCTCGTCCTCACTTATTTCTTCGACCCTCCCGCCGCCGCCGCTGCTGCCTTTTTCGCCTCCGCCGCCTCCTGCTTCGCTCTCATGATCGCGGCCTGATCCTCCTTGGTGCGCTGAAATTGGGTGCCCGATTGCTATCCGGACGTTAGAAAACCGGCACGGATCTATGCAGCGTCATCGATGACATACCGTGTTCTTCGACTTCTACACAAGGCCAGGGATTAGTAACGGCACGGGAAGTGCGCATGTCCAGACTACGTGGTCCTTACCGTGTTTCCTGCCGCCTTGAGGTTTTTCGCGCGGGCTTCATCGCGTTGGTTGCCTCGTGCCATGATGAGAAAAGGTATGGGATCTGGAGGGGTACTACGGATCGAAACTTGGTGGATAGCTAGGCGCCGAGATATGTTTGGGTGTTCGGAGACACGAATGGTTGTTTCGAGTTCGACGATGTCGCTGTTCAAAGTTCAGAGTGTGCTGAGTGGTGAGGATCAGATTGAAGAACATGAAGGCCAAAGATAAAAATAGCGGCGGCACGTGCTTCGGCCAGGCCTGGCGGTCTGGTCGACGGCGGTACCAGAGCCGCTTGCACCACCGACATCACTCCTCTGATCATTCTAATTAACCATCATCAGTTCTGAGTATTCAAGCTCGCGAGATTGGTCTTGAAAATCCGTACGGCTGTGATCGGTAAAGAGGACGGACAATATATGCCAGGCTATCCTCCTTTGGTCATGCCTGTTATGTTGATGAATGGCTCAACTGGTCTCTCCTGAGTCTCATCTGGTGATGCTGGAGCCTCACAGCGTTACCCGTATGAAGTAGTTGCGCTCGTTTTGTCTTGTATCACGATCTCTCTCACTATCCGCTTCATTGTCGCGTTTCCAGAGTTCCAGAGAATGTCTTGTACCTGTTCTTGGCGATACGATTGGTGCTGGGCGCCCGTCATTCGTTCGGTCGTTTCAGATCAACTTGAAACAACCTTGCCAACGCCTCCGTTCATCCCCTGATCTATCTCTCCCATTCCCATCTGTTGGCTGGCGATTCTCCATTTCCACCCCTGGACATCTGCAGCATCCCTCAAGGTTGGTTTGGCCGTATCCAGTGCTTTTTTCGTGTCGTCGCATCTTTCAAGCGCGCTTCGAGACTTTCGGGCAGCAAGTCGCTACCTCTCCTGCAGTGATGGTCTTCTCCAAACCGGGTGGAGGTGATGTTGTTGGATACCCCAAAGTCGCTTCTCCGCCTCACGATAGATATGGAATAGGATCCTGGTAATACGATCCAACGCTCGTTGCGGAACCAGCCAGTGACAGCGGAGATTGAAGTGCTGTCAGAACATTTTCGCGACGCACAGATCAATAGGACTGTGATTGAATCGCGATCGGCACATATTTCACTTTAGGAACCTCCGCTGCCCTATTGTAGTTCACCTTCACTTTTCAACTTCTTTTCTTTCTATTCAGCTATTGAGGTGAATCTTCCATTGTGGTCGTTTCCTATTGTCGTTGCCTTATTATCTTTCGTTGATCGAATTGTCAATCCAGTCGGCTTCAGAACGACATTAACACTTTCTCCCATTCTTCATTCAACCCCTCACTCCCTCCACCATATAAATTCCTCTCAGGAACACTTAAACATCTATCAACTCGATCAACTTAGCAGAAGTCTGCGGTTTTACCAACACTCGACGTGTACAAAACGTGATATACCATCACACTCTTCTTCTAATCCAACTTCAATCGAAGCCCGGCAAAATGGGTCTCAACAGCAAGTCACTGGCTGGTCCAGGTTACATCATTCTCAATGTCCTCCGTGGCATGAACATCATCGCGCTTCTGTCCGTCGTCACGGCATCCGTGGTGATGCTAATCAAGACATTCGTTGTCTCCAAGGTACTTCGACCGTGATATTGTTTCGGACTGAAACTAACATGACCAGTTCTTCTTCTTCGACGCAGTCACCCATGTCCTACGCGCTTCGGTTTGCTTGTTCCTCATCGTCTCCGAGATTGGACTCTTCCGACCGTACTTTGCACGCAACTGGCCGCTCCTCAGCCCGAAACATGGATTTGTCTTCCTGGCTTGCCTCATGATGGCAATCGGCGTCAACATCCTCGGGAATCTGAATAAGGAGGCAACGAGCCAGGAATCAATTGGTCTTGCTTTCTGGAGGATCGTCATTGGGTCAGGTATTGTCGTCTTGGTCATTGGGGTCTTCAATTTGGTGGCGGTATGTTTTATCCCTCCAATATCTCCTATACCGCTAACCATGTACAGAGCTACCTCTTCCGTGACAGGGGCCTCAAGGTCTCCGCCAGACGAATCCGCTCTCACGGCGCAGTCGCACTGAGCAACGCCGAAGCGGAACGCGCACACCTCGAGACCGCCATGATGTCCCCCCACCCCTCCTCCAAGAACCTCAACATCGCCACCAGCTTCACGGGCTGCGATTCCTCCATCAAATCATACAAGTCCCCCACCCAGAAATCCCCCAGCCCCAAACGCGCCACCTTTAAGAACTTCTCCGCCGCGAAGACCTTCCGTGCCGCCCGCGCCAGCATTCTCCCTAGCTACCACAGCCGCGTCGAACGGGCCGCGATTGATGCCGCCGAGGCCAAGTCACCATCCTACCACCCCAGGGAACCAATCTCGCCAGCCAGCTCGCGGTACAGCCGGACGACCAGTGGAAGGGATGCGCACGGTCGCGAGCGGGAACGGGACATGGAGATCTCCATGCCGCTGAATGTGAACCCGCAGTTTGCGCATCTGCTAAAGCCAGATTTAGCGCATCATCCGAGCCAGCGGAGAGGCGAGACGACGTCGCCTGGCGGATGGGTCTGAGGGTTACTGGAACGACAATGGGTTTTCTGAGCGTAAATAGGAGTTTGAGGGACACGGCGTTTCAAGGAGAGTCAAGGAACGGATAACGAAGCGGGATTCGGAGTTTCTGCTCTCTGATCTCTAATGATGCTGCTCATTTGTACAGCCACTCTCCTTTGATGATGTACACGCCTCCGAGAGGCTTTAGCGGGATGATACCCGGTTCGCTCCTTGGACCAAAATGATAGGTACACAAGTCTATATGATCGTACAGTGCCTCCAACTTTTGCATGCCCAACGTAACAAAACTCTCTTCATAACCATTCTACATCGCCTTCTCCTTCCCCTCCCCTTCCTCCGCAACACTCCCCTCTCCCTCCACCCCTTCTCCCTCCACCTCATCCGGCACCGCACTATAACTATTCTGCACCGCCCGATCCAGCCGGGCAATCTGCTGCTCGGCCCAGTACTTCCACCCGGTATACGCGGTATCCTCGAGGATCTCGCCCACCTCCAGCGGACCCAGCCCGAAGTACGCGCCCGTGTGCAGCGCCTCCTCGTGTGCGACCCGCCGCTCGATGTCTTCGTCGTGGCGCACGCGGTAGAACTCCTTGCGCGCGATGTCATAGGCTTGATATTTGGGGAGTTTGGGGGGCCCGCGGTGGAGGTAGAGCCAACGCTGGATGACGCTGTGGAAGATAACTCGTTAGCTTGTCGAGTCGTAATACGTCTTCCCCGCATACTCGTATCCTCAAAAACATGCTCTACGAATGAATAAAGAACTCACCTCTCCCCATCCGTCGGTCGTCCCGCCTGTACCACCCCCGTACTCCAGTCCCACCCCTCATTCCGCCCATCCCCCTCCAATACAACCCTCGGCCTCGCCAGCTCCCACGGATGATCCCCAAAGAACTCTTCCCGCATCTTGTCCTCCCGGTAGGCGATGGGCAGCGGCATGAACATCTTGCTTTTCTTGCCCGAGCGCTTCTGCGGGCGAACGAGCGCTTGGGACGGGGGGAAGGCGGACGCGATGGCGAACCAGGGGGGGAGCGATTTGGCGCGGCCGGAGGTGAAGAGGGAGTGGGCAGTGGGGAGGACAGAGAGGGGGCGGTGGTCGATGCGGCCCATTGTGGTTGATGGAGATGGTGGTGATGGGTTGTGGTGTGTAGGTGGAGGTGAGGTGGAGGTGGAACTCGCGGAGAGGTTATCGCATTGTCGTATAGGGTTTAAGTGTTGGAATTCAATTGAAAAGATTGATTGGCGAAAGAAAGATAATTGTGTTTGAAGGGTGGTCGTGAGGTTTGTATAATTGTACGGTATGAAGAGCCGTTTCAATATCAAAGTTGTGGTTGGCTACGGATTTTGCCGGTGCAACTTCTAAGCTGGAGGAGACAGGAAGAATCTCCACCTCCAATTCTTTAATCCCGATACTTGCGAGTCAACAACTCCTTTGTACTCGATACGTCGCAATTCAAAATTGCCATTCCCTTTGACTTTCTCCTTGACCCTATAATGCGCATCTCGCCATCCTACCGAGTCCAAGCATGATCACGATGTGTCTGGATTCATGCTCTTCTCCCGTGTCCTGGATCGATCGACCAGCTCGAACACCGTCGAGATAGCAGTTCGAACCTATCTTCCGTTTCTGTATCCGTCCGCGGGACCCAAACGGTCACGGAAAGCTTCCTTGGGGGAGGCGGCAAGCGCGTCTCGTCGCAACTATGCGTCGAAGGGAAGACCGGTTGGGGTCCATGACATGGATAACATCTTCATCGAGGCATTGGTGCGAGCAGGAACGTGCAAAGGACACGGCACATCGATTGGAGGGTGTTCGAGCTCGGTGGTCAGTAGATTTTCATCATACGGGAGCCAGAAAGGCTCGGTGTTCCGGCAGAGGAGTCAACGAGCCGGATTTCATTCGAAGACGGCGAAACACGAACCTGCGGCAGCGTTGGCGACCATCCCCCGCGAAGACCTCTATAACCTCGTGGACATATACGGCTCCTACAACGAAAGGGAGTATTCCACCATAATCGATTTCCAGAGCCCATCGGAAACTGCTCCCCCATTCCATCCACGAGCGACGGACGGACCTTCAAGACCCCGTCCACCAGGGGACAGTTCGGCCATACAAGAATTCCAAACCCTCATCCGAAATCCTAAAGCCTCCCCCGAAAAACTCTACGAAGCATATCGACAAATCCAGTCCCCCGCCCCCCTATTCCTCCCCCGAAAATGGATGGACGAACTCCTCCACCGCCTCTCCCTCGTCAACGAAGAAGACGAAGGCTCCATGATGCGCTACCTCTCCATCCTCGACGACCTCAAAGCCGCCGACATGCCCATCGCCCGACGCGAATGGAACAACGCCATCCGCTTCGCCGCCCGCTGCTTCCGTAAGATCTCGGACGCCGAAGTCGAGGGCGCGATCTACCTCTGGAAGGAGATGGAGTCCACCGCCGGCGTGCAATCCGACCACGTCACCTTTAACATCCTGTTGGACATCGCGGTCAAGAGTCGCAAAATGGGGCTTGCGGACCGGGTGCTGGAGGAGATGCAGCGGCGGAAACTCAAACACGACCGATATTTCCATTTCGCACGGATCTTGTACTTCGGGCAGCGATTCGGCGGAAACGCGATCCGCCACGCCTATCGCCAGTTCATTGACTCTGGCCAGATCGTCGACACTGCGGTTCTCAACGTCGTGATCGAGGCGCTCATCACCGCCGGCGAAGGGCCCGCCGCCGATCACGTCTTCGAACGAATGAAAGTCATGACCGCGGAGCGCATCCAGCCCCACGCGCCGTACCCCAGCAACTGGCAACATCGCCGTGAGCTGACGAAGATGCTGCGCGACTTCTCTGAGATCTACTACACCACCGACAAAGACGCCTGGCACCAGCTTGAACTCACCACGCCGATCGCCCCGTCCATGGACACGTACTGCATGCTCATCTCATACCACGCGACGATCGGCGACATCGACCGGGTGCTGGAGTTGATCTCCGAGATGCACGCCGCGGGGATCGAGCCGGGTGGGCGGCTGCTCATCCACCTGATGAAAGGGTTCCGGCGCCACGGCGGGATCCGATACAGTTCGTGGACGAAGCAGCGGTTGGAGGCGCTATGGAAGGGTTTCCTACAGGCGGCGCAGGCGCATCCGACGACGAGAGAGCATCGGAGGGCGTTGGCGCCGGCGGTGGTGTTGGCGTTTGATTGCTGTGTGGGGAGGCGGAGGGCAGGGGAGGTGTTGAGGGAGGTGGAGGGGCGGTGGGAGGTGGAGGAGGAGACGGTGGAATATATTCTGAGTCGGATGGGGAGGGGGAAGGGGAAGGAGGATGAGGATGAGGATGATGCAGTAGATTAGTTGGAGCAAGATATGCTTCGATGTTGTACATGTATGTCATGCATGTACCATGAGGGTCCGCAATAAGGATCAATTTCATTTCATACTTTGGTTCCATATTTTATAATTTTCGATGATTATAATAGAGGGACCACAAGGTGTACATGTGTACCAAGCGTTCCAGCACGGTATATTTACTATCATACTCTCTTGTTACCTTAGGGGGTGGTGGTCATCGACGTTGATAAACCCGTGACTTCGCGACAATATCGCGAACGCCACTTCGCGCTGAACGCGTCTCCATCGCCTCCCATCCAACTCTTATCTCTAATAGTTCACTCGTATCCTCAGCACAGGACAACAATACATGCGATAATGAAGTCGGCGCCTACCGAATAATTCTCGGAACTGTAAAAATTGCAAGAGCCGGGACACGAACAGCGGCCATGTTTTCTCATATCCCTTCATCAACAGGCTTCAACAAACCTCATCTTGACGACCGACAGTAACCCTCAATCGCACGAACGACCATCCACCCACCGGCAATCCTATACCAGCCTCAGCTATACACCGAAACTCCAATCCTCCACCATGCCCTCCACCGTCCTTAACCCCCTCGCCCCTCCCCGCAAACCCACAACCATCCCCCCCCACCAACTCGACTACGTCCTCCGCAAAGTCTTCCACAAGCCCTCCTTCCGCCCCCACCAACGTGAAATCATCCTCGCCGCCCTGGCCTCCACCGACCTCCTCATCCTCGCTGCCACCTCCTTCGGCAAGTCCCTCTGCTACCAACTCCCCGCTATCCTCCACCACGGCATCACCCTCGTCATCTCCCCGCTGCTCGCCCTCATGGCGAACCAGGTCTCCGCCCTCCATTCCGCCGGCATCGCCGTCGCCTCGCTGAACAGCACCACCCCGCTCGCCGAGCGCCGCCGCATCCTCGACGATCTGAAGAGCGGGCATCCGATTATTAGACTGCTGTACGTCACCCCCGAGACGTGCGTGCAGGACGGGTTTCGGAAGATCATCCGCGTGGTGCACGCGCAGCACGAGCTCGCGCGGGTGGCGGTCGACGAGGCGCATTGCATCTCGGAGTGGGGCCACGACTTCCGGCCGGCGTACAAGCAGCTGGGTTGGTTTAAGCGGGAGTTACACGATCCCGAGGTGCCGGTGATGTGTGTGACGGCGACGGCGACGGAGCGGGTGGTGGGGGATATTGTGCGGATGATGGGCCTGGAGGAGGGGCGGTTGCGGACGTTTCGGTGTGGAGCAGCGCGGGGGAATTTGCATTTTGAGGTGCGGTATAAGAGTGATGAGGGGGATGAGATGGGGAGAGATCCGTTTGAGGGGCTGGTGGGGTGGATTAAGGGGATGCAGCGACGGAAGCGGAAGATGGAAGAGGCGGGGTTGTTGAAGTTGAAGGGAAAACCTACGACGGCGACTTCCACGACGGGACTAACAGCGGCCCCCTCCGCCACGCGCTCCCACTCCCCCATCTCCGGCATCATCTACACCCTCTCCCGTACCTCCTGCGAACTCCTCGCCACCGCCCTCACCGCCGCTGGCATCCCCTCCAAACCCTTCCACGCGGGCCTCCCCGCCCCCACCAAATCCCTCACCCTCACCGCCTGGGCCGCCTCCTCTCCAGGCTACGATGTCGTCGTCGCTACCACCGCCTTCGGCATGGGAATCGACAAGCACGACGTCCGCTTCGTCGCGCACTGGTGCCTCCCGAAGAGCTTCGAGGGGTACTATCAGGAGGCGGGACGCGCAGGCAGGGATGGGCGCGCGGCGAGCTGCGTGCTCTGGTATGGGCGGGAGGATCGGGATCGGGTGGTGGGGTTGTTGGAGCGGGATTGGGCGAGAGCGGAGGGGGTGGATTATCAGGGGAGGGGGATGGGGAGGGGGGGGAGTCGGGAAGGTGAGGGGGAGAGGAGGACCGCGGCGTGGGGGCGGGCGGAGAGCTTGAGGGCGTTGGTGGGGTGGGCGGAGGGGGTGGGGAAGTGTCGGCATGTGGGGATTCAGGATTATTTTGGGAATGGGGAGGTGGGAAGATGTGGATTTGCGTGCGATGTTTGTAAGGACGGGGAGGGGGTGCGGAAGCGGATGGAGAGGGGGTTGGCAAGTGAGGAGTGGTGTTCGACACAGCGAGAGATGGGGGTATATGAGAGTGGGGAGGAGTATTATTGATCATTGGCCTTGAGCGATGTTTCTAGCGATTTTGAGGAGTTGAGGTAGGAATCCGTGGATGGCGTTATGGACCATCGGGATGGATGGGCATCAGGTACGGACAGGGCAAGTACGGAGATGAATGAATGAACGAACAGAACGTAATTGATTGATTCTATACAAAATATCAGATAGATCGACGTCGAGATATCGATGACATCAAACTCATTAGCTACGAGACGACCGCGTCTCCAGCAGCAGCAATACAATGCATTAGACATGACAAAAAAAATCCCACCTCTTTTAACACCACCACCAACCCCGCTCTATATCCCCCTACCCAAATGAAATACTTCCCCCTCACGCCTCCGTCCCCACCCCTTGCTTCTTCCGCCTCTTCCCTTCCCGCTCCCCATCATTCTCCACGGAACTCTCCCCCTCATCCTCCTTCCGCCCCTTCCCACTCGGCACATTCCCGCTCTTATCCACAATCAGACTCCTCAACCACTCATTCTCCATCTCCAAATGCTTCACCCTCGCCTCCATGATCCCCACGCGCTCAGACATCTCCTTCGCCGTCTTCTCGACCTCCTGCTCGCGCTGCTTCTTCTTGATGCGGAAGCGCGCACTAGCGGCGGTGTTACGGCGGCGCTTGTCTTCCTCGGCGGCGTTGCGCGCGTGATCTTCGATGGTGGAGGTAGAGCCGTGTTGGGAGGTGGTGGTGGGGGAATTGTTGGGTTTGTGGTTGCTGGTGGTGGAGGAGGTGGGGGAGAGGGCCGGTTGGATCGGGAAGGGAGCGTTGTGGACGGTAGAGGGGTAGGTGGGGTTGGCGCCGGGGTCGGTGACGTTCGGGTAGAGGGCTGGGTTGAAGTCGGGGAATTGGAATTGCTCTAGATGGGGAGTTAGTGATTGTTGTTGGCTTTAACGCTGTGTCCGAATCCGGGGTGTCGCATCGACGATTGTTCGAGACAATAGAAGGACGAGTAGACATTAGGAAGATTAGACATACCCTCAAACCCCTCTGTCTTTCCTCCCATCCCTGTCTCCTTTGCCTGGTTCCGATACCCCGCGCTCGCATTCAACCGTCGCGCGCGCTCCTCCTCCGCAGCATCGTACGGCACCACCTCGTCGGCGCCGCCGCCGGCGTCCCCCCCGATGTTCTGGTCGAAGTCGACGAACTCGAGGTTGGTGAACAGCGCCAGGTCTTCGGCGAAGTTGCCGTAGTCCTCGTTGGTGGGCAGCTCGATGGGCTGTGGGTCGATGGTGTTGAGGTTCTGGAGGTACTGCGAGACGTTAGGGGCCGGGCGGCCTTGGAAGGTCATGGTGAGTGATAGGTGAGCCTTGTTCGGAGCCGGATCCGATGGAATGTAGATTATGTGTGGATTTTATGCGATGTTGTCGATGGGTTCGGTGATGGGTTGGATTGATGGGAAGCGTGGAAAAATGTGGTGGCTCGCGGTTGAGTCACGCTGTCGAATGTCGATTTGTGTGCGAGATCCGATGCTGACGTTGATGAAATTCCAATCCCGACCCGCAACTCGTCTCTTCGCCTCTCGTGAAGCGTTACCCAGGTCAAAAATCGATGGTCGGGTGGAATTGACTGCGCGAGGAGTCAAAAGAGCGCAGTTGTGGATGGTGGATGGTGGATGGTGGATGGTGGATGGAGAAGTTACAGTGGGAAAGTGCGTGGAGTGAGAGGCGGGAGGTGGGAGACTTTGGCGGGGGTGGGAGAAAATGAAGAGATGGGCCACTCATTAGCTGCGAGATGATTCTACTGGGAATTTCACGTGAGGAACAATCGGCCGTGGGATGGAGCTGCGAAAACGGTGCACTCCAAGAACTCCGTTCTACAGTCTACTTGGTATTAGCGACCTCGACTGGCGAGCCGATACAGGCTAATGACGCTCTTTACGCCATTGCTATTGAAAGACGGCTAGCGATTGGATGTACTGTGGCGAATTTGACCGGGAAGCGACCGAATTGATTACAAAGTTGGTGGGAGACTAGAGAGAGATAGGCCTGACGAGGGCATGTTCATTTGATTTGACCGTGCATGAATTCCGCGTGGACCCTGTTCGCGTGCGTGGGTTGAAACATGAACTACTGAATCAGTGAACAGCGCTGGAAATTCCTTCGAATTTCTCAATATTAATGGTTGCGGGAGTCCTGGCTTGGTAGGGACCTAATTAGGGCATTCCTGGCGGTTTAGTAGAGTGAAGGTGGAAGTGGAAATAGAAGATGAGGTTCTGTTGAGGTTGAAGTGGATTACCAACCATTCAACCGCCCATCTCACTATTTTTCTCCCCCGGCAGCTTTCGGTTCTCTTTAAACACGATCGGGCAATAGGGCGTCAGAGTTGCCTTGTTGTTAGATTCAGTCCTGGAATTGCCGAGTAGCGTCCATTTCTAGCCCCAGTTCTTTGTGCGCAATCGGATGAAGGAGAGTTGAACAAAGACCTCGTGGAGACGGGACACACTTGTCCCTCAACCGGCTCACTATTTTCAGGCGTGTCGAACTTCGAAGTGAGAACTATCAGGAGGATCCCAAGTCCCTTCTCCATCATCCCATTGTCCTCCCACGCCGCAATTCCCACCCCCTCCCCATTGGACCGGTCAATCACGGGCATATTGCCCTCCTCGACCCTCGTATTCTCCCCCCCACGTTTCCCAAGCTATGCAGCCATCGTTCCCCAGAATGCAACTCGCCAGCTCGATCGGTTGGGTCGTCTCCCGTTACCCCTCACTTCGCCATGTCGTCGTTATCAAAAGCAATATGGAGGGCTGGGGCAGCGACGGGATTGGTCGGCGGGGATTCGGGACGTGAAGAGAGGTGCTGGCGTGCAGCAGCGCGGGATGGAGCTGCATGACACCCGGCTGCATGGCAGGTGTGCAGGTCAAAGCGACATCGGTGCCACGTGATCTCAACCGGAAAGGAAAATAATTCGGATGCACGTGACTTGCTATACTATCCCGTTTCTCCCCGGGTATCTCCGTGTCATCTCAACCTAAGGCCTTGTCTACCTGAAGGCCGGCAGGTTCGATAATAGCGCTGGCAGGTGGCTTTGTTTACTTAAATAGTGGCAGATTCGTGGCAGGTTCGATATTAACGTCAGAATGGGTGTATGTCTACTTTTTCGTGGTGAAAACCTGCCGGCAGGTCCACATCCCGAAATGTGGCTTTTTAGCGCACCGCCACCTCGTATTTCGCCCAATTAGGCAAACCTGCGGCAGGTTTTTTTCTGCTCCATCGATGGACCCGATAATAACGCTCGCTGGCAGGTTCTCTGCTCCTCATTGTTATCACAATGGCCCCTCTACATCGTCCAAACCACCATCGCTGATCGGATCTACGCTACCGCCGCCGTATACGGCAAGGGAGATACTGCATCTACATCCCAACCTGCCCTGCAACTACATCCCAGCCACGTGGCCTAGGAATACTGTGCTCTAATTGATCTATATCGAAAGTTCCTATAGCGCGGGCACCTGTACCACCCATTCTAGGCACCCTTACCACCCGTTTTGGGCACCCCTACCACCCTTGTTGGGCACCTCCACCACCTATTTTAGGCACTCCCCCCACCGACTTTAGACCCCCATCATCACCCATTTTAGGCACCCTCTAACATCCGTTTTCGGGCACTCCCAACCACCCGTTCTAGCGCCTGTGCCAAAACGGGAGCCGGGAGTGATAAACGGTATCCAAAATGGGTGATAGTAGGGCCTAGAATAGGTAGTGGAGGTGCCCAAAACAGGTGATGGGGGATGCCCAGAATATGTTGTAGGGGTGCCCGGAATAGGTGGTGGGGGTGCCCGCGCTGTAGTGATTTTCGAAGTATATAGACTAATCAGAGCACATTATTCCTAGGTCACGTGGCTGGGATGTAGCTGCAGGGTGGATGGCTAAGAGAGGTCAGATTGGAATTTGAAGCTATTACGCAAGTCACACATCGTGACTTGGCAACATGACTACACAGTAAGAACCTGCAGCTTCCGAACCTGCCAGTAGGTAGACATTAGCCGTTCTGGCAGGTTTCTAATAATAGAAAAGCCAAAACGCC